GATTAAAAAAGTTCACCTGTTCGTGAAGGATCTGTGGAAGTCATTTCGAGCCCTGCCCTTTCAATAACCTGTTGGGCAATGGACTTTAGTGTAGAGAGTGTCGTGTCTGCTGGCGGTATGCTCGGCGCAGGTGGTGGCGTGGGAGGTGTGACTGGTGCTGGAGATGGTGCGCTACTCACAGATGAGGGCGGTGATGATGAGGACTCCGCTGTCGAGTTGTTCATCATCGGGATCGGTGTGGATGACATCGGCTGATCCGAAAGCGTCAGACTGCTGTTTGTGACTCCGTTCTCTGCTAAATGCCCTAGTAACATTGTCATTGTCTATTTAATTAAAAACAAAATCAAAATTCCTTAAATATACGACTTTTAAAGAGTTAAATAATACTCTTGCGAATAAAAACAGTTTTAATTATAATAAATTATTGTCACAATAGTTTCATTGGCTTGTTTTAGATAATTTAATGAAGCAAAGGGCGTGTTTAAATGTTATTTGTAAATCACTAATTCTTGTAAAGACAAACACAAAACAGGAACCCAACAAATGCATTTGATTGGTTCACAATGTAAACAAAGATGTATACTATATCTTATCCCTACCACAGATTGGTTTTCAACTATTTCTCAAATAAAATTTTGTCAGCAATAAATCTGAATTGATTCGTTTGAAAAAGTTAAATATATTTACGATGGAGCTATCATTGAAAGACAATTTTTATTGTAAAAAACACTTTATCTTTAATCAATCCTATGAAACACATAGCATTAAATATCATGATATAAATTATCCACACACAAAAAAAAATATATATACACATTATTTATGTCAATAAATGATTTTAAATTAAAAAACCATAACGGGGACTTATTTAAACAAAGTAACATTTAACTTTACAATTGTAAAAACAAATTACCTGTGTGTTTGTTGTGTTGAGCTGCAACGGCGGCAAAGTTGCTGGCATGTGTCGTAGGTGGAATTGGCGGCAGCTGGTTCCCCGATGAGGGCGAGCAGTTGTTAGGTGTTGAGAAGGAAGCCGATTTGTTGTTGGCAGCCACTGTAGCATTTTTACCGCTACTGCTATTGCTGCAGTTGAGAACAGAAGTCGAACTGTTGCTAGCCCTTACCGGAAGAGGTTTTACGACAACTTTCTGAGGGATTTGATCATTCCTCCGTTTTTCCTCGTTAGAGCTATCACTGGAATGGTTGTTAGTAACTGATTGTTGTGTCGTCGAGAGTGGAGGTGATGGAGGCGGTGATGAAGTAATACTCGTCGGTGTGCCGTTGCTGTCTGTTGTCACTGACGGGGCTGGCCCGACCCCTGACAGCTCTATCTCATCAAGGCCAATTATATCATCATATATATATTCATTGCCTTCGAAGTCTGGTTCTTGTGATGACTCTATATAATATTCTACATCATCTTTAATTCTCCTTATCTGAATTTCACAAGAAAGGGAAAAAAATCCATGAATTTTTCTGTTATAACAGTTTTGAAAAAATATCTCACCTGTCCGACTTCTACTGACATGTTATCGAGCATTCGTAAGAGAGTTTCTAGCTTTCTAATGTGATACCGATGTTTCTCAACCATCCCTTTTAACTCGTCCATCCTGTCTTGCTTATCTTTGTCTAGCCTTTTCTTTTTACCAGCAAGAAGGGATTCAATTTCAGACTCGAACTGGTCAAGCTTTAAACATAGTTTTATGTAGAACAGTTTTTTTTTATTTTTATTTGCATAATAAAAATTATAAATTAAACAATGAAAAATAACCACCTGTAAATTTAAAGCGTCTATGGATGATATTAACCAAGTACTGATTTCCTCTCGCTCCTTTTGCGCTGGGTCCATTTTTTGAGCGGCTCCCAGCCCTTCTTTCGAATAAGCTTTGGTTTTCGTTTCTCGCTCAACTATTTTGAACCTTTCCATTTGCTATAAACAAAAAATTGACAGTAGAGCAAATTCAATTAAGGTTGAATTCTTTCTATACTCACTGTTTCTATAAGTTTCCTGTAGTCTAAGAGTGTGCTCTTGTCTTTAATCTCACCGGAGGCGATCCAGCTCTTAATCTGATCTCGAAGCCTCTGAAGCTTTTTGATCTCCTTCTTGAGATCGGCCTCGTATTTCTCCTTCTGGTTGCTGTTCGCAGCATTGTGCACCTTCTGCCAGATGTCTTCGAAAGTCTCCACCCCTTCCGTTACCTTTTTGAGACACCTCTCAATTTCACCTGTGAGGACAACAGCCATCATGAAACGGAACAGCATGAGTACAGCACCCAATGCACATGTCAGCACGACGCTGGACAGGTACAACTTTGTAAAAAGCAGTTCAAAAACCAAATCGGGCATGTTTTGACCGTTCAAAGACTCCCTTACAAATGAAGAGAACAAAATTTACTGTTTACCCAAAAAACAAGAATAACAAAGGCTATGTTTATTTAAACAACTCTAGCAAGGTTTTTTAAAAATTTATTATTCGCTTAATACTCAATGGCACAACATATTTTTACATAATTCAACAATTTCTCATCAGAAAAACATTCTGTTTAAAAAAATAATACTATGGAAATTTGGCCAAATTTTACTTATAAAAAATAAAATAAATTAAAAGATTTTGCTAAAATAGTGTAAATATTAAGGCTACTACATATGTTACACTTTATTCAGACAATCTTAGCATTGTCTCAAACAACTGAATAAAATGCATGAGAAATATTTCCAATTTTTGCAAAATTATGACTCAAGGTTTTTTTTTTACAATTATAACTGTAAAAGATGTCAAGAAAGAAACTTTCACAGCCCGGTCCTTAAACACTTCTGTTTAAATGAGAATCTGTTTGGTTCATCGTCAGTGCAGAAGATGATCATCATGACAAATAGGAACTTAAGTCGTTCAAATCTTTATACGACATGAACAAAATGGACTTATTACTGTAAGCCAAAAGCCAGTTATACAATATTTTGAACCAAGAAAACATTTGACATTAAGAAATGATGTCGGTAATGCAATATTTTTACTAAAAAATCAAAAGTAAAATTATGGCAAACATATATGAATACCAAAAAGGTCACTGCTTAAAAATTACAACGAAAAGAGCTAAATATTGCCACCATGTCTGACCTGTCATGGCTTGAACAAGTCAGTTTTGTTCATTTATTAACCATAATTCATGGTACATACTCATCATGAAATGATACACAATACACAATATACAATATATATTAGTGATCAAGAAACATCAACATAATTTTATGGTGGATTATCACAAAGTAATTAATCTCTATAATCGCTGTGAATGATACAAAACGAATCAAATATTAATATAATACACCGAATGTCATTGAGTTTTAAGAAAATATTTGATAGTGAAACACAAGAAAAAAATTCAGGCACTGTTTGATTCTTGGCCTTAATTATGGAAAACCAGGAAGATCCATTTACATACAGATACATTTACTGTTTTTAATTGTATTGGTTTTTGGCAAAAAAAGGCAAACTAGTTTTAGTTTTTCTGTATTGGATTTTTGTGAAGTGCATTAAGCAAAGACTTAATTGTAATCATCGTACAACTTGAGATAAACAAAAACAATAAAGATGAGAGGATGAGAGAGCGAAAGGATTCAGCTAAGCTTTCCAGAGCAGAGATCACAACTACAACTGCTTCTTTGTGATTCTGCATGGTTTCAGTCTGTCTTTAACTTTTAGCAAAAGGTTACCAAAAGGAAAAGTTTATCACAGTTTTATATCATAACTGAAAAGGAAAGCCACAGCATGATCATCATAAAGTCTAGCTGTAAAACTTGCGATCACAGAGAAACAAGAATTGAAAAAAGCTGATATTGTAAGTACGTTTATACAGTGATGGCATTAAGAGGTCAGATGAAGCCAAGCCTCCAGAATCGGAATCAGGTACAATCATTACATGATTATTCTCGTTTTCACCTATCACTGCTTTATAACACGACTGAAAAGAAAGCCACATTTTGGAAAAGGCTTTGTTCATTTATCAATAATAATACATGATAAAGGCTATCTGATCAAAATCATTCATCTCTACAATCACAGCTACTGGTACAAAATGAACCTAATATTAATATAATGCACCCAATGTCATAGTTTTAAGAAAATATTTGATAGTGAAATAAAAATGAAAAATATATTAAGACACTATTTGGAGCAGATCTGAACATTTAACACTTTTAAATTTGTTGTTTTTTGGTAAACATAAAAGCAACTTAGACCTCGTATTCCTTGTTTTTTTAATTTTTTGAGATATGTTTGGTTCTTAATGTGAAGCCTCACACAATTGATATAATGGCAAGCAGGGCGACTTGTGATCACAGAAAAAAAAGAACTGGAATAGTTGATTATATATAAGGTTGAACCAAGATGGCTGTGAGAGACGGTAAAGCCAAGCATCTGGAACTGAAATTAGACGTGCATCTGCCTCTGCAAGATTCCACTCGGTTTCACTTATCACTAACTTTTGGCAAACAATTCAGTTACAAAAAGAAAAATTTTATCACTGCTTTATAACATTAGCGAAAAGAAAACTGAGCTTGGGCTCATATTTTGTTCTTCAATTATTCAATAATAAAACGATAAATACTACCATTGATCAAGGAGTATAAGCTTAACATCTTGGGTATTGTGTGAAGTGTATACAGGTTTGATAAACGAAGCTTCAACACAACCATCATGATGTCAAGCCATGCGACTTGCTATCACAGACATATACCTGAAAAAGCTAACATTGTATGTATGTAAATTTAAATGTCAGATTCAGTGTGAGACTGTGTTGGTCACACGGTGAAGCCAAGCCTCTGGAACCGGAATCACAGTTTCAAACACCTCTGCATGATTCCACTTGGTTTCACCTATATCTACATTGTGGCCAAAAATTTAAGAAAAACAAAAGGAAAAGTTTATCACTGCTTTACAACATTATTGAAAAGAAAGTCACAGCTTGAACACATTTGTTGTTCTTCTTTTAATAAAAAAACGAGATAAATGTATCAGTGCTCAAGAAGCAAAAGCATGACTTCTTAGGTTTTGTGTGAAACGTATTTCGGTTTGAAAAACAAAGCCTCAGCACAATCATCATAATGCCAAGCCATGCAACTTGTGATCACAGATAAACAACTGAAAAATCTGATACTGTATGTGTATAAATTTAAATCCAGGTATATGTGAGAGACAAATGTTGGGTCAGTCGGTGTAGCCAAGCCCCAGGTACCGGAATCACAGTTTCAACCGCCTCTGCATGATTCCTCTTGGTTTCACCTATTGCTAACTTTTGGCAAAAAATTTATGAATAACAAACAGGAAAAGTTTATCACTGTTTTATAACTGAAAAGAAAATTACAGCTTGAACACATTTGTTATTCCTCTATTAATATTAAAACTTGGTAAATCTATCAGTGCTCAAGAAGCATCACCAAAACTTCTAGGGTTTTGCGTAACGTGTTTGGATTTGAAAAGCGAACCCTCAATGCAATCATCATAATGTCAAACCATGTGACTTGCAATCACAGGTATACAATTTAAAAAGCTGATATTGTATGTATGTAAATTTAAATGTCAGATGCCAGTAAAAGAGGTGTTGGTCAGGCGGTGAAGCCAAGCCCCAGGAACCGGATTCACAGCTCAACCGCCTCTGCCTGATTCCACTTAGTTTTACCTAGCGTATCTGGGTTTGAAAAGCGAAGCCACAATGCAATCATCATAATGTCAAACCATGAGACTTGGGATCGCAGATAAACAACTGAAAAAGCTGATATTGTATGTGTAAATTTAAATGTCAGATGTCAGTGAGAGACGGTGTTGCTCAGACGGTGATGCGAAACGCACTTGCAACCGCCCCCACAGGATTCCGCTCGGTCACACAGATCACCGTCTGACTTTTTGGACCATGATGACGACAGACGGACGGATCCTCCTCGCGCCCGACCAGGTCAAAATAAAAACAGGAAAATTTTGTCAAATATGTCATGAGCAGGGGTCAAGCGAGGTTACTTTCTCAAATAAACAACAGGCGAAACGGGTCATTTTTCTAGGACGGGCCGAAGTGTATCCGATCCTCTAGGCCAGTCATTGTACAAAATATCTTCCCGTGCATAAGAACGACGCTTTTTTCACACTTTTTCCCACCTACCTTGCAACTTTCTCGTAGCAGCCATAGCTAAGAAAATTTGTGGTAGAATATTGCAGGCATATTATATCTAAATAAGCGAATGGGGGCAAAATCCAATTGGCGACTTCTCGTCGGATCCGTCTTCTTCCCGGAAGAGCTTGAATTTTCTTAATTCTTCCGCAGCGAGTTTGGATCAAGCTTTGTCTATTAACAGTATTAACAACAAGATGGCACCCAATAAACCTATTCGATCAAAAAAATGGGGGGCCGAGTCTCGCTTTAATTCCACCCAAGTCCGCAAAACATTACCCGCTCACTTTCGATTTTCCATCGTTACAATTTTACCCTTACCAAATATCAAAATTTTAAAAAAATCAATCATTTATCCTTTAAAATTAAAAAAATCCCCCTGATATTTGCCAGTTCAAAGATTTTTACTTAAAAACAGGACTTTTTAAAAGACATGAACATAATCGAACTCATAAATCTTCTACGAATTTTCACACATAATCATAAATAAATAAAGATTGAAAACACAAAAAAATAACCTAATTATAAAAAAAGTAAATTAATTCCATCCAATAAAGGAGGGCCATTTATAGTGTTATACTATTGGCTGTTGACATGTTAGCCAAAGAGGGAGCCAACATGGACTCTAAGTCCCGGCTCCTTTGTGGCCTAGCATCTTGCCACAAAAGAGGATACATCTTAAAATAAATCCTTAATGTGTTCAAAACGTGGTGGAACGATACCCCAGGAATGAGGCATGTGATGAGATTCCATCCACAAAACTTACAATGGAATTACTGGAAGGCAATCTCAACCAAACCAGGATTTTGGTTAGACTGCTGACAGGGCTTTGCCACCTAAGTGGGCATATGAGTACAGACAGAAGAAATATTCTTGCAACTAGGAGAGTTAAAACCGAAAGCAAGATCCTACACTAAGGAGCCACTGGCAAGACTGTGGAGGTTGAGTAACAACCTAAAGCTGGCGAGCAAGTAATAAAAACAGAGGTTCACAAAAGATCTCAGGTCGAGGTCCAGAAGGCCTTGTGGCTGCCTCTTTTATCTCTATACCTATGCTATCCCAAGTTCTATGCTTGATGTACTTTTAGTGACTACTGACAGGGCACTGCCGCCTAAGATGGCACATGCATCAGATAGTACAGACAGAAGAAACATTGTTTAAATACTGCCAGGAAGAGTGAAATCACAGAACACGTTTTGTGCATTTGCAATGATCTGTGTAGGTGCAGATTCTTGCAACTAGGAGAGTTAAAACCACAAGCAAGATCCTACACTAAGGAACCACTGGCAAGACTAGAGGTTGATTAACAACCTAAAACTGACGAGCGAGTAATAAAAATAGAGGTGCACAATAGATCTCAGGTCGAGGTGCAGAAGGCCTTGTGGCTTCCTCTTTTATGTCTATCCCTATGCTATCCCAAGTTCTACGCTGATGTAATTTTAGTGGCAATGTCTGGTAAGGAAGAGAGTATTAACTAGGTAACTAACTAACTCTAAGGTAGAGACGCAAGTTACTAGAAAGAATAGCAAAATTTGTAGGGTTAAGAGTAAATTATGAGAAAATTAATTATATCTAGCTATTTAGAATGGGAAAGGAGTACAGCAGGGAATCCTAGGCTGGAGTTAAATTCACTGGAAGAAACATGAACAGTCTCAGATATACAGATGATACCACTTTGATGGCTGAAAGTGAGGGTTTGAGATGCCTTATGGCAAAGGAGAAAAAAGAAAGTTCAAAAGTTGAGTTGCAGTTAAACGTAAAAAAAAATAAAAAATAAAAAAATAAAGGTGGAGGCAGTGACAGACTGTATTTCTAGGCACAAAGATTACTGCAGATGCTGAATGCAGCAGAGCAACAACCTCTTGATAAAATAGTTAAGAATAGAGACATCATACTGACAACAAATGACCAGATAGTAGCAATGGTAATCAAAGTAAAAACCTAGGGCTGCAAGAACTGGACCAAAAGGTAGGTTGAGCGAAGGAAGATAGATGCTTGTGAATTGTGTGTTGGAGGAAAATTCTGAGAGTGCCTTGGATTGCAAGATCAACCAAGTCCACACTTCAAGAAATTAAGCCAGACTGCTTACTTGAGGGAATGATATTAAAAGAAAAACTGAAATACTTTGGCCATATAATGAGAAGACGGGATGCTGTGGAGAAGAAGCTGATGGTAGGAAGTGGAAGGCAAATGGGGAGGGGCCAACCAAGCACCAAAAAGAAAAAACTGCGTTCAATCTCCTTTTTTGAAAATATGCAATATATGAATCATTTAAGATTATACATAAGAAAGATCAGGGATAAAGCAAATTTAAAAGAAAGAAAAACTTTTTTGAGGAATGTAAACTTCCAGATTTTGGAACTATCTATAATGATGTAAATGTATCACAAACTATTCTGCTTAAAAATACCCTAAATTATGGCTTCAACATGAGCTTTGCTTTGAAAAGTGGACAGGTGAAAGCTTTTGTTTACTCTTGAAAGCAAAACCATAAATTTATTATGGTTGAAGCCATATATTGGACATACAAATTCATTTATGTAAAACCATTTCCTAGCTGTTCTCAAGATTATTTTAAAAAAGTACAACAAATAACAATAAAATTATATTATTTTATTTACAATTGCATAGATATATTGTCTTTTGCGTTTTGAAGAATTCCCTTTATCTGGAGCACTTTGGCTTCAAGGGCTTCTTTCTCCTCTTCAGTTTTGGCTTGTTTTAAAATCCGATCCAGCTTCGTCTTCTGGTGCCTCTGCAAAACAAAAATGCTCAAATTTAACAAATACCTTCAGGAATATTAGATAAATAAGAGTGTTTTGGCTTTGTAACACCCATACCTATTCAAAATATCTTCCTACTTACTTAGGAGAACAAATTGCATAACAGTGATTTTAACAATAACAGAATTTAAAAAATATTCTAGGATGAAAAGGAATGAAATTTAAAAATCAACTCAAAGGTTAAGTTGAGCTAAATTTGAAGCAGGCATCAGGACATTCCATGACCGAGAAGAGTTAACCAGGAAATGGTACTTCCACTTTTGAATAAAGTAATAAATTGCCACAGAGTAAAGCGCTGAAATTCTCAAAATAATGCACACTTTCCATAGTATAGTCAATTTAAAAATGAAAAGTAGCAGTGAAATCAATTAAACAACACCAAACTCAATCAGGTAACAAAAAAAAGACCTTGTGATCTGTAGGGTGATGAACCTCTAGTTTGGTCGTTACTGATAATTTTTGGTCTGTCTGTTTCGCCGTATATCTTATCTTCAGTGTGTTAGTGTAACAACGCATCTGACAGACCTGACCAGCTAGACCAGCATGATCAGTACTGACCGAACTAAAATAAGTCCTGTCATAAAGGATGGCTTAATAGTCCAACTACTCATTATGGTGCGAATGAATGAGAGAGTTAAGCTATTTAATTAAAGATATACTTTTTCTATAATGTTTCATCATTTTATAAAACCCAATAATTCTCATATATAAAAAATTCCATGTATTTGAAGACAATAAAATTATCGACCTGACGATTTCAAGCAGATCAAATGAACCAAAATAACCCAAATGCTTTCATTAGGTTTTCCTTTTTACAGTAATAGTCACAGATTGACTTGGTACAGTATTTGGTCTTCTAGGAGCTCCAGGAGTGGTAGAGAGCACTTGGGGAGAATAAAATCACCCCAGAAAGCATTCCAAGCTACATGGGCCAAAACAAGGTGAAGAGGAACGGATCGTTGGCGAATTTCATCATCTCCTCCTTGCCCATATTGACGAAAATACGGCACACTTTGGCAATGCTGATGACCACGTTGCTGTTGTTTTGTGGCTACCCTTCCTGGAGGAGGATATCCATTTTGGCGTTGGACTGGTCGACCAACATCTCAGACATCTCCTATGCCAGGGTTTGTACTCAAAACTGCTGTGGCAAATACCAAAATTAGACACCCAAATGACTTGGCCACTATGATCCTCCACAAAAAATAAATTAATTAAATAAGATTTTTTGAAGTTTGAACTATAGCAATAGTATTTTGTAATACTTTTAGAGTTATGACTACTACTATAAAAATTATATTCAACTAATAAAATAGATTTCATTTACAACAATATTCATGTAGCTGTGCCGCAGCGTTGCTCCGACATGGATGATACGGAGCTTGGCAATGTCTTTTCCAATTTTTGTTATAAGCGGTAACGTAGTAGTGATATATTTGTGCGGTCCGTGCTTCACCCTTAGGATCACTACATTTGTCAACTCATTACAGTAAGAAGCTGAAAAAAGCAAAACATTGAAACATCAAAATAAAACTTTATGCGAAGAAGTCTTACCTGAAAAACCATTCTGTATCGAAGCAGTGCCGTACTCGCCAAATACTTCCTTCACTTTGTGAAACAGCTCGCGTGTAATTTCATTGCTTTTAAACGTTCTGTTCGTCTGGCTTTTTATTTCCACAGTAATATACCTAAAATACGATACAAAACATGTTTAAAAAAAACTTGTGATGGAAATGGAAAATTAATCGCTCCGAAACACCTTACCTGTTTTTGAATCTGACCATGTTGTCAGTTTTATAGAATAAAATTTAAAATATCGGTGTTTATATAAAAGAAAACATGTCAAAATTTGATAAAATCAGTATTCGGGTTTGTGTTTTGTTGTGTACAAGGTTATTTCGCGCTTTAGCAGGTTAAAAGTAAGAATAATCGAATAGTTAAAATCGACCTTTCAAATTTACCAACAATCCTTCTTGAAGTTTTTAAATACAAATTCAAAATTGTTTCACAGCAAAAAGATAAAAACAATTCATCAATTTGATTTTCAGGAGTTTTAAAGCCGGGTAATACTAAAAACACTAATATAAATATTTACTTATTATTATGCTGGCAAAGCCTATTAAACTTGTACAATAGTCACAATTATACTTAGGAGGGATTCATTATAAAATATAAATTGTTAGTTAAAGAAACAACTGAACTAGAATTACAATATACAAATAACAGATAATAGGAAATATGAATTATTAAATAAGCTATAAATTGTGGGATTTTTTTAGCAACTGGTTGTTCAACAAATCATACCTATAAATATAATTGTCAGAATACAGACAAAAGTTAGCCCGTAGTCTTATTTAGGGGACGAGCAACAAATAAATGCCCTTCCTCCAGGTTACTGGAGGGAAGAAAAAAGTTAACTGAATAATGATAATTAATAGTAATATCCAAAATAACTAGCATAACATAGGAACATAGTAATACATAGAATTAATAAGGAATTGTAAATATTAGACAAGCAGAGCTGTGTTTACAGAACAATAATGATACATACATAAAACTGACATGAAAATAGTATATAAAATGATATAACATTCATGAGGTAAAGGAAGATGAGGTTGAGGTAAATTTTTCTCTTTTACAAAGTTAAGATATCAAAATAATCAAAAAAATTAGTGAATAGCATGGGGAATTTTAAGTTTGAACACTGCAAACGTTAAAAATTTATTCTGAACTCTTTCTATTTGTTGAATTTGTTTATGGTACTGTGGGGACCATATAACACAGGAAGTATCATCCCATCTTGATACAAACAAAGTAACAGCAAAGAATTTTTGTCAGTTTTTGTGTCAATGAATTCAATTGTTAATCTGATAATGTTCTCAAGAAAGCTCGGTACGATGTATTTGTGACATGGGTGATGTGAGAATTGAGCTTACTATCAAAAAGGTTTTACAAGTGTGACATCACATTTTTTAATATTCATCACCATTGAGTTCTGTTAACACCATTGATGAGAAGTTCAGGACTTCAGGTCAGATTGAAGATCAAGACTATCCTGAAGGGTTTTGATGCTTTTATAATTATTTGGTTTTATATATATAAATATTATATCTACATAACAAATGAAATTGCTATTTTTAATATAATATTTCAAACCATAAGTATAGAGATTAAATAGTATCGGTGAGAGATGTCCTCCTTGGGGTACACCTGCCATAACATCAAAATTTTTGAAAAGAAGTTGTTCATTTTCACTATTTGAATTATACATAAAATTATAAATTTAAGCATAAATCTTTTTTTAAATTCTCTCATAGATGTTAAAACAATCGTTTTTTTTTTTTTTTTTTTTTTTTGTCAAAAAAACAAATTTTCTCATAAAGCCTAAAACATTCCTTTTAAAAAAAAAAAAGAAAATACAGAAAATAAGGTTTAGTGATAATTGAGTAGTCTGGAAAATGTTAAATTTTTAAGTGTGCTCTGAGGTCTGACAAGGTTTGGTTCTAAAACAACTAACTATAACATAATATTGGAATAAATGCACTTGATAAACTTGAATTTCAGTTTTTCAGTCAGTAAGTGCTATTACAGTCAATCTAAATAATAAACAGAAATGTTCAAAAACTTCCTGCAAAGAGACTATAAACGAATTTGCCTGCTTTTATAAGAAAATAAATTAATCAGAAAATAGGGCACTATAATAATTGAGCATTACGTTGAATCATGACTTGAATTATGCTGTTTGCTGACAATAAGTCTTAGAAGGTGAATGCTGAAGAAGGTCAATGATGGAGGTATTGCTGGCCTAGTTACAACTCGCCAAAGAGCAGTAAAATTTTCAAATAAAGTGTAAAGTGTTTTGCCTAAGAATTTAGCAATAACTGAGCAGTTTGGCAAGAAGAGTTGAAGCTGGGTGTTGGTCTACGAAGATGGACCCAATATGTGACCCAGTGCCAGTTCAGCATGAGTCTGGCAAATGTTAATGTGCACCTGTGATCCCACAGGGTTTGATGCAAAGCACTGCTATTTTTAATATATTTCTAAATATAGGATAATAATCCTGATCTGCTTATTTTTCTCTGTCACAAACATTTTAGCATATTTATTCTATATCAAATTCAGTTAAGTTATAGTTTAATTATTTTATTTGATCTACTAGTTTGGAACAGCCAAGTTTCAATTATATAATATATCCACCTGAAATCTCTTTATTTTATTTTATCTTTTTCCATTGTACAGTTAAGGTTAAAGTTAAAAGAAGTCAGCATGTTTACAATCTTGCACACCATGACAAATATTGGTCTCATTTGGTAAGGGCTCTCACGTTGCTTTTCCTCTCCCAGGTGTAAGAATCTGCATAGGCCTTCACACTAACAGAGGACATGTTCCACTCTTTCTTTTCTTGTTTACACTGCTCCAAGTGTATACATTATGCCTCTGGAGTCGGTAGTGTCCAGTCTGTAGTCCTATAATTCAAATCCTAGGTTTAGCAGTTATGTGTTTAGTTCCTGCAATGATCCTATGTTGAACTTTTTTGTATGCCTGGATTTATTCATAATCCATTGGCTGATCGATCTAGGTTTTTGGCAATTTGAAATGCTGCCAAATGGTTGATAGGTGTTTTCATCAAACTTTCCATGGTCAATTTATTCCTGGTTGCAATAACTGAGCAGACTGGGAAATGTTAATTATTTAAATTTAAATCTGCACTTAAGATCGAGATTGGTACAAAGTCAAATATATTTACAAAAGGAAGGTTGATCATCCTGATGTGCTATTATTGCGTGTCACAAACAATTTAGCATTTTCCATCTATATTCTATGTCAAGCTTTAATCTTCAAAATGTGCCTACGAGCCTTTTACATCGAAAAAGACAATAAAATTTTGTTCAATTTTTTTCGTTTTTCATGAAAAATACGCAAAAAACGTGTCTACAAGCCTTTTGCATCGAAAAAGACAATAGAATTTTTTCCGATTTTTTTTTTTTTCATTTTTCATGAAAAATACGTTTAAAAAAACATGCCTATGAGCCTTGTACATCGAAAAAGGCAATAAAAAATTTTTCCAATTTTTTGGGGTTTTTTGCGTTTTTCTTGAAAAATACGTTTAAAAAACGCGCCAACGAACCTTTTACATCGAAAAAGACAATAAAAATTTTTGCGGCCTCAGGGAGAGCAATGTAAAAAACCGCCTTATGGAAGAAGATGTGTCCAAACCCGATTTTGACTTTTCAAAGGCTCTGAAACTGGCTTCAACAAGAGAAGCAGCCACAAATTACCAGGTAAATCAACCCACACACACAATTAAGACAAAACCGCAGAAATACACAATATAAGGCAGCCAGGTGGGAACAAAAGTAAAGTCACTTCCAAGTGTTTTTACTGTGGATGGAAAAATCACCAGACAAAATACTGCAAATTCAAGAATGCTACTTGTCATTCTTGTAGCAAAGTGGGCCATTTAGCTTCCATGTGTAAATTAAAGACAAAAAAGAAAGTTGTCATTAAACATAAATTTCTGTCAGAAGAAAATGAAGATGAAGTTTGTCTGTGTTTCATTTGTGTTTCATTTTTTTTCTTTTTTTTCAGTACAGATGGAAAACAAGGACAATAAGCCAAAGCCTATTCAAATCGAACTAATGGTGGAAAATCAAAAATATGTTTTCGAACTGGATACAGATTCAATTTATAATGTTATCTCCAAGAACTATTACCTGAACCATTTTCAGTCATATCCAATACAAGAAAATGATATTAGATTGACGGACTATGTGGGCCATCCAATCAGACCCATCGGGAAAACATTTATACCAGTGGAGTGTCCTAAATAGAATGGAAAAATGGAATCCCTTTTAAAAAAAGATGGTTCCTACTCACATTAAGTTAAACTTTACAAATTTATTACTTTAAAAAAACACATTAACTTAATGTGAGTAGGAACCATCTTTTTTAAAAGGGATTGAACTCCACACTCACCCCATCATTTATAATCTCTACTGGAAAAATGGAATTTTACATTATAGGTAAAGGAGGACTACCCTTGATTGGAAGAAAGGAGTTGAATCTACTCAATAAAACTGGACTTAGTCCAATTTTCTATAATGAGATGAAAACATGTCCAGATGCCCCAGAGGATATAAGGCAGATATTATTGAAATTTCCCTCTGTGTTTTCCAGAGAGGGAGGTGTTTTCTCAGGTAAAAAAGTCACTTTGAAACTCAAAGAAAATGTGACCCCAGTCTTTTTGAGGGCCAGAACTTTACCAATTGCATTGAAGGACAAAGTTGAGGAAGAACTGAAACGATTAGTGAAAGAAGATATTATGGAGCCAGTAGACCATAGCCCATGGGGAACTCCAATAGTTCCGGTGCTAAACCAGATGGGACCGTTAGAGTCTGCGGGGATTATTGCTGTACAGTGAATGAATACCATGAACATGGAACCTCCTTTAACAAGACCTGAATTTATGAAATCCATGCCTTCCTTGGTCATTGTCTTCTTCCTCAATCAGTTCGAGGGCACTGTTGCAGATCAATGATCTCAACTCTAGTGCCTCATCGTTTGTGATGAAATCCTTGTTGGGTTTCCTAAAAACAACTTTAAACAATGGTTTATGTCATTACCAGTTCTTCCTTTGCCTTTCCTTGCCTTGGTTTTTTAGAAACAGCAAGGCACTACCTCACAGAGTGTGATAGGTATGCTAGGTCCAGATTTGAAATCTTTGAAGGAGCGGACATCATCAAATCACGCCCCGAGATAAAATGGCCCAAAATCTTGGGGTTTGTGAACAAGTCCAAGAGATTTATGCAGGACACGTGAGCCGACCAAGTCCCAGACCTTTTAGGGATGGGGTATGAGTCTCCTCAGGTATTTAACCCCTTGGGTCTTGATCACTCATCCTACGTAATATATAGAAGTTTGAATGATATAATCTAATCCACCTGAGATCTCTCTATTTTCCTTTTACATTGCCTGGTGCATCTTGTTTTTCCAAATTTAATCCTTAATAGGTCACCATCTGAATCACCTCTGAATGGTACAAATATTTCAAAGAAAACAGAATGTAAGACAATCCAGCATTTAAATTACTTTCATCAGCTGTAAAAACTTTCGGTTTACAAAATTCCTCTCAATATAAATTTTTTTTTAACCTTTTCAAACATGTGGTGTGCTTTTTAAAAACAAACAAATTTTTAAATTTTTATTATATCTGTATGGCAAAAAGACTCAGTGTTTTATTTTAGCATAAAATTGTAAAGAAGAATTGGGAAAAAATGTATTATCACATAAAAATGTCATGGTTTGCGTTAATGTTCTCTAATATTTTAATGGATTCTAATCGGTACTTTTTCATTTTTTTTTTTTTAATAATATTAACTTCCTATTGATTCTGTGTGATTGAACAAAATATATATATAATTTTTTTGACATTATAATGATCATCAAAAAAGTTAACCTTTATGGGATGCCTCTTTTGATGAATGGTGTGGATTATTTTTTTGCATTATTTTACAATAAAAAGAATCCTTGTCAAAATAGTTCTTTACTTTAATTGCCAAAAAAATAGACATTTCAACAGCATTCTTTTAATTTTACGGCATGTGATTTTTCATAATAGTCTTTTAAAACAACACTTTTTACTGTTAAATATTATTAATTTTTGGAATATTCCTTACTTCCTATATACAGAATGGTTCAAAAAATTTAAAGAGGCAGAAGAAGTTGGTTCAATCTTATCCAGGAAAAAATGGAGATCGATGATAGCGATTTTAGTATGTCCTGGTTGTCACCAGGCATGGGGTTGGGCAACAGCGAAAGTGATAAGGCAGACAATTTCCTTACCAAATTGGAGAATACAGAGTCATCTTTCCAATTCACAGTAAGATTTAAATGTAAAGTGATATTTTCAGGTTTTGCCTGAAAATTTCTATTGAGCAGCAAGCCTTTTGGTGTGAAACATTCACTAAAATGACAAGTTTTTGACCATTTTATTTTAAATGTATTTTTTTCAACTGTTATATTAAGCTAACATATTGTGAATATATTTATTTCAGTGTATTTCAAATAGCGAATTCAACGCTATATATAAGAAAGTCAAGAGAGAAAGGCAGAGAAAAAGGGAAGCACAGAAATGGGAGAGCTTCTTGCAGAAACAGCAAGAAAAGGAGAGAAAAGAGAGCAACAAAGATTTCAAGAAGGAAGCCAAAAGGGATGCATCTACAATAACTGTTGACGTCAGTGCGAGACAGGATGACCCTGTGATTTACAAAGAGCCAAAAATACCTCAGCTAATTCAAGCCCCTGTTACAACTCTAGTTGTACGTTGTTACTCAATATTTAAATTTATGCAGTATGTCGTAATGTGGTTGTTGCATAGAATGAGACCACAATAGGAGAAGGCATTCCGCCCGAGGCCGAACCAAAAGAAGCCTTTATAGATGTCAGTATAAAAATTTCAACTTATTTGCAAGGATAACACAAGTAGGCCTTTTCAGGTGAACACAGGATCAAAAGTAAAACAGGAGATTATCCAGTTTGTTCATGCGTCTTCGGACGGACTTGAAGATGACACTCTGTTCAACTTTGAAAAGGTATTCACAAGCATGTACATATAAAACAAATAAAAAAATGTAATTGAATATTCAAGGAAATTAAAAAAACTAATAAACTGGGAAGGAAATTGGACAGAAAGCACGCAATGAAAAAAATTGATGGACTACAGACAAAAATAATAACATCCCTCAATGGTATAGAAGAACTGTTGTCCAAAGATCCTTTTGAAGATGTTTCAAAATGTGGTATCGATATAATAAAGAATCAAAAAAGGAACATTGCATTTGCTGCAAGGTTCAAAAGAAACTACCATTACCATCTTGTCTGCCAGGTAAAAAAAAAAAAAAATAGATACATATTTCTAATTTTATAAACTCAACAGTTTTTTTCTTACAGATAAATGAGATTCAGAAGCTGATGAAAAATAAAACTATAAGCAAAACAAAGCCGAATGTCATTATCGAGAAATTGTTGTCTTCCCATCAAGTTATTTTCCAAGCTTTACAAGTAAAGATATTTTATGTTAATTACTTTTACATGGTTTAAAAATAGTGCTTTTTAATTTTCTGAAGTTTTATTGATACATTTTAATCAAAATGATATAACTTTTAGAGTAACCTTTTTTTGTTTTTAAATTTCAGGTAATAGAGAAACATTTTATTGGGACATTTCTCATAGATGAGGCATTTTCCTGGCTGAGAGAATTTATGGACTCAATCTGTGAACTGTCGTCTCTCCTTTCAACTCATGAAAGAGTCTTAGATAAATACAATGTACTCCCTTTCACTCAGTTTTCTCAAATTTAATGTTTGACACACTATTATTATTGTTATTGTAGGATGTTAGGATCGCTTGTGACGAACTGGCAGCCACAGTCGATGATTTCTGTATTAGAATGACAGAAGTAAAGATGTATGAAAAATTCATAAACCAACCTTCTAAAAAAGACAAATCAGCTGCGAAACAACAGGACAACCTTTGGATGTACAGAAATAGGTTTTCTTGTAACAAGAAAATTAGGTTGAACAAGAATTCGATTAAGGCCTGACGGATATCTGAGCTGAACACTTCAATAGCCTTAATTTAAATTTATTGTGCTAAATTAAAAACTATTCAAATACTTGATGTCATGTCTTTTATTTCAGGTGTCACAAATTTTTACATATTTAGTTCCTTGGCATACTTGTTTGCTTGATTCCGATTTGTTGGTTAATTCAAGGGATATGATCAGCTTTACTAAGATACTGACTGCAGTTATCGCACAATGGTTTATCATTAACAACTTCAAACTTGCCTGATGTTATTGGTCTTGAGCAATTCTTAAAAAAACAACGATACAGTTAATTTATTACATTATTGTTTTTAATTTTTATATATGCACTTTGCACTTACTTTGCACAAAAAGCAAGTCTGGTGCCATTTCTCGCCTAATGCCATTACAGCTGTATCGGTTATAGATTCATCACAGCCTTTGCACTTTGGACAATATTTATCTTCGAAACATTTTTTACAGTACGGGTTCATGTCCTTCTCGAAGAACCCTTTGTTGCAGAGTTGTGTACCACAATTGGCACAAACAAAGTGCTCTCTGTGCCAGTTTGCATTCAGAGCTACAACCACGACCTGGATAAAAAAAATTCTTTCTTTAGGCTGTTAATTTTTTCATTTTTTAAAAATTCTTACATCTTTTATGGGCAAGTGACAACCGTTACACCTTTTCAAGAAAAGGTGAGCATAGTCGTTCTCGCAATATGGCTTCCCCTCATACACATTGAATTTGTGTTCTTTTATTGGCTTGTTACAGTGCTGGCATAAGAAATGATTTGGATGCCAATTTTTATTCAATGCTTGAACAATCTGGAAAAAAATGATCGTTTCAAATCCTTAATTTTTTATATATAAAACAAATAATTAAAGGATTTATCAAACTTTGTGCAATGTTAATGTTCGCTTAACTGAATAAAAAACAGAAAAAGTATTGCTGCTTGAACAGAAAGCTGCAAAATTTTTTAAAAAGTTTCATATTTGTCTACTCTAACAAACAAATATATCATTAATGTACACTATTTTTTTTTTAATATAATTACTAAAAATGTTAAATATAAACACTCTTCAAAAACTTACCAGACCTTTGATAGGTTGTTTACATACACAGCAGAGTACACTGCCTTTTGAATGCGCCACTAAATTTGTGACATCAGTGTTCTTTTTTCCAAAGTGAGCCTCGTCGACGTGATCGCCCTGAGGGAAACCGGCCTTGTCTCTTGTTCTGTGAAGGAATTTCGGACAAGGAGCCAAGTTCTCCTGATCCCCATCGTAGTACATCACTGCCAGATCAGATTTCTGCTTAAGCCGATTCAATGAAGGCCGTTTGGATCATGCCAAACGTGCGAATATTTTAAAAAATTTAGCTGACTATTCTACTGACTTTTACTACTTTAGGGACCATCAGCTGACTGGGAATATTTGTTTTTTTAATGCTATACAGTTGTTTTTTTTTAAATACTATGGCAAAATGAAGGATTTGTGCAAAAGCATTTCATGAAAGAAAATGTTGAACTACAAAAGAAAGAAGGGCTATAAACTATCGAAAAACATTCTTTTTAACTAAGCAACTTATTATATTCAAAATGCAACAAATTGAATATTTTAGTCCAAATAAAACAAAAAAACTGCATCATTGCTTCTTCTGTGAATCATCATCATCAAGTTACATCATTATTAACAATTAAATCTTACAATCAAATAAGACTTTTAAAAATATCTTTAACAGATTTTACCTTTCTTTGAATCTCTGAAAACTCGACTTCTGTGATTATGTCATTCATTAGAGTGCAAACATCTTGATCAACACCATTAGAGGCTGCATGCTGTCCATTTGGTTCAATAGGTGGATTTGGATCTGAATCTCTATTGGTCATTTTTACTTTTTTAAATCAAAGTGTAATTAATTAATTTCCCGGATTTGGCCTAAAAACTGTCTTTTAAGACCTAAGAGATTGTCTACATTGTATAATTAAAACCGAGAAATTTTTGCATGGATCACATAATGTGCAGTCACACATTACAATATTAATTAACATTATAAATGCAATTCATGTCTGACAAATTCATTCAGATGTAATGGAATGGTTTCTTTATAAACAACAATATAATGCTTAAATAATAAATTATTTTATTTACTAACCTTTAATATAACAAATAAATATGTGAATTGTATTTTATCTATATTGATTTTTTTATATTTAAAAATATGAAAATGAGTTAAATTTCTATAAATTTGAAAGGAAATTTGAGTTAATCATTAAGTAATGCTTTTTAAGTTATTTAATTATTGTTTATTTATAATATTTTCATTTTATTAGATTTTTTAATTAATAAGAATTATGGTATATAATATGAGCAAATTTCTTTTACGTCAAAGTACTAGGACCTATACTATAATTAATTATTTAATTAATTTGTAGCGGTGCAAAATAGAAATACAGTATGCACATGATATATTATTAAAAATAAATAAATAGAAAAGTAAAAGCAAGTGGTTGCATAAAATATAACAGGGTTGACTTTTCAATTTAGCAATAAAACATATTTTTCAAAAACACATGCAACAATTATCGCATCATTACAAATTTCAATTCAAGTTTAAACGTGCTTTTTTGTTTTTGTTTTTTGTAGTCTTACCCTACTGCACGCTAGAAGCAGAAGGTGTAAAAACCTTCGATGACACTATAAGACAGACATTAAGTTAAAACATTGTGACGCTTGAAATGGAAAGGTGCTAACTTTAAACGACATTATGTTTGCCCCAGGCACTGGTTGTGGAGATCACGCTGACCCTCGCGATAGAGTTAACTATCTGGATGAAAAGAACAGAGATTTCAGATTTTCCGTAAGCCGTTTACAAAAGAATTTGTAAAAGTGTGTATAATTTTTTTTTTTCAAAATTACAGTGGATTTCTAATCATGAGTTCAATGCAATATACAAACAAGTCAAGCGTGAGAGACAACGCAAGAAGGAGGCCAAAGCATGGGAAAAGTTCATCGCTAAAAAACAAGCAAAACAACAAAATAATGTTAGGCATATCAGAATGTATGATCCTTATCGACCACACCCAAAGACAGCAATAGGTACTCAAACGGAAACGCACTGCCGTCCAAAAAATTACAATAAGTGTAAATTCACTCCACCAAAAATGAAAGCACGAGCAATCATCCCAAACAACAAACCTCAATTGGTGGGTAATCAGTTTTGTGGTGAGGTATGCAACTTGGTGATACTGTACTGTCAGACCGACTGCTGAAGATGGCAAAATGCTAAATGCTTCCATGAAACAAAACCAGCAGGACTAGGCAGGCCAGGATGATCAAGCCATATTTCTTAGTTATTCTTGATTTATAACAAAAAAAATGAGTCAGTTACTGTTTTAGGAAGATAAAAACACAGTTGAAACAGTTGATAAGCAAAGCCCTCCTAAGAAAAACGAAAGCTGTGTGAAGGAAGAGTGTCTGACACAGAAAGTATGAAAATAATCAATACAATTTTAACCATTTACTCAATTTGCTTTAAATATTTTAAATACAGGAAAAAGATGAAAAAATGTCTGCAAGCATCGACATGAAAATGCTGTCAAAAAAGCTTGAGGATCTAAGAAGGAAAATTGTTCTCACTATAAGGGGAGTAGATCAGGCATTGAGTGAAGATCCCATGGATTTAAGCCGAGAAGAAGTTGATATTTTAAGAAGCAAAAAAAGAAATTCAGCTTTTACTTCCAGGTTCAAAGGGAACTATCTCTATCAGATGGCTTGCCAAGTTATCACTTTCAATTGCTTATTCTCTTATTATATAAAAAAAACTTCTTTTATTAATCTTTAATTTTTATTTAAATTAGATAAATGACATCAAAAAAATTATTAGCAATGAAACCGTATTGAAATCAAAGCCTATTGTGCTAGTTCAAAAATTTGTATCAGCTCACCAAATCATTCTTCAAGCTATGCAAGTAAGTTATAATTTTCGAATAATTAAGAGTTTTTATTGAAGTGTAAATTCTGAAGGCTTTAGAGAAACATTTGATAGCGTATTGCTCTAGTGAAGAGTCCTTCAGCTGGCTGACGGGATTTTTACAATCTGTCTGTGAAGTGTCAGACCTGCTGCCCAACTTTGATGAAACCATTCCTAAAAGGACAGATGACCATAATGTAACTTAACCTTACATTTATATTGGTTGAAAATAAAATTAATTTCTTATAAAAACATCAAATTTAAGGATGTCAAGATGGTTTGTAAACATTTAATAGAGAAGATAGAAAAGTTGAATGTTAAAAGGGTGGCTGTGACGAAGAAAAAACAAACTTTGAAAAAAATCAAATCCGGCAACACACCACAGGACTCTTTATGGATGTACAGGGCCAACCATATGTCCTGGAAAGAAAAAGTGTCAGACATGACAAAGCGCAAAAACAGAAAAAGCCTTAACTGCTCTGCCAGCAGTGAAAAAAATGTAAAATAGAAAAGCATCCAGCATACAAAAAATTACATCTTAACATGTTTTAGGCAGAACATATACCAAAAATGCCAAATGAAATTCCTGAGCTGAGGAAGAAAGAAATGCTTGATAAAGAAGAAATGGGCATATTTCCTGAAGAATCTGAGGTACGCTCAATCTACAAGAACGAGCCAAAAGGAACAGTAATACATTCATTTGTAGGTTGAGGATGAAGAAGCTAAAGAAAGCACTGTCATAATCCAAATGGAGGCTGTTAAGCCCGTAAGCCATGAATATCAACTTTTTAACTCAAAATTAAAGAGTTAGGTCACAGCCTAATCTAACCATCAGTTGAACATCAAACCCCAATATCTTTTAACAATAATTATTATTTTAAGAATATTAACAATAACTTTTGATGATTTAGAAGATTGAGCCTAAGATGATTACAGAAAAGCCTTTAGATTCTAATAAAATTGTTAAAATACAACCTCAACAGCCAAAGTAATGTGGATTTTTTAAAAGAAATGGTGCATATTTGTCCTAAAAATAAAAAATATTTTTTAGGAAAGAGGTGTTGATAGTGGAAAGTGAGTGTCCTGCTAATGTGAAGGTGTTGTACATTAACTGTGAAGATGACCAGCATTTAAAAAAAGGTATTTGATTATTATTAATTTAGTACTCTAAATTAGCTTGAGCATTTATCTTCTGCACAGTAAAAAGCAACAACAAAATCGAGAGTGACGACGAAGTGAATGAATACCGCAAGGCGTTTAAAGTGTACAAAACTCAGAGCATGTGGTACGATATAAACTTGAACAGCTTAGTGAACAGGTGAAATTTGCTATTGCTCCCCACAAACTTTACCGTTCACAATTGACATACTGATTGCAGTATCACATCAAGATTGACGAATGAGATAATCAAGGATGTCGTGAAAGAGATCAACGTCGATCATATAATCAGGAAGATTATAGATTTAGAGTTAAAAGAGAGTTAACTCTTTGTGTGAAAGTTTGTCTTATGTCAAAATGCTCATGTCAAAATATACCTGTACATTTATAATTTTTTTTTTTACGTTTAAAACTGAAATGTGTCATTAAAAATGAATGGAAAGATAAAGAAACAAAATCATACAAATGTCAATAAAACTGTTTTGAAATAAAATATTGTATATGTAACATGTAATGTTAATGTTTGGTTCTTAAATACTTTGAATCACAACACTCCCAATTTTTGTACAGCTTTAGTTTAAGATATTTATATAAATTTCCACAGGGTAAATTTAGGGTTTCCACAGTATTTTTTAACCAAATACCTGTCGGTAAATTTTTGCATCTTAGTTCGGTTGGTGCACCAACTGTTTATTAATTAGGCACAGAAATTCAGAATATATTGCTCATGTTATTCTTTAGAGCCATGAATATGGGATATGCTCTAGTCCCAAAGGTTCTGTGTGATGAGGCCCTCATTTGTTAATAACTTAGCTATGTTAAATCGTGAGATTTCCTCCTAACCAGAAATCACCCAAACTCAATGATGATAAAGGTGAAATGCCGAAACGCGACTGACTATGAAATCAGTGATAGTAGACCAAGATGATAGGTAACTATCAAACTATTAGTTCATCACCCTGCACACCACAGGAGGAAATCGCACTTTTTAACCATAGTTAGTCCATGTAGTCTCTTCTTTCTGACAAATATCTGCATAGGCTTGTTTCTTTCACCCCGAGTCTATACATACGCCTCTAGAATCCGTAGGCAACGAGGGCTTACTTTAATTTGTTGTGTGATGGATTCAGGTTTTTGGCAGTTTGATATGCCACAAAAGGGTTTGTAGCCAATTGGTGTTTTCATCAAACATTTCTTGGCCAATTTGTTGGCCTCATCGTTGTCCGTCTGTCTGGATACCCAAACAAGACAGAGCTCCAATGCAATTCCAAACAGATCTGGACTTTTTACTACCAATATGGTAATTGCCCTGTTGTTAAACGCATAGCCTGGCCAATTGTCAGATTACCACCCAAAAAGAAATCATCCAAACTCATTGATGAAAGCGAATTGCAGAAACATCAGAATGACAAAATTAGTGCTAGGCAGACCAAGTTGATAGGCAACTATAAAATGTAGGTTTATCACCCTGCACACCACAGGAGGAAGCCTCACTGTTTAACATAGCTAGTCATACTAAACTATTAACAAGAAATCACACAAACTCAACACTGATGATGGCGAAATGCCAAAACGAGTTTGACTGACAAAATTAGCGATTGGTAGACTAAGATGGTAGGTAACCATGAAATGTAAGAGTTATAAAAGTTTAATCTATAATTTAAATAAAAGCAGACGTTTTCGGATCTTAACTCTTAAAAATCGAGTGATTTCGTTGAATACAGAATAGCTAAGGAACAAATCGATTTTTTAATTGTATTATGGTATATTAGACGAGAGAATAAAAGAATCGGATAATGATTTATTGTCAGGTTTTAACGGACATGGAGTTATGCAGGGTTCTAAATTTTTAAACATGTTACAACAATGATTAACTAAATATGCATAAAACTTTAACAAAAAATAATAAAGACTATGGAATCGAGTGTAAGAAAATGATCGATATAACGAAATGGAAGGGGGTTTTAAAGATCAAACCGTCAAGTTCAAATCCCATGACTTCAGGAGTTCAGGTTCATTCCAGTCGGCAGTCCGTTAATTGTTCGAGGACGTTTCGAGACGAAGCACTGCTAAGCTCCGAAATGGTCGGATCAAACAGCAAGTACGAAGTGTTCTTTTTCTTTTAAGTGTCGTTTGATATAAAATTAATTCGACGGTTTACATTTTTCTTTTCTCCTCCAGTATTGAAGATATCGTCGGAGAGGTGAGTGACATGGTGAAAGATACCCTGGAACAGTTGGGAAAAACATGGCAACAGATTTACGATATGACGGACGAGTGCAGGCAAAAGAAATTCCAACAGTTTGTTGAATACACGAAGGTATCCATTTTGAAACACGGAAAATTCAATTCGAAAACATGCAGTAGTTTGACCCACCCTGAATTGTGCATGATCAAACTTGAACAAGGTTTTTTTTAAGCCACGAATAAAAATGGCTTTAAATCACACTAAAAAATTTCCATGGACTTAATTCATGAAATTATACTGATAAGCTACCATTTTATGCATAATTCAGATTTGTTTGGAATAGTGAGATGCTTGAATGTCAGGTTTGGCATAAAACACAATGGGTTTTTATTGATGCCCTTGCAAAATAACTCTAAACTATGGTGGTCTGTGAAATGTTGAACCTATAGTTTCATAGTTACCTATTATCTCGGTTCACTTATCCTCGTCGATATTGTCAGTCAAGTGGTTTTGGCATTAAACCATCGCATTGAGTTTGGATGATTGGCTAGGAGGAAATGTGACTATTTAACATAGCTAGCCAGGCTAGGTATTTAACAACTGAGGGCACTTACCATATCGGTAGTAAAGTCCAGAACCATTTGGGATCACATTACAGCCCTGTCTTGTCTGATTATCAGGGTGGAGGGACAACGATGAGGCCAATAAATTTCAATGACTCCCCTGAACTGTTGGCTCCGAACCCTTTTGTGGCATATTAACCTCCCATAAACCTGAATCTATCAGACAATGGATTAAAAATAAGTTCCTGTTTGATGCAAATGTATCCCAGGACAAAGCATGCAAAAAAAATTATCTACCAGCCATCACAGAAACAACATAACTAAATCAAGGATTTGTTCAGCATTTCGCCTTATTATTGAGTTTGGGTGATTTCTGGTTAGGAGGAAATCTCACAATTTAACATAGCTAAGTTATTAACAAATGGGGGGGGAACATATCCCATATTTTTGGCTCCAACGGTCAACATGAACAATATATTCTGAATTTCTGTACCTAATTAATAAAAAGTTGGTGCACTGACAGAACTAAGATGCAAACATTTACCGAAGTAGGTGTTTGGTTCAAAAATACTCAGACTCTATGGGGATTTACCTAAATATCTTAAAATAAAGCTGTACATAGATTGAGATTGCTGCGATTCAAAGTGTTTAACACCCCACAATTGATAAAAATCTAGCATTAAGGATAAAGGCGGGGAACTGTGAATTTTCCCTTGCCTCAGATGATTATAAGACAATCTTTTCTCCTTATTCAATATGGTTGTTACAAAGGCAAAATTTGGTTAATTTTCATGATCTAGGTGAAAATGGTAATTTAGACCTCTTTCAGGCGAGGTGGTTAGTTGATTCAACTGGTTAACAGTCAAAAAGTGTAGGTATGAAGCAAATATTTGGAAACTGCCCAAACTTCTTAACATGCAGTCCATTCGCTCCCATCTCAACTTGCTGGCTCAGCCCAAAAGACAACTTGGCATTTGTCCTTCACATCAGTCACCTAGTAGACACAAGCAGTCCAAAATCCTGGCAAGATTTGTAAAGAAAGTATATAATGCACCCAAGATAGCAGGAAGAGCCTCTGAATCCTGTCTCAGGATAATCTCATCAGGATCTCATAATTAAGCCTTTAACCACTTCTTGAGAAATTTCATCCCAAGTCTCAACTAACGTAACTTTCAACTCAGCTAAAGTTGTAGAAGGGTTCTTTCTTCGTTTTCCCCGAAGTCCAAGCTTGTCCCAGAAGTACTCAAATTCATTCAAAATTTAAATCAAGGATACGGGTTGGCATTCTTAGAATGTAAATATTGACATCTCAAAGGTTCTGCATAACACTGGGGGTGACAGTTGGTCTTGCATTATCTTGCATAAACAAAAATTGCTCGCCAATAACAGGACCAAATGGCACCACATATTTATCAAGAATTTCTGTCATATAGATTTCTTCCTTAAATGGCAGCCTATTAAAAATGTGTAACTCGCCCAAAAAAATTCCAATACACACCATGATTGAACCATCTGTGAATTCCGGAAATATTGCATTGGCTATAGAGCTTTAACAGCCTTTGTTTTCTTTCTTTCCCTCAGCCTTATTTTCCCTTGCTCTATCAGACTTCTTTTTCCCCCTTCACAGCCTTCTTTTTCTCCTCTCTCAATTTTTCATTTTTTTCACTCTCACAGTCTTCTTTTTTACCCTTTCTTAGCCTACTTTTTCCATCTCTCTCAGCCTCTTTTTTTCTCATTTTCTCTCACTTTTATTTTCTCTCTGTCCCTTGTCCTTCTTTTTCCTTTTTCTCAGCCTACTATTTTCTCTCTCACTGGCTCTTTTTCCTTCACTACCATAGCTTTTTTTGAACTTTTGACTAAAGCTTATTCTTAGTTGTTTCTTTTCACATAGAAAATCTTAAAAAATATCAGATTCTTAATTAATCATGCATAGTTTCTTAAATAAAATCGATCGTATTTATCTAATCGTTTTTGCTTATTAATCTATCTTTTTTATTTTGGTTTATCTATCCTCGTGTTTTCAAGATTACAACTCAACATACTGCTAACATTTTTTACTTTGATACCAAAAAATTGATCAAACTTAATGATAGGGATTGAATTTAAGCAGTTTTCAGAAACTGTATAGTCTGAGGGGTGATGAACCTGTAATTTGATCCTTAACCATCTTCATCTGCCTATACTCACTGGGTTGGTCTGCCGATGCCATCTTCAGAGCATCTGAGACCAAGCTGATCAGTCCAGATCAAATTAGTTTTCATGATGTTCAAATAATTCGGATAACTAAGTGATGGTTACAGATTTATTCTTGTCTATAATTATCGATGCCTTTATTTAAAGAACAATCTCCCTTAAAAAAGTAATTCAGAAAATGGTCGATGTTGAATATATGTCGATATTGCTCGAGTTCCTGTGTGAAAATCTGCCTGAGAACGAGCCATATAAGAATCTCTTTGGAGGGTGCTATCACTGTGCCAGAAGCCACCTTACTTGACTAAATTTTCCGATTCACACAATGCTCCAGTCAAACTGGCTGGTTACTTTTCAGCTCTAGGTATCATGTTATAAAAATATTGCATTAGCTGTAGAGCTTTACAGCTGCTCAACAGACTCGAAAACGTCTGTCAGGTAAATGGAAAGAAAACTGGGATTCATCTGAAAACATGGCATTCCTTCATTACAGTTTCTGTCCAATGTCCCTTGTAAATTCTCAGTGGTCCCAACAAGTGCTGGACCCGTTACTGGCCTTCTGAGGTGTAGACTCATTTCTGCAAGTCTCCTTCTTACTGTTTCAGTGCTATCTGATAAATATGATCTGACCTAAAATCTGATAAATCAGCCGGTTCCCTGACTCTTGAGCATCCTGATCCTAGTCGCTGAGTACACGTCATAATTTCCTTGTACTGCTGAATGGTAACAGTCGTTGTTTTAGGCAAAACCAAGACTCCCACAGCATAACACTGATTTCTTCCATCATAAACAAGTACAATGACACGGGCAACTTGTTTGCTGTTTATGGGCATTTTTGTAATCATTTCGTTTTGTACCACCAACACAATACTGAATAAAGACATTTTGTTGACAAATTGTTCAGTTTTTCTCTGTGTGTGTGTGTGTGTGTGCGCGCGTGCGGGGGTGGAGCAGTATATTTTATTATTTATATATAATGTTGTGTTAATTTTGTTTCGTTTCGCCGCTTAGGATTTCTTCAAAGAACTCATACTGTCACAAGAGAAACGAAAATTGAAGCTGATAGAGGAAATTGAAAACAAAAAAGAGGAATTTAAGCAATTGGAAAAAGTAAACTCTGTCACATCATTAAATAGGCAGGATTAATTAATTATTAATTAATTTCAGGATCTGAAAACAACAATAAATTTAAACATAGAAGGGTCAATGCCTCTAAACAATTATTACATGACATTAGATAACACATTAGATGAATATAGAAAAATCAGAGATGAAAGAATAGTGGCTTTCGAAAAACTTCAAAAAGAGGTTGCTTTTTTAAAACTGTTTCAAATGTAAATAAATATTAAATTATTTTAAATATCTAGGAAGAAATGCTTTGTAAAATTTTAGAAGAGGATCGAGCTGAACCTTTGTCTGGTTTTCCCTCTCAGACCGACCTTGAAGATATGGAGCACAGAATTTTCAACCTTTTACAAGAAAAAGTAATGAAAGTTATGATTTTTTTTAAAAATTGTCTATGTATTTTTTTTTTTTTTTTTTTTTTTTTTTGTAGTGTGAAAGAGAACAGATTGTATCGGAGGCAAAGGTTAGATTGCAGGAATGCCTAAACAGTTTAGAAAAAGAGCCAATGTTACAGTTTGAAAAGGAGATTATCGAAGGGAATTACTTGATAACTGCAACAAACATGACCAAATTGAAAGTGTGTTTCAATTTTTGTTTTATTCTTCTGATTCATCATCTAGTTTTTATTGAAAAATTTCTTTATGTTCAAAGGACTGGGAACACTGCTTGAAAGTAGAAATAGAAATGGCACAAGAAAATAAGAAGCATTTACTTGCAAAGCTCACTCGACTCTGGGATAGAATTAATGTCAATAATGATTACAGAGTACAATTTCTTGGCATCAACTCGGGCATCGGTAAATCTACAATAAATAATGTAAATAAAACGACTATGATTATTAATTGAAGTATAAAATTAAATGTTATATTCCTAATTAAATTTTTTTAAATAGATTTTTTCAGAGCTGGAACGTTGTGATGCTATAGCAATGGCTGACATAAAAACTACAATTCTATCTGCAAAAAAAGAACTTGAAGGATTGTGGGAAAAGATGAAGTTCTCTGAGAGTCAGAAGTCTGAGTTTCAAGTGTACTCAACGGACATTTACACGGATGAGATCCTCGAGCTCTACGAACTCGAGATAGAACGGCTCAAGATGTATTACAACAATAATTTGTAAGTATACAGCAATGAACATATGTTTCAAATTTAAGAGATAATTGTGGCGGAATTTAATTTATTTCGAGGCCTCTATATGAAATGGTTGAAACTTGGGAAGAGCTATGGGAAAAGTTGCTCCAGCTTGAAATCACAGGCAAAGATAAGTCTAGGCTCAAAAACAGAGGAGGACAACTTCTTAAAGAAGAAAAAGAACGAAATGCAATCAATAAGGTAGATCACACACATATTACCATGAATCTTGACCGGCTGGTCTTTGAATTTTTTTTTTTTCTCTTACTATGTATAAGTTATCCATTGCTAAACCTACAGACGCTTCCACGTGTTTATGCTGAGCTTGTCACCCTACTCAAAGAGCACAACAGCCGTGAATCAAAACCTTTCCGGTGGAATGACTATGATCTTCTCCAAAAGATCACCGACGACTGGAACCAAAAGCTGGAAAACGAAAACAAGAAGGTGAGCAGTCAGTTCAGCCAGATTAGACAGGAGGTTGACAGTATTTTATTTTTACAGCCCAATAAGAGCGCAAGAAGATTGGCCCATAAGAGGGAACTTTTGTCGGCGGACTCCAGTAGTGAATTGGTGCCATATACCGTAAGCTCTAAATCACCATCAACTCCTTCACTAGCCTTGTCAAAAAGATGCATCAGTTTAAGTACTTTAGCTAGTGGCAATAAGAAAGAGGTCAGTGTAAAAGAATCCTCAGGTGTACTTTTCCTTCCTTGACTGGCAGTACATTGTGAAAATGTTTAATTTTTTTCTCAATTTGACTCCTTGCATTCCGCTTGGTTAGTATTTGTCATAGGTAACAGTAGTCTGTAAACATTGAAGAATCCATGTCATCACAAGTACGGTATAAACAAAATGCAAGTATTGATTGTCTTTAAAGCAAAACATTCACATTTTATGGATTAAATTGTGAAATACAAAGGGATGAAGCATCCTTGATTATCCTGGAATCAATCTTGTGTTATTTTGCAAATATTTTTATTTTAAAGGGACAATAATTGCCAAATAACATACAGACACCTCTGAAGGAAGGCCAGGATGATCAGGCTGTTTATACTAAGTTGAAGAGTTGATACTAAGTTGAATGTTTTTATTCATAAATTTTAAGTAAAAATGTAAAACATTTTGCATAAATTATTGTAATCAATTTGATCATTTTTTGTAACAGGAGTCTGAAGACGCGAAGACACCCCGTTTGAGGAGAGTCCTCACCGAAAGCAACATGAGAACACCGTTGAAATCTACGCCATTGAAGCGCCAGTTCCCTACACCTTTCACCACACCAGCAAAACGAGTATGCAAGATGCCTCTCCAATCTGCCACACCCAGTGAGCCAGTCAGGCTTACCAGGAAGGGTACGCCACTCAAGCCGGGCCGCACGCCAATGAGCTCTAAGCAACCTTCGGCTGCCACACCATGCACCCCGATGTCTCTGAGATTCACACCGGCTAGAAAATTCAACTTAAATATCTGATATTTATATTTTTTTAATATATTTATTAAAACCCTTTTGTAAATAAGTATTTTAACAATGTTTATATCTATAAGAATATTTTTTATACACGCATTTTATAATTGTTGCCAATGTTTTTAGCTACACTGTATAATATTTTTAACTGCATGTAACTTATTTGATGGCAATAATGAAAATTTGGATGTAACGTTTTTTTTTTGTTTTTTTACCTTTATTTAATTAGAGTATTAGATTTTTACTCCAATATAGAAATGTTCTGAGAATATTTTTAAAAAAATAATTATTTTTACAAAAATAAAATACCAATAGATTAGGTTTTTTTATTTTTTTCCCAGGTGACTGTTTTCTTGCAATTGTGTGTTCTTAAGATTCTAAATTGAGTTTCCATATTTTTTATTTAATTTTTGAAAGATCGGGGCTTATTCTTTTTTACGTTAACTAGTTTAACAATCGTTTCCCCAATGTGCGATAAGCCGGCACCAAAACAATCGGAAGATAAGTTCACCTGTGAGTAGTGCAATCTTTCTCCGTTTGCTTATGTCAAATTGTTTCTTTTCTCTTACGAATCAGGCAAAGAGGTGCCCTGCCCTTGTTGCCCCCATCATCATGAGACCTACGAGACCTTGTGTGAGCACTCGAACACAACAACGATTCTCACAAGGCTTATCAATGTCGTCAGTGATTCAGAAGGACGCTTCCTTGTCGGGAGACAGCAGCAGCTCCTTAACCATTACCTCGGCCTATCGACCAACAATCAGCTTGTATCCTCTTTGATCTACATAGGTTTATCTTTAATACTAAACACATATGCTACATAACGATACAATTTTATTTAAATATCGGATGTTTTAATTTCATACAAAGAGCATATGTTAAATACATAATAAATTAATTTTAATTTTTTAAAATGTTAGTGATGCTGTTAATTTAAAAAAAATTGGGTTGCAGTGTTGACATGGTGGCTCACACTGACATTTGCTGCTAACCCCCATTAAAAAAAAAGTATAAATACATTTTAAAAAGATAGCTTTCAAATGGGAAGCATGTAAAATATAAAAAACTACAATTATATCTCGCTCTCAGCTTTATAGTGTTCTCTCATACTTTTATTTTTCTCTGTCCCTTGTCCTTCTTTTTCCTTTTTCTCAGCCTACTATTTTCTCTCAACGGCTCTTTTTCCTTCACTACCATAGCTTTTTTTTGCACTTTTGACTAAAACTTATTCTTAGTTGTTTCTTTTCACATAGAAAATCTTAAAAAATATCAGATTCTTAATTAATCATGCATAGTTTCTTAAATAAAATCTATCGTATTTATCTAATCGTTTTTGCTTATTAATCTATCTTTTTTTATTTTGGTTTATCTATCCTCGTGTTTTCAAGATTACAACTCAACATACTGCTAACATTTTTTACTTTGATACCAAAAAATTGGTTCTTAACTTAATGATAGGGATTGAATTTAAGCAGTTTTCAGAAACTGTATAGTCTGAGGGATGATGAACCCGTAACTTGATCCTTAACCATCTTCATCACTGGGTCGATCTGCCGATGCCATCTTCAGAGCATCTGATTGACCAAGCTGATCAGTCCAGATCAAATTAGTTTTCATGATGTTCAAATAATTCGGATAACTAAGTGATGGTTACAGATTTATTCTTGTCTATAATTATCGATGCCTTTATTTAAAGAACAATCTGCCTTAAAAAAGTAATTCAGAAAATGGTCGATGTTGAATATATGTCGATATTGCTCGAGTTCCTGTGTGAAAATCTGCCTGAGAATGAGCCATATAAGAATCTCTTGTGGAGGGTGCTATCACTGTGTCAGAAGCCACCTTACTTGACTAAATTTTCCGATTCACACAATGCTCCAGTCAAACTGGCTGGTTACTTTTCAGCTCTAGGTATCATGTTATGTGTAAAATGATTACAAGCTTCTAATCCCAGCGGTAATCCTTTCAGGTAACTGCCTTATATTCCTAGATGACCCCAACCTGAAGATAATGGTCATCAACGTCATATACAACATGCTGAACAACGAGAAGGATCCTACACATACCATTATCTCTTTTTCACACAGAAAAGCAGCCCTTGATGCTAGTTTAATGGGCGAGAAACTTTTACAGCTAATTAAAATAGAGAGTGATACAATTTATCCACACCTGCTTGATCTCATCCTTAAAATCGTCATACTTTCTAAAGAATGTGGTACTTATTTAATTTGAACTTTGACGCTGTTTGTATTTTTTATTTTATTTTTTATTATCTAATAGCTCAGACTCTTTTGCTAAATGATGGGATTCACTGGCTGTTGGACAGATTGGATATTTCAGATGAGAAACCAGCTAAAGACTCAATTTTACGAGAGACTACGAGCATAGTGATCTGGAAGTTGTTGGATTGCGTGGGCGATAAGAAACTCGCGTTGAAAGCTCCATTTCACCCGGACAACCTTAAGTAAGTGTTGAATGTTGAAAGAATGGGAAAAGTAACGAGTGTTTTCAGGAAGCTCAAGTTGTGGCTACGGAATGAAACCATCTTCGGAAAACTCTCTTCCAGGAACAACATTGCAGCACTGATATGCCGTGTCCTTTATGTCTTTCCCTACCTTGAAATCATATCTTCTGGAGTTGTAGAAGGTAATATTTTTATCTTTATCTGGTTCCGATTTTATTTAATTATTTGTCCTTCAGATGTGTGTATGTTAGCAACAGCAACAGAATTCGGCACTGATGACAGTTGGGCCTCAACTGTTAAGTTCGCACCAATCCAGGAAAATCTTGAACTTAAGAAACTGCTCACAGTTTGCATATTATATCATTATCACATGACAGGAGTGCGAATGGTTGTAAATTTTAAATAATAATTTATCAAAATAATCTTAAACAGATACGTAATTAGATGGCAGATGAATATGGGTTTCTTCCAAGTCTGTCCCTTTCATTGAATCCTTACACACCTTCAATGGCACCTGCTTGGCCAACGTCCTTTAAATGGGAATTGATTAACTACACCCTTCACGCGTTGCCGATCATCGCCCGGTACAATCCGAGAAAGTACATTGAGTGCTCTGTTACAACCCGGTAAAATGTCAACTAGTGAACAACCTATTCATAATTTTCTCATATTTTGTCCTTTCTAGAATCGTTTTCCTCATAGAATACTTTTCGTCGGTGAAGGAAAGCCCTGAACTCGTTAAGTGTTGCTTGCATTGTGTCCAATTGCTCCTGATAAACGGCATTGGTGGGGAACATTTCAGGCAACACAACCTCATAGCAGTCTTGCTCGGTAAGTAAGTCAAAATGATAAAATTATATAGAAATTGATAAACGGCTTTACAGGCCTGGGCTACCACATACTGAAAAATAAACTGACACTGAGAGCTCAGATCAATCTGACCTACTGCTTCTTCATACTCACCGCACTGCACAAAGATTACGATCCAAGGTTTGCTCATTACGAGATAATGACTGCCATTGGACTCGAGATTCTCAACAGGTTCCTCAAATCTCTGGATTCTGATTCCAAATTTGATGGGAGGTGAGCAGTTTTGGATATCCTGTTGCAATATAATTTCAAAATAAGAGATCAGTTAAAAATAATACCGTTTTTGACAATGAATTAATTCCAATTTGAAATACATTGTCCCAATATTTTAGTTTGATAGTTTCCACTATTGACTACATATGGAACTGTGTTATTAAAATAGAAGAACAAAGAAAATCGTTCATATTGCAAGGAGGAATATACTTACTTCTCGATGTTGCCAATGTCAGTTATAAAATTAAATTAAAAATTATGAAATTTGAATTTTGCGAACATTGCGAATTTTAGATTTCCTGTTTGCCAGTGCAAACATTGATATTCGGCGCGCTTGCCGATGCGACTTTGGACGTCAACAGTATTCCTCAAATGGTGACGTGGAGAGGAAGTTGTGAACAGGACACAATCATCGCCCTGATGTGCAATATATGGAGGAAGCAGGAAGAAGTCAAAGGCGTCAAGAGGGACCTGCATGGCTGCATTAATAGTTAATTAATAGCATATAAAAAATGATAAACAATCGGCTTGTTGAGATAAGAGGTGAGTTTTCTGATCATCCTTGTCAGGTCATTTCTCTGATTTTATCCCTAGAGGCTCCAACATTTCTATTTCTGAAGTGTCTGTCTGACACCGAGAATAAGCAGATCAGGATGATCAGGGACCATCTAGCTTATTAATTCTTATTGTTAAAGAGTTAAGTTAAACAACTTAACTCTTGCAATCCAGCGTGAATGAAAGTTAAAATTTTTCCAAATAATTTTCAGACTATGAAGAAACACTTGCTGGTGAAATTCAGAGCAAGTTGAAACCAGACATCATAAACTGCGCCTCCATCGCCGAGATGTTTGGCTGTGTCCGGCCTAAAATTTTCGCAGTGCATAGCAACATTTTCCGACTCCACAGTAACGTCACCGACCGGGTCATGGCAGCTTATACGGTTAACTGTAACAACATATCATTCAAAGACAAGGTAGGAGTTATAAGCTTTATAAAATTTTTATACAGTAGTAATAAAATGTTTAATACCCAGATAACAGAAGAGGTGATCATTTACTATGAATTCTTCAAAAGGGGAGAAATATGGGCTGCATTGAAAAAGGCGTTAAAGGAAAAAAACATCCAGCTGTTACCGCAGGGTGAGACCGCGCTTAATATACTTGCTTATCGACACTTATACACGGCAGTACAAGTCCAGAAGAAACAATTGCAGCATTACTGGTTAGAACTCGCCAAGGTATTTATATTTTTTATTCTTTGTAAAAAAATAACAAAAATACTTAATTTTTTTATTAATTCAAGGAAGAGAATGAGGAAGAAAATTTGTATGACAAGCTTAAATCATGCATGCTGGCTAAGGCACTGGAGGCCCTCAACGAGATACGTTTTGAACTTTTCTGCAGTGATTCCGATTATGCGAGAGAAGCTAAAAGAAAAATCGAATACACCTTCGAACAAGCAAGGACTTTGCACAAACTCAATCACAAATCGTCCACATATCACAAAGCCACCGTAACTGGGCTGAATCTTGCCAGGGTAACACATACATCAATTATCCGATTTTTCTAGGATTCTAATTGAAGTATTTACAGAATAAGCCAAACGATTTTGTTAAGACGATGTACAATACGAAGCTGCCACCAACAGAGTACATGGTGCCTGTAGAACCGGTTGTAGAAGAAATAAAGAAAGCTGCTTCCATAAGTGCTTTTGATTTGGCAGCGTTGCACAGTCCATCAATTTCGTTTTGAACAATAGTCCCTTTATTTTAAATATGCACACAATTAAATAAACTAAAATCAAAAATAATACAATATATATTACATATTAGCTGTATGTTCATGGACATAATTGCGATGAGAAGATTTTCATGTGTTACAAAAACCTGGTAACTTCACATTTTGTGAAACAAAACCTTACAATCTAGGATTTAATTTAAAACTCATTTTTGCACACCTTTGACCAACCTTCCACCATATGTGGCAATAAGTTTAAGTTTTACTGTACTTATTCACACAATATACACTAAGCAACATTTACAATATTAACATATTATTCTTATTGTATAAGTAGAAAGTACAGAAATTCACTAAATCGGCCGAGCAATTCAAATTTTTGTTAAAGTAACTTTTACTTAAATTTTACTTTTTTTATCTGATCTTCATTCTGATTATACTTACATTTTTCTTTCGACAACATTTACAATACTGTTATGACTGTAGTATGAACATTTATTTCTCATTTGAAAACATTTAATATTTATTTAGTGTACGCATTTTCATCAGTTCGAACCGATTCATTTTTCCTTACAACTTCACCAAATGGCTAGATACTGAATATTCCAACTTTAAAACCACTCACGCCAACCAAGATAATCTTGTATTTTTTCGTTTTATTTTTTTGTTTTTTGTTTTTTTGGAATGATTTATCATATTTTAAAAATTATTATGCTATCATTAGCCAGAGGATAAAAGTTATCGCAATGTAGAGGAACATTTTAGATACGACTTCATCTTCTTGTGGTATCCCTCTTGCAGCTTCAAAAGACAAAACAGACGAAGAAAAAATTCATTAATATAACGAAATGAACTATGCATTTTTTAAATTTTGAATTAAATAAATTTACCTTGTGAAGGTCTTTGATCATGTGGATTAAATGTGGATGTAATAAATCCAAATGGAAAAGCTCCGATGCCAAAAGACATGTGGAAACTACCATCACCAAACCCAAAACCTGGAAATCCCTGTAAAAAATATATCTATATATAGATACATAGATATTATATACCATAAACCAGTAATCATGAGAGAGTGAAAGAACACATTTGCACATACCCAACCTATATAGTAAATAGTTAAAATTATAGGATATATTAAATAGTTTCTGAAACTTCTAACTTACTAAAAAGTTACACTAGACTTAGTGAGAAATCTTAGTTACCTACTTACTTGATCTGCCAAAATTAATATTTGACAAATAAGAAAGCAAGAGAAACTGTGTTGTACGTGTGTGTGTGTGTGTGTGTGTGTGTGTGTGTGTGTGTGTGTGTGTGTGTGTGTGTGTGTGTGTGTGTGTGTGTGTGTGGCTCAAAGAGAAAGAACAAATACTGACAATGAAAAAAAGGACAGGCTGACTGAACAAAAGAAAACCGAAACTGGTGAGAGAAAGAAAAAAGAGAGGCTGAGAGAGCAAGAGAAGAGAAAGAAAGAAAGGCTGAGGGAGAGAAAGAAAACAAGAAGTTAAGAGGGAGCGGGGAAAAATTTTGCTGAGGGAGAGAAAGAAAAAAAGAGAAGGAGAGAGGGGAAAATGAGATTAAAAAGAGAAAAGACGCCGGGAAAGAGAACAAGAAGGCTGAAAGAGAGGAGTAGGTGTGTGTGTACTAAAAATGTCCACAGATAAAAAATACTTCCATTTTGCCGTGGCCAGCCAGATCACCAGATCTTAATATTATTGAAAACTGATGGGTAGAGCTGAGTCGAGCTGTTTGCGCACAAGGGAAACAGTTTAACTCCAAAAGTCTGCATTGTAGAAAAGTGGAACAACAAAATTACATAAACAAAACTGTTCAAATCTCTTCCAAAAAGAGTGGTGAAAATCTTGGAGGACCAACACACTACTGAGTTAGGTAAATAAAAAATTTATAATAATAAATACGCTTAAAAATAAAGAACTGGCCTATATTTTTGCCGTGTTTAATTTTTTTTTCTTTTTTTTGTTACGGAATATGCTTATTACAAAAACATTGTTTATTAACTATAATAATTGGGGACCGCGGTAGCCGAGTGGTTAGCATGAGAGACTCTCACGCCACAGTCGTGGATTCGATTCCCACCATCGCCTCTGGCCCTTTTTTCCGATAACCCCCAATTTGAACAACATATATATAAGAATTCGTCATGGCTAATATGCAAAGATCATAAGGCCACTATAATTTGAAATTTTGTACAACCTAAATTAATTTTATAAAGTCTTGATCTCTAGAAATATGATTATCAAACAAAATTGGGTGTGGCCTATTATTTTGTCAGGGAGTTTATCTACCAAAATTAAGATTTTGCAAACATAAAATTTGACAATTAGGTCACGGTGTCATCAGATTAATTTGTTTGGTAAATGTGTACTTATGAACAAAAAAAAACTTTTCTCATTTCTTTCAACGAATTGTTATCTTACAAATAATTTTCTAATAGATTTTATTATTTATTTATTTTTAAGATCTTAACAATATTGGTGCATTACATAAGCACATGCATACTGAAATATATATGTAAAAATCGATTCAACTTACTGTATTTTCTGGTTCTGACCTTTGTCCTGCAGGTCTAGGAGGAATTTTTGTCCTGAAAGTACATCTGACATTAACAATTTCATACAAAATTAAAATTGGAAGTTGATCCATTCTCCAAAAAATAATACCTTGGGTCTTCTTGTTGGTTGCTTCCTCGTCCATACAGTGGTATTACTTTATCCCTGCTTATTCCTGCTTTGCAAACTGGACAAAGCTGCCGCATGGGCTGTGTGTCAAGCCATTGATGAAGACAAGGCCAGCTTAAAAAAATAATACAATTCAATGAACCATTTCCAATTATTTAATTAATTATTGTTATACATAACATTAACATTACGTATAACATGGAACAGGAAAATAAGATAGATAAAAAAATAAAATCGATTTTAAGGATAAAAGTTTTCCCCATATACTTCCTATAAATAGATTAAAATTAATAAGCTGATTCCTCTTCAGATTAGATTAGGTAAAGAATATAAGCAGGGTGTGGCCAAAATTTCATTTATGCTGATTTAGCCATATCAAATGTCCAATACTTTAATAATAGGGAGTTTAAGTTAGCCAGTTTAGATGAAAGAACTTTGATAATTTGGTCACAAAGTCTCATTTCTCTTAAACGTCTGGGTTATAAGAAAAGTGGGGCAAGATGGAAAATCTAGTTCTGCAAATTTTGCTGTTGAAGGCTCAATTTTAAGTGAAAAAAATTTGATTGCTTGTTAAATCTCCAATCTTTTGACTGTCAGTTGTTGATGCTAACTTTTTTCAAGCACTCAATATTATGACGATGTGTAATGTGGTTGTTACTTATCCTATTCTTGCTGGTATAGGTTTTTCGCAACTTTAATCATTTGTTATGATACAACACAACTCTTACTGTGACTGTTACCTTTTTAAGTTGAATTATTAGATGTTAGATATGAAATTTTATTAGTCTTTAGCTTTCAAAATGTAATCCTAAAAAACAATTATTCTCCAACAGAGCACAATACAGCAATGAATTTCCAATATATTTTATCTTCAAAAGAGTTTATATAACAGATCCGACTGTTCATTTTGGCTTTCAACTGTTGTTAATATCAAAAATATAATTTTTGCAGCTGAATATTTGGATTACATTATCAAATTATATCATCACAAGATGTGACATGTATTATCTTATCTGTAAAAATTTTTGAAACTGTTTTAGCAAAGTAAAATATTTGTCATTTGGTGTTACTACATTGAAGGCAAATCTGCAGCAAACATTTGCCCTGAGAGTCAATTAATATGCTGTATTACATCAAAGTTTCTTAATCAAAGGCCAAACAGTACAAATAAATTTACATGTCAGGGTCAATTTAATTGACATTCCATGGGCGGTTTTATACCTAATTAAAAATAATAGTGGAACTTTGAATATATTCATTGACTTTTGTTTAAAACTTACCCAGCAAAACAAAAATTCTATTATAAAAAAACCCAAAAACAACATTTTTCTTTTATTTTGTATTTTATATTCAACAAGTTCAATCCTTATCTCTGTCAATGAGAATAAACTCACTTAAAAAATTTTGTTTTCATACAATCAAAAATGACGTTTATCTCTTGTTTATTAGTTTGAGACGGACAGTCAACGTTTTCGGCCTCACAGTTAATTAAATCAACAAGCATTCAGATTTAGCTTGTAAGTGTTGTAAAAAGAATATAATGGGCTGTTGCACAATGGGAATTGGTAATAAGCTGATTTAAAAAAAAAAAAAAAAAAAAAAAAAAAAAAACTGAACCAAATTATTCAACCCTCTGTGAGCAACTTGAACAATAATAAAATAAAAAGTAATTTAAAAGTGTCATAATATTTATAGAAAGTAAAACAAATATTTGAATAGAAGCATTAAACATTTTTATTGTATATTTTTAATTTCTAGTGATGATCGTTTGTGTTATTTATTCTAGATTGTACAGGAATAAAGTCAAGGTTGTTAAAGATATTTTTAAAAACTATAATTGTTTGTAAGAAAGAAAAACTACATTAAAGTAAGTGTTTCATTGCAGACTAAAAAATCACTTTTTATCTATCTAAAAACCTTAATCTACATAAATATATATGGATAAATTAGACGAGTATCAGTAGGCATAAAGATAGAATAGCCATTTTGCACTTTTGACAACCAAACTACAGGTTCATAAACTCACAATTTTATTTCTTATGTTTCAGTATTCTTAGAATACTGACTCGTATAGGTCATCTAGACAACAATAATGATCCTAGATATGAAATTAAATTAAATTGCTTCAAGGCCAAGAGAAAATCAACAAAAAGCAATGTATGCAGTAGAAAGCTTAATATTTACATTTTGCAAAACTATGAAGGTGTGCATTTTAAATTTGTTACAGATCATAAGGCTTTGATTGCAAGTTTCTCCATGGGGTCTGTGGGGTAACGAACCTGTAATTTGTCTCGATGGTTTTTCTTCTATCAGTTAATGGCAAAACTATTAGCTGCTTGATAGATACACATACTTTCAAATTTGGATTCAAATTCAAAATTTGACCGACTGGATAAAATTGATGCCGCAAGGCATGTGGTACAGCCAAAATTATCAGGAAGGAAAGCCTGAGATTTCTCCATAGAAATTATTCTCCAAGCTTAATATTACTCATGCATTGTAAGCAAATGATGAAAGTTCTTTCTCCTTAACTGGCTAATATTCAGTGTTTGACAAATGAAATTAGCAGAAATGGAAGAAGTCTTGTCTCACACTCCTTCTAACCACTCCTGTCATTGTGTGACTCAGATTTAAGAGGAGTAATATGATCAAAATTATCTCTCTTAAATTTCCTGGTCTACTTGTCAGGACTTTCACTACAATCTGTGGAGTTTAATTGGACAACTCTTGCCACCTTTTTGTCATTATTAAGCAAACAAGTGTATTTTAATATTTTAAAAATTATAAAACTATTGCTAAAGACAGTGTCTGACAGGCCAAAACAGTGAGGATAGGCGAACAAGGATGATCAGAAAATTAATAAAACAAGTTTGTTTTCTAGTTCCCTAGGCCTCCTTATTTTTGAAATATCAGTACCATTGCATATTTATCTAGTTGTACCAGTTATGAAGACCTGCATCCAACATAAATGTTAAATTAAAAATAAATAAATAAATAAATTACAGAAGCAAAATAGTTATATATCTTTTAAAAGAAACTATATATAATGAAAAATTTAATATTTTTTTAAAAACATAAGCCTTATAATAAAACATAAAATACAATCTTTTGTCATTCTTATATCTTTGAAGATGCTAATGATGGGTTTAAATTTCCGAATATGTGTTAGTAATGAATTTATTTTTTACAAACCCACATGGAATTGGTTTTTCTAAACAAAAAAATAAATAAATAAAAATAATTTAAAAATTAAACAACAGACTAAACATTGTCGGTCAATTTCCAGCGTAATTTAGCATTAATTCTTAAGATTAAACAAGTTTATTTTTAATTTGACAAAACGTATTCAAAGGTATAAAGTATGCTTTGACTATCAAAAGTCACATGTTTGTTACCAGTGTGAAAAATATAAGAAAATTAACAGTTTACAATTTAAAAATTGAATGTCGAATTCCTTATATTTAGAAAGAAAATATTTGCCAGCTGATTTTGTGCATTAATGAAGGATCATTGATTCCTTATTAATCACTGGATCACAATAACAATGAAAAACAATAGACTCTATTCCTACAAATCCAGTAAAATGACTTTTACCTTCATTTGAAATGTAATAATATGTATGGGGTACATATGTTATGTATGTTGCATATGTTATGTTTTTTCAGGGTACCTACAATTGACATCTTACCAATTAAAAAAGCGCTTTTAAAACATCAATTTATCTGAGTAAAAGAGAAATCAAAGGGAAACTAAATGTTATTTAAAAAAATATATATATCCTTTGACTATCAGAGTCTCATATATTTTTGAAGGATGTTCAACTGTCATGCAGAATTTTTATGCATTCCTTAAATAGACTAATTTGACGTATAAAATGGACTATCAAAATACCACTTTTCTGTCAGTTAAGAGAAAAATTGAAAAAGTTAATTTTCATTGTTAAAATAGACTATTGATTCCATGAGAAAACATCAATTCTCATTTACAAATTAAAGAATTGTGTTATTGATAAACACATTATCCCAAGAAATATGCAAATGGTTTCTTGTTTTGAAAACTGATAAGAGACAATGAATGCTTCGGCTAGCAGTTTTTTTTTTTTCTTTTTTGTAATGGAATTTATCAATATGTGACTGTAGAGCAATAAGCGAAGTACAATCAAAAGTATAAGCAGTTCATTTTTTACACAAACTTGTTTATTAACAATATTTGGAAACTTAAACAATGATAAAATATTAGAAAACGCAAAGTTGAAACAAACAAACCTGTTTTCTTCAGGGTCTACATCTAAACTAGTTGGCAAATAAGGAAAAAAGAATGAACAATGAACTTTTTAACTAAAAGAGAAATCTTATCACATCCCACATTAAATCTACAAATACATCTCAGTTCAGAAAACATCTCAACTCACAAAAAAACTGATAACCAACTTACTGCACCCAATGTAATGAGAGTAGATTGTGTTCCACACGATATCTCAGGAAACATGTTCTACATAGTTTAAACAAAGGGCCAATACAGAAATTATATTTGTCAGTCAATTTCCTGCATAATAGAAGAAATTGATGTTAATCAAGGAAAATGATCATCCTTAATTTGACAATCAGGTCTTGATAATTAACAATGGCTACAATTACGAAGAATGATCAAGTTACAGCATCAAGATGATTATGATGACCCTTATATGATCTTTTATCATCGTCATAACAATGGATACCTTATCAAAAATGTTCTCACAACCCTTTCATACAAACCAATAAGACACCACAAGAATGACACCACTTGATGCCCTGAATAAAAGTCTAAATGTCCGGGGGGGGGGGTGAAAAAGGTGTTTTTCTAAACTACCTCATTATTGACTGCTCCTCATGACGTCAACAAATTATGGGACAAGCACCTAGAAACACACATTTCTACCCGAGAGGAACAACATAACTAACAACATATCACTACCAAACATGGACATCAAGCCACTGTCACACTCAAAAACATAGCAAGAAACCCGAAGAACTAGCAGCTGCTACAATCAACAGATTTTCTCACTAAACTGTAGACATTACAATACTTTCACACGAAACCACTATGACACCACGAGAATAGCACCACTTTATGCGTTGAAGATGACCTGAATAAAGGTTGAAACGGCAAAAAATGAAAATGGTGTTTTTCTAAACTACCTCATTCTTGAACACTCTCACGACTCAACATGATTAGATATCAATCCCAGAAAACTAACATTGTTAATTTGACAATCAAGTACTGACAATTTATAATGAGTAGTTTATCAAAATGCCATGGTTTTTACAAGTGAAAAATCATGTAAAAGTCAGTTGACAACATTTTCTAAGTACAACTTGTCAATTTTGATATACAGGTTGAGAAATAATGTACTTAATACTTTAAAAAGTTGACAACAGACTTGCTAAAAATCGATGTTAATTGATGTTCATTGATCAATGTATGAATGTTGTGTTAATACGATTGTGTTAATAAATCAATACATGCACTTTATACTTTAAAAAACTGATAACAGACTTGCTACATACAATATTGAAAACATATGTCAATCTTCCACATAATGTTCAAAATTGATTACGAACGATTAGATATCAATCCAGGAAAACTAACATCCTTAATTTGACTATCAGGTACTGATAATTTATAATGAGTGTAAAAAGCCGTGGTTTTTACAAGTGAAAAATCATGTAAAAGTAGTTGACACTTTCTAGGTACAGCATGTCAACTTTGATTGGATGACAATTAATGTACTTTTACTTAAAAAAGTTGACGACAGACTTCCTAAAACCGTTAACCTAAATTTTAAAAATAAAAATCAGTACGCAACACTTCCTAGGTACAATTTGAATACCTTGAACTATTTATGAGACTAGATGCACTTTATACTTTTAAAAAACTAACAGATTTGCTGAAATCATAATTGTCAGTAATTTTCTGCGTAATGTAAGGAATTAGGCATCATATGACAATCAATTAATGTCAATCCAGGAAAAGTGGCATCTTTGTCCTTAATTCAATTAAATAAAGATATGTAGGTCATGTAGAGGAATCCAGTATATCCTGATTAGTGGGTTTGACTTTCTCATCTTTCCAACACCACTATAGACATAGAAACTGTTTAACTTAAAGCACAAACGTCATGACAGCTGATTTTCCAATAGGACTTTCTTTTAGAACTATTTTCACGTTTTGACTAAAGGAATAATGAGTTTGTTGTTGTTGTTGTTGTTGTTGTTTGAACCTTGAGGGTCGTGGTTCGCCCTCCGGGGGTGGAGTCAGCAATGACACCCTTATCAGGATGACGGGGGTCGTGAAATGTTGCGTCATCCCTGTGCTGTCAATCCGTCAAAGAAAGGGCAATCGGAAAAAAGGCGATTTGTGCCCGTTTTTTCGAGTCGGCTTACCAAAATAAGTGGCCGCACATACTGATGACCGCGTCCTTGGCGGTGTCCAGGCAGATGTTGCACTCGAACATGGGGTTCTCGTCCTTTTCCTCGCCGTCCTTGCCGCTCTTTGACGGCCCTGGGGCGTTGGTGGTTTCCATCTGGCGAAAATGGTTGAAAAAGCTCGGGTTCGAAACGGCCTTATAACTCAATTTGGGATTTTTGTCGTGTGTTCTAAACCGCTGGGCGTCACTGATCGAGTGTTATTTTCCGAGATGTGGCTGCCGTCCGGCCGCTCGACTACGTGGAGCACTTTTAATTTTAATTTCGAATCACTACACCTCCGAACGGGTACTTCATGGGAATAACTCGAGTAACGAAATAATACGTCATAACAGAGATCTTCTCGGTCGTGAACTGAGGCGAGAAGTGAAAACGATCTAGTCATCATCCATCGGGACTTCTAGTTCCCGCTGTGATCTGTCACGTACGCAGCCGACCGACGGTGCACTCTCGACGACCAACCTACAATTAACCGAAGATCCAAGACAAACCAGTTACACAGGAATATATTATTTACTTTAATATATACAAAAAATTATTTTCCATCAACAACACAGTGACAACTTTCCTATCATTTCCACTATGCAATATTCTACTAATATGTGTAGTATTTAGTGTATATTAATTAATTCTACTAATAGTCCTACTCTTTTGTCATTGAAAAATCCCAACTTGATGAAAAAATAACCAAAATTATGCAAATAAAAAGTTGTTTTAAAAATATATTATATATTTAGACAATTTTAATATAATAAAAACTTGTTTTCCATCTACAACACAACATCAACATTCCCCCTCATTTCTACTATGCGGTATTCTGCTAATATTACTCTTTTATCGGTGGAGACCGACTTTTTTACATAAAAATGCTATATTCATGAGCATACATTTTACAATATATTTCATACACTTTCCTTATGCAACAATGTATTATATATTTCAACAATTTTACTATAATAAAAACTTATTTTCTATCTACAACACATTATCCACATTCCCTCTCATATGCTCTATATATGTATCTGCTATGCAATATTCTACTACTAGTCCTACTACTTTGTTGTTTTTTCTTATTCTCTTAGTAGACAGAGAAATTCATAGAAATTGCACCTTCAAAAAATAACATCATTAATTTGTAAACGCTTAAATCCAAATTGATTAACAAATAACAAACATTTTTCGAATAAAAAATTGTTTTTCTAATGTAACAATACAAAGTGCTATATTGTACTACAGTTAAGCTTATTGTTACATAAAAATGCTATATTAAAGCTTATTTTCCTTTGACAACATAGTATCTCCTTTCCCACTCACTTCTACTATGCAACATTCTACTACTAGTTCAACTCTTTTGTTGTTTTTTCTTATTCTCTTATAAGAATGGTTGGGATTTAGGACCTGATTGCGATAGGTGCTGCAATGGACTATCTGCTAGCCCCTAGAGCCCAACCTGAGTGTCTGGCCGGATAAGACTGAGACCAGACTGCCAATGCCCAATCAGCAGATTCTCAACACCAGCCAGTAATTTATTGTCAATTACAAAAGCTGGAATGGTGGACTGCGAGAAGTGACAGGCTCAAACTCTTTACAAGTGTGGGCTTGAGCTTATATAAATCAATAAAAAATTATTTTACGTCAACAACACAGTAACAACTTTCCCTCTCGTTTCTACTATGCAATATTCTATTACTAGTCTTACTATTTCGTTGGTTTCTCTTATTCTCATATTGGACAGAGATTGCACAAATTTCATTTTTAGAGTAATAATATGTTTAACAGTCCAACACTTTTTATTGTTACATTGTAAAAAAAAATCTTTTTACTCATACATTGTTCATTATTTGTTAAACAATTTGGATTTAAATATCAATTTAATTTTTTGAATGTGTGATTTTTATGACAGTTTTAGTACAGATTATTAATTAAACAAGTTCCTTGATGAACTAGTACTCTTTGGTGTGCTATAAGTACAGAACATAGGATGCAATATCTCTTAATGAGGGTAGAAAACTTCACGCCCCATCTAATACATCTACATCTACAAATTATTAAGGTATGTTTACATGTGACACATTTGTCCAGAAATAAATTTCGAGTGTCAGATAGAAAATTGCTTTGACTGTTTACATACTGATGGAAATTACTAGAAAATCAAGGATAAGTATACAACAGTTCTCAAAATGCGAAAATTGGAATAAATTTACGATCCATTTACACACAAGATAGATTTGTATGTACACTTGTATTTATTTCATTCTGCAAACATTTGATTTTATTTCTAAAGGTGAAAAGGAAGAAAAAACGTTCTTTATGGGCTCGATAGTGTGTTTTGTGACATGAAAAAGTCAACGCCTACATTAATTAATGTCTGAGCTCAGTACTGAGGATCCGAAGTACAGTAGTCAAGTTCCCGAATTTTTAAAGAATGAAACCTGCTCATCTCGAAAATCTTGCTTGTAAAATTGGCCCCTTATATCAAAGCAAGATAAATTCAGAACGGCTTCCTGCAACTTTGCAATTTTTAACATTTGGTAAGTAGGTACTACTATTAAATAAAAATTGTAATTTCAATTTTTTTTAAACGATTTAAATCACTTTTTTTGTCGCTTATGTTTATGTGACACTTATTGTAATGGCAGAAAAGTAGAAGTTTTGCGACAAGTGTCGAACAAGGTTGAACTTGCAACTAACTGATGTTGTTGGAATAGAAGACCGACACAAATAGCTAGTGGTTGAAATATATATCTCTGACATAAATTCTTCACTGTTGACATTAGCCACGATTTCTGCCTGACATAAATATCATGCAACAACTGTCAGATGTAAACGTACCCTTACTCGAAGTTTGTAGTGCGGCTGACGGTCACAGGTTCATAGAGGGGCGCGGGGAATAAAAACCAAACTGCTTTTTCCCTTTTTCTCTTTTCCGTTCAATTAAATTATTCAAAAGTTTATAAAGAAATTTTTATGTTTGGTTGTCAAAAAGATTATGGTTTAACGATGGAGGCGAAAATGTCATTGGATCAGGCAGGCCACGAGGCGGCGAGGTGCACCACCAGCACGACGAACCGGCGGAGGTTTTAGTTTTAACTCTTCTAGTGTCGTTTTACCATCGGAGGAACGATTGTGGACCTGAAGACGTCCCAGCCGCTGAACATAAATCTCATAAATTTGTTATTTCATAAGAAAAAATGGCCCTCTGCTGTGCAAGTAAGTTGAATTTTCGCCTTTTTACACCCCCTCGGCGGCGGGAGGGCAGCGCTGAGGTTAACCGGTCCGAGTCGCCGGCGTCTCTTGCTTCTCCCTTCAAAAAACGTCCATTTTCTCCATAATTAATCCATTCAAAACCGATTTGACAAGATTTTCCTTTTAAAAGCAAATTAAATCTTTTTTCAATCCTATCAGCACAGTAAGATCCACTGATGGACAAATTTAACGCACCACTATTTATTTAGTTTAAAATTTAATCCATTGTTTTTTATTTATTAGTTACAGGTAATTAGGACGTATCAAAGTCAAACTAAACAACAAATAATACTTTGTTTACTTCCTTTCTTTATTATTGTTCTGATTAATCATTTGGACAAAAAATAGCATTATGCTCTTCCTTTCTGCTACGCTTAATGATCGCTATCAGGTAGTCTTTTTCCTTCGTTGATTTCATTTGATATTATTCATATCGGTTTTCAATGGCTTCAGTCAGGCTTTTGAGTGACAATGTCAGGGTATAACATTGTTAGCGCAAATCTCAGACAATGAAAGACACCACTTCTTGGTCATGATTTGCTTAATGTGTATGGGAGGTGAGCCAATGAAGCGGTTGGCCTTGGTGAAGGTTTGAACTACTAGCGGTACAAAAGCGTTGATGTTGACTGCGATTCCACGTGGCCGAATCCCTTGGCATCAACACCTTGGTTTGACGAGGATGAGCCAAGGATGGCCAATACATAAGTGACCAAAATTCGGCCCAATGTATTGGTTGTCTTTCGTTCAAATTTGCTTTAGTGTATATGCGCCTTGAGAGGGATAATAGCCAGCACGGAGTCGCCAGGAGACTAAGTGCAAATCACTCTATGATAGGAAGGGTTCTTTGGTGCTTTAGAGGAATAGGGCTTCACACTAGAAGGCCAGGGTAGGGTCGACCTAGGTCTAAATACAAGAGAGACGCTTGATTCATCAGACTCAATGAAACCGCAGCATTATGGGAAATGAGATAAGAAATCTTTTCTAAAACAGAAGTCTAAAATGTTTCCATTACATCCAGAACTGTAAAAAGGCTCGATGAAAATAATTTCAGGACTTGGCTCAAGGACCTTTTCGTATCACAGCTCAGAAAATTCACACGGGAACATGTGAATTGGACATTAGACGAGTTCTCAGATAAGGTCTGAGTTGGCCTCAAATCTTCAGAAAACTGAGGTGCCCCATGCTGTATGGTTCAGGTGGCATTCCACGGTGGGTTGGGTATCAGTGTTCTGGAATGGCACTTCCTTGGATACCATCAAATTGGTTGTTGTGCGAGGAAGATCTCTAACTTCACGGAGCTACTTACAAGACATACTACAAAGCATCAATGTTTTTCATACATTCTTTTGTCCACATCAATTGCTCAGGCGATTGCAAAATTAAAAAACAGGCTTTTGGACATTTCAATATATCATAATTATGATTCAAAATATTTTGAATATTTTCCAAAAGGGACCGGGATGCTGTGGTAATATATGGGAAAAATTCCCAATTCATAAATTATTCATTGATAAAATGAACTCTTTTTTAGGAATTTAAGAACTTTTCTATGATTCTATTTTCTAACATCTTGACAAAATGGCAGTACCATGTCCGTATAATTCAGAACATCTCATATGCATCTTCTCAGAGAGAGTTAGGCTTCTGTTTCCACTTTACATATTTTATTAATCCAATTACTTCCATGTTCATCTGACAAATTCTTAAATTTAACTACTTAGGTATGATCAACAATTAAACTAGAATTTCTGAATGGATTCCTCTAGGGCTCGACTAATCAAACCAGCCTAATATTATGAAAAACATCCAAGGAACATGCCCAAACATTTTCACAATTCTATTTTTCATGTCAAATTATAAACCTTGTCTGCTTTGACACATTGGTAAATGCACTCTTTCTTTTTTGTCAATTTAAGTATTTTTCTAAGATGTTACATTGTTACTTTCTTTAGGTGTTTAATGAATTTCCCAAATGGCATCATTATATCAGTTTCATACAAAATATCACCTTTTTCTTCTCTTTCTTTGATTTCAACTTTACATATTTCATTAATCCAACTTGTTATATGTTCATCAGATGTACAGTCTTAATTTTAACTTCTTATTTGGAACCAAGGAATTTCTTGATGGGTCCTCTAGAATGTGATGCATAAAACCCGTCCTGTGTTACAGCAAAAACATTTGATAAACTGATCATAAAATATTCTTAATTCTGATTCATGTATGTTTAATAACCTTGTCTGTAAAGACATATATAAATTAAACATTGGATAAATGTACTTTTTTTAAAAGGAATTTTTAGTACTTTTCTAAGATTATACTTCATTAATTTCTTTAGGTTTTTAATTACATAAATATTAAACAAAACAACAAAATATAGACTCAAATCATTTTCAATTCTGATTCATGGTGAATTATAAACCTTGTAAACATTGCCACATATAATGATAAATGCAAACTTTTAAATATATTTTAAAGTACTTTTATAGAATGCCACTTTGCTACTTTCTTTAAGTTTTTTTTAAACGTCTTTCCAAAATGGAGGTACTATATCATATAAGGACAATTTTTTATTACAAGATTTATCAGAGGTGATGACAATAGTCTTCTAATATAGCAAAATTATTATGTTGAAGGATGATTACTAATTATATCTGATATAATCGCATAGAAAGTTAGCTCTTTGGCAGATAATTTTACCCATTTTATTAATAAAAATGGTAATGAGTGTGAACTGTGTACTTAATTGTGGGTCATGTGTACTTTTTTTTTTTTTTTAATTTGTCAGCTAGTTTACTCTTCTAAATCTTGTTAGGTCATAAACTCACATTAGGGCATCAATTTCAGTTCAGGTCCTCTAGATTTTTCTTGAGATTTCCTATTTCACTATTTAACTTTGAGTCAGTCTAATATATACTTCTTATACTTGAAGCATTATTATCCCTTTCAAAAATTTTTAAGTGCTTCAATTCATTTTGTCATTTACAGTATCAAATGAGGTACCGGAACACCCGGTCGTTTCTCCCGTCTCGGGCTTGATTTTTGAGAAAAGGCTTATTGAGAAGTACGTCACAGAAAATGGTTCGGATCCAATCAACGGCAAGGAACTTACTTTGGAAATGCTCATCGAAGTCAAGAGTAAGATCTTTTTATAACATTTTTATTGTTTTAGTTTGCAATTTAGTTTATATTATTAATTTATACTTACTTAAAATAATAATTGATAATTCTTTAACTCTGTACTTACATCATTATTAATTATTTGATGTGAAATAGCAAAAATATGCCTAAATTTTTAAAACATATAACCAAAAGATATACGTCTTCTAGAATAACAATGTTTTTAAAAGATGTAATATTTTATAGCAACCCCCGTGGTAAAACCAAAACCACCGTCTGCTACCTCAATCCCTGCGATATTGAAAACTCTTCAAGATGAGTGGGATGCTGTAATGCTGCAGAGCTTTACCCAAAGACAACAACTTCAGACGGCGAGACAAGAACTAAGCCACGCTTTGTACCAGCATGATGCTGCGTGCAGAGTTATCGGCAGGTTGTCCAAGGAAGTCACAGCTGCAAGAGAAGCGCTTGCCACGCTAAAACCACAAGCCGGCATGGTCCAACCATCTGCAGCCATACCACAACCTGTATGTTAAATATTTCTAATCATAACATATTTTGTAACTAACTTTTTTTTAATGCATAGGCGCTTGCTGTTGAAGCTGGTGGCATTGCAAACCATCCGACAGAACAGGCTGGTATGTCTGCTGAGGTCATTCAGAAACTGCAGGACAAAGCAACGGTCCTCACACAGGAGAGGAAGAAACGAGGCAGGACAATTCCTGAAGACCTTGTTACTCAGGAGACGATTAGAAACTTTAGGACAGTCGCTTCACATCCGGTTTGTCTTTAACCACTTTTACCCTTAACTTTATCTAACTTTTTTTTTCCATAGGGCCTTCACAGTGCTTCTGTGCCTGGCATTTTATCTCTGGACATTCACCAGGCCGACACCAGCAAAATTCTAACAGGTGGCAATGACAGGAATGCTACAGTATTCAACAAAGACACGGAACAGGTTGTTGCCATTCTGAAAGGTCACACTAAAAAAGTCACACGAGTCATATACCATCCTGAAGAAGTAATTATTTATTTTATTTTTCTAGGAAAATATTTCACTATTCAATTTAATATGTTAATAAAATTATTTCCTCAGGATATTGTGATAACTGCTTCTCCAGATACGACAATAAGAGTTTGGAATGTTCCCACATCACAGCCCTTACAACTTTTGAGGGCCCACGACTCACCTGTGACAGGGCTTTCGCTTCATCCGACAGGAGATTATGTACTCTCGACTTCCGTAGACCAACACTGGGCATTTTCGGACATCCGATCTGGGCGGCTTTTGACAAAGGTGAAAGCATAAAAAAAAATTTTTGTGAATCAATGATTTTTTTTCTTTATCTGTTTTAGGTGACTGAAGGAAGCAATGCAACAGCCTTGACTACTGCACAATTCCATCCGGATGGACTTATTTTCGGTACCGGCACATCGGACTCTCAAGTCAAAATATGGGATTTGAAAGAGCAGTCCAATGTTGCAAATTTTGCTGGTGAGTATTTCTCTTTATTAAAATATCTTATATTCTAGCAATAGTTTTAATCTGATCTAATATGATGGTATTGCCAAATTTTACATTGGTGCTAGATCATCATATCCAACCTTTGAAGTAGTTGTATATATCTTTGCTTTGCTTTTTGTTGTTATCCATGTTTAATAGTTTATCAATAATCTTTCAGGTCACACTGGTCCAATAACAGCGATTTCTTTTTCGGAAAACGGTTATTATCTCGCTACAGCTGCCGAAGATGCTTGTATCAAACTGTGGGACTTGAGGAAACTGAAGAACTTCAAGACGCTCCAGTTGGACGAGGGTTATGAGATCAAGGACTTATCGTTTGACCAGAGTGGAACTTATTTGGCTGTCGCCGGCACCGACATTAGGTATGTTGAAAAAAAAATGGGGGGTTTGAAGTCTGACTATGGCTGTTTTAGTCGTAAATTTGATTTAAAAAATTTGTCTACATTAACGGTATCTTGCCTGAATCCAGACTTTTACACGGCATGCACTACACAATTTGAACACTATCTTCACCGCCAACAAATGCATTTCTAATATTCATATTTATTCTTTGCCAAATGAAGATCTCGAAAACAAATTTATCATTGAGGAAGAGATTTACAAAATATTTATCCTGAATTGTCAGGCCCATATTGCCCCTTTATTGATGTAAGCCCATGAAATATTTATATTTACTGTCTCTTCTGAAGGGACTGCATCCGTTGGAATGACATTTGTGATTATACCTCAAGACTGTTGAATTAAAGGGCTCTGAATTATGATTATGATTATCTCTTGAATTATGATTACGGTGCCATGAAATTTTGTCGGCGATGATCAATTTGGCCAAGCTAGATCAAGATGATAGCTTAATAGTTGTGATCTCTCTGCATCCGAAAGTAGCCTTGGTTGGTTATAAATTGAATTGAATTGAATTTTTTCTATCTTTTGTTTTTTCAGTCCCGGCATTTTCACTTCTTGGTGTTGTAAAAAATGTATTATGTACACTCTTAAAAGTTAGCCAATACTCCAAGCTGCCAAATAAAGTATTTCGTCCAAATCTATCACTGTCTCACATAGAGTAAATAGTGTCTGTGAGGCACTGCGATTATGAGATTATATGCACAATAGTATATTTAGATGGTCACCGAATGGATCTACAATATTACTTTTATTTCCATAACTTTTGACATTTAGACGCAGTAAAACATTTTTCGTTCGCAAAATTTTTTAAATTCACGTTTAAAAAAAATTCATTATTATTTTCAGGGTTTACGTTTGCAAGCAGTGGCAAGAACTGAAACAATTTAATGACCATACTGCCATGGCGACGGGCGTCAGGTTTGGCAGGAATGCTCAGTTCATTGCATCGACGAGCATGGACAGGACACTCAAGTTGTACAGTGTATAAAACCCGAAGGCCCATATTATGTATAAATTATTTTATTGTATTGAAAGAACTGTTTTGCTATTGTTAACAATGATTTACTTTTTATATATAAAGTAAGAATTGTGCGAATGGAAGTTTATAAACATAAGTTCTTGCATGTACTGTTTCGTAGTTTTATTTTATTTTTCTATTTCTAAATATTGTTATTTCTTAAATTTTGTCTTTCTTCGTAAAAATATTCTGTTTTGACATTTCCTACATAACTAGTTCACTAAGAAATTGTATATTTATTAAAAAATTTAAGCAAATTGAAAGTTTAGTGATGTACTGAAATTAAAAGTAATTTTTGTAAACTGTAATTTTATTTTGATGTTTTATTTATGAATTTTCCTCATCAAACATCTTTTTATTTTCAATGTCAATTTATAAAATATAAGTGCAAAACATGTTTGGAAAGGAAGAAAAATTAATAATTAATGTGTGGTAATTAGTGACCGTTAATCGATGATTATTCAGAGATCGTGAGATGCGATCTGGTTAATAATTAATACTATGTCATAAAAATGTATTGTAAAAATTAGTTGCTATTTATTATTCTTAACTTATTTAACTCGATTACCAGTGGAAATAATCAGGTAAGCTTTAATTACATATGTTTAGTAGGACAAAACAAATTTACAAACAGATAAATTAATAAAAATCAGCCTCATTGACTTTGCTGCCCTCATTTTGTTGGTTTTTGATTTGGTCCTGGCTGTTGTACAAATCGGCAACCTGGGAAATTTTGATTAAATAATTAAAAATCTAAAAAAAAGTATTAGTAATAAAAAATACTGAGAAAGTTGTAAAGAAGAAGGGGCATACAACAAATCTGAGTATGATGGAAGTAGTAAAATAAAAGAGTAGTTTTGAATTAACCAAAAGAAAAAAATTAAAACTTTTTTATTAATTAAAAAATTGTTACCTGCTGAGCTGATGTTGCTTCTTCCACAGTTTTATCATCTCTGATCCTTAAAAATCTTGGAAATCTGAGTGAAATGCCCTTTTCCGGATCAACCTGTGTGAGACAAGTGTTAATTTATATTTAAAAAAAATCAATCAAAAATCATCTGCAATGGCCACTGACTTAAATTTGCTTGCCATGCTAGTGGTTCTGGGTTCAAATCCTGCACAGCCCATTACTTTTCAATAGATAAGTAAAGCGGTTTGGAATGGGTAGTTGGACAGACATTTTTAGATTTTTTCTATGAGAATTACTTTTAAATGACACCATCAATACCTCTAGCCATAGAAAAAGTAATAAAGGATTCTGGCAACCAGACCTCGGGAACCACTCACTAAATCCAGCTGATGGCCTATGCAGATGACATAGGCATCATAGTACGCACCCTCCCAGAACTAAAGATCACTTTCCTTGCTTGCCTTAACCATGGGTCTTACCATTTATGAGAATACTAAATACAGCTGGCTCAGTTTAATTCAAAACTTGATAATTCAAATTTATTGATAATATTTGTCCATGTAGTACTTAGTAGTCATAATTGACTATTAATTATTTAAAAAAAAAAAAATTATACTTTTATCTAAGGTCTTGGCTGAGGTGTATCTATTTTTCCACATCTTCATGGACGGGTCAAGACCACTTCATGGACACTACCTCTAAATTGTGGTACATAAACAGTTGAGTTGCCCTTCTAATCGTGGATTCCAGGGAGTATTGATCCTAACTCAAGTCTCGGAAAAACAATAGTAGGAGTGCCCAGAGAGATGTTGAGCTGGAAAGCAATCACTTACTATTGTGCATAAGCTCTTGCTCACCAAAAGCAGTTGATAGTTGGCCCACAAAGAAGCTAAATCATTGAGGAAGGATCATCGCAACCTCAAAATAGGCTGTACATAATTGACACACATACTCTTTTGGGCTAAAGCACGTACATGTCTGACAAGAAAAAGTTGTTCAATGCGTCTCACTTAACTGAAGTGTCTGTCATTCTTTGGCTTCATAAGGGAACGAGTAGGGATGACATCCAATATGAAAATTGTACTTGGGGGCAGCGAACCTTTGGGTCCACTTATATGATTTTGGAAGAATTGGGTACATATAGATTTTTTTTATGGAAATTATTATTTTGTGTTAATGTGTGAATGTACTTATAAGCAAGAATATGTAGTACAAGAGGATCAATGAATATTGATTGCTTTATCACCCTACTTGAATGAATGATATGTTAGGCAATGTGTTAGGGAGTGTGTCTAGGTTAAAAACAGCATTCGTAAGGGGTTGAAATGACTTTTCTGTCAATAGCCTTGTTATAAAAATATAAGAATAAATAAAATTAATTAATTAAAAAATAAATAATTACAATGCCAATTGCTGCTCGGTGAACTGGAGAAAGGGAAAGATCGGCACACTTTATCTCCCAAATTTGTACCGGTTCGAACCAGTGGTCAGGCTCGTGAGAAGAGTCATAGCGATAATATGACTTAGGGCTGTTGATGACATGCTCTTTGAAAAATTCCGAGTGGTTTTTAAGATCCTCGTCTGTAAATCCTGTCCCAATCTAAGATACATTTGATATTTTCATTACTAGTGTAAATTGTAACTTTTTAATACTATTTACTTTGCATATTGACTGATATTCTTCATTTTCTGGGTCATAGCACGCTAGGAGGAATCCGCCGTAAAGCCCAGTCCGTTTTCCCTTTCCAAGGTAACCACCAATCACTACTACATCAAGGCTGTCGCCGATACCGTCCACGTAGTCTTTTTTCAGTTTCAACCAGTTTCTCGACCTCTTGGCTATTTCATAAGTTGCTTCCTCCTCTAACGTTTTGACCATAAGACCCTCACAGTTTCCTGGAAATTATGTATAAATTTCAGTACATGGTTGAGATAAGATTTGATTCAATGTTTTTACCTTTGACAGATTCGTCTAAAAAGTCCTGCACCTCTTCCATCTTATTAGTGTCGAGACTGGTCGCAAATGTAAACTGGCTCTCGACTTCTTGGAAGTTTTCCTTGAGTAACTGCCTCCTTTCAATCAACGGCTTTTTAACAAGTGGCTGGCCATTTAGATAAAGCAGGTCAAACATGAAAACACACACCTGGACTTTAATTTCCGACTCATCTGCATCCTTAGAAAACAATAAATTAATAATAATTTAGTAAAAAGTGAATAAAGAAAAAATAAATTAACTGACTTTTCTCTTTCGTGTAGTGAGTACTTGAAAAGGCCTAATTTTCTTGGTTTCCAAGTCCCAAGCAACGGCTTCTGTATCGAGTATAAACGACTCTACTCCTTCTTTCACAGCAGATTTTAATCTTGAAATAATGTCTGGGTATTTAGACGTGTTGTTTTCTTGGTTACGGCTATAAATCGACACTTTTCCATCATTGTCTAGATGAATCTGATGCATTTATAAAATTGTTACTAGCTGTTTATTTTCCGGAGAGAAATATCAGAGGGATGCCAAATGGCAGATGATGAGTAAATTAAAAAATATTTACTTGTGCCCGTTCACCGTCGTATTTCCATTCACATGTGAACTTCAGCCCCTCGAACCGATGTAAAACCTCCTTGACTCCTTTTGTCGGATGAGCGAGCATGGGTTTCAAAGGAAGCCCAGGCGTCAGTTGGCATTTGTTGGGCAATTCTTTTATGCCTTCCTCCACGATAACCTTGATGATCTTATCATAGTTTGGACATTCACAATACGTTGTCTTCAAAATCAACGCCTCTTTGTCGAGCATGGATTTGAACTTTTCTGGCGACAACCCTTTTGAAGCGTTGAGGATCTTAGGTGGAAATTCTTGCCCAGGGGGTGTCATGACGCACGCAAGAGCCAGGGCCTTTAAAATAAAAAGAAATGAAATTTTTTGTATTTGTCAGTTAAATAATGTAATAATTACTTGTAAAACAGATTGTTCTGCTAATCCAATTCTTAATTTACCAGCTAGAGACCTTATCAAGTATCTAGCCTCAGGACCTTTGCAGGCTACAAACAAACCCTGGATTTTGTCTACTTTTTTCACCTGAGACTGAAAACCAAGTAATTAGTATATTTTGCGATTTAAAAGTAATTTTTAAAAAATTACTGTCGAGCCACTCATATTGGCGATTTCCTTCAGCTTTGTAAAAACGCCCTGGACGGTGAGAGGAGGTGGTGTGAACATCATCCTCTGTGAACATTTGCTCTGTTCAGCTACCAGGCCGAGGTCGCCAAGCTTGGTTGCTTGTGCCTTGATCTGTGCAACACTTCTACCTGTTGTCTGAGCAATAGCCTAATAACAAAAAATAATGACAAAAAGTATTTTATTAATGGTTTTCTGGCTATTCCATTGAAAATTTGCAGGATGAAACTCAATAAGGTGGTTGTTCACCAGTTAATAAAGTGCGAGAAAAGTAGGAGAACTTGTAGCATGCAAACGTTTTTCGATTAATCACAATTTTATCTTGACTCAATTTCAACGGATTAAGCAGCAATCACTGTATTAACAATATAATAATAATCTATCATGATTTTTATCTTGTGACCTAAACCAGGTGCTGATTTTCTAAGGTAATTATGGAATTAAGTACCTTAATAAGACTAGTTTCAGCGATTCCCAACTCCAAGCCCTCATAGGCTGGGGCGAGCTGATTCAAGCATAAGTATACAGAAGGCAGGAGGTCAAAATCGCTCAGGACGATCACAGAACGAAAGTAATTGCTCAGAATCTCAATTATTTTCAACCGCGCTGATATCTCTTCAATTTTCTCCAGCGTCTTTGAGAGGGCAATGTATGGCACTCTAGAATTTATTGTTTAAATATAGTTTTTGAAAAAAATTGTTTTCAGGTGTACAAACTTTGCGCCTTTTTCCCAGCAGGCGTCTTTGATTGGGTCGTATCTCAATTTGCTTGGATTGAAGTCGGTGAAGTTGCTGCATTTCTCACCATTGGTCAATTTACACGGTTCTGCTTTTTTTGGCGTTTCTACAATGTGTGTGTTTATAAATTAAAAATGGAAACAAAAGTATATTTTTACAACGAATATACCTTTTTCTTCAGAAATCTCATCTTTCATTTGAGAAACTTCATTGTTCTCTTGAGAAGTCTCATTCTCTGGAGAAACCTCGTCGTTTTCTTCAGATTTCTGTTTCAGGCAAATTTCAGGAGCCTTGTTTATTACTATTTTAGGTGAAACATTTTTTGTAAAGTTTACAACTGTTTCGTCAGTGCTTTCACTCCTCGAACTATCACTCTTTGTTTTTGAGGACTTCCTACGTTTACTGCTTTTGGTATGTTTTGACTCTGGGCTGCTACAAAAGAATTACAAAAAAAATAAAAATAATAATAATAATAATTAAAAAAAATAGAAATACATTGTACAACATCAGACAATTTATTTTTATATTACAGCTTTTTAATGTTCAATTAAATAAAAAATTAAATTTTACCTTTGTGATGCTTTTTTGGTTTTGCTCTCTGATGTAGGTACTTTGTTGCTGAAAATGTTATTTTTTCATATTAAACTAAATTTACACTTTTCCCTTAAATTAACAAACCTTGAAGTCGAGTCTGATTCCACATCTTTCGGCAACTCAGATGAAACAGTTTCTTTTACACTAAGAAAATATTAATTATATATTAAAAATTAAAATTATAAGAATAACATCGACGGTTTATAACAATACTTTTTATTTGTGGCCTCCTCTTCTTCACTGTCGCTCTCGATTTTTCTCGACCGTTTCCTTTTTACTGCATTAGCTCGAACAGGAGAATCAAGTTCCTTCGATAACTCCTTGTTGTCCCCTCTATGCCACAAGCACAAATTTCTTTTAATGTCTAACTCGGTGTGTGTTAACACAAGTTTACATTGATATTTATAAGATAACAGCCTGAGAGAACTCCGGCACAAAGAGGCGAACATCTTGAATGGACAGATTCATTTAATTATTAATCAAATTTGACATACCCATCGCCATTCTTTACGCTTTCAGGACTTAGAACGGTGCTTTTCAATGGTTTTTGAGTCGTATCAACTTTTTTGAAAAAGGATCTGAAATAATGGCACAAATAAAAAAATAAGCTGTATATACATATGTAATTACAATATATGATTTGTTAAAATTAATACTTGGCCAAATTTTCATTGCACATGAGAGAATTTTGCGACATGAAGCGTTGAATACAAAATTTTCACTACAGGCTTTATGGGATTATACATCATCAATGGATACATGATCCATTCATGAGGAGGTAATATGATCTATTTGTGAGGATTCATCATAAAAATGAAATCTCCAATATTGTTGTTTTGAGATATTATATCATACATGATCCATTCATGAGCATGCATCACAAAAAATGAAATCTCTTACAGACTTTTTGAATTTCTATATTAAACTCGATCCCTTCATGAGGGTGTATCACTAAACAACTGGTTTTTTGAGATTATATATCATACATGATCCATTCATGAGTATGCTCCACTCAAAATGAAATTTCCACTAGTGATTTTTTTGAGATTATATATCATGTACAATCTATTCATGAGAATACATCAGAAATGAGAAATGTCAACTAAGAGTTTTATGAATAATATGTGGCACATCTTCGGGTGATTTCGTAGTGTCAAGATACCAAGTTAATAATACCCTTATTAATAACCAGATGGTGTTGTTTAGACAAATAAAAGATAACTCATAGTTTTTAATAAATAAAACAATCACACATATCTACTGGGTCATTTTAATTTCATAATACCCAATGCCTTCAGGAGGCAGTTCGGCATCAAAGTTGCCCACCTGGGGCAAGGAACAAATTAGGAAACAATTTAGACAAAGAAATAGACAAACTACCAGTGTGTTTGCTACATCATTTTTTTTTTCAAGTGATCCTATGATACAGGCCTAGAAGGATCTGGCTCTTAACTTTGTCGTTTAGTGCCGCTTTATAATATAAATCCTGATGCTCTGTGTATAAGCACAAAATTCATTTATTTCTTTTTATTGGGCCACAAATTTATTAGTACATTAATAGATCCAAGATCGTGAAATTGCGATTGTCAAAAAATCTCTTCAGCGATGGACATCAGGACCATCATGTTCCTGGCTTGAGGTTGGAACAGCTTCACCTCAGTGTGACTATTCTATACAGAAGGAGCGTTGATAAGATTATGGACAAAAAACTATACAAATATGAAAGTCTTCTTGTTGACTGTGTTGAGCGGGAGGATGCACATGGACGGACCTAACTTGTGGAATGTGCATTTTGTCACCCTGGGAAAGATGCATGGTTTTCCTACAAGGAGCAATTCACTCTTGATCCTTAGGACATTAATTCACGTCATTGAGAATGGGGCAGAAGAATATGCTGACAAATTGATCGACTTAACAACAGAATCACACTGAAGATGGCAAAATGCTGAAACATCTCTGACATACCAAGATGATCACTAACGATCAAATGTTGTAAGATTTAGCTTCTTTTTCTTGATGAGTGGCACAATTGTTGATTTGGAGGGGTTACATTAGACCTTTTTTCTAGCACAATTTCAGCATAATATTAAAGCTTTTGGCAGCAGTATAACCAGCGCATGGTCATTTTGGCATTATTATGACAAATAATAATGATTAGTACTAAACGATCCCGGTTTTATTTATTTAGTGTTTTTTGTTACACCACTTCCACCTAACTGTTGCGTATTTTTTTGATATTATTATTATCCAGATTCTGCATATTTGTTCCTGTAACGTCTTTGCATGTCTTTGTCAACAGGACAGACAGTAGATTGTAACAAGCAAAATTATTTCAATTACTTCTGACTTCTAACTAACGTAAAGTAACTTAAGTCTTACAAGAGGGCTTAACTTCCAGGACAAGGGGTAAAACACTTTACAATTTTTGATTTATATATTTCTCAATTAAAAAGCCATGAGCTATGACGTTGACCTCTAGTTTGACAGACATGAAACAGAGGACCTAACCAGTCGACCACTGCAGTCCCCTTGATTTCTAACTATATGTTGATGTTGATTATAAATAATAATTGTCCTGGGTAGTGTGAAGGGGCCATGATGACCGAGTAGTTAGGATGTCTGACTCGTATTTGGCAAGCTAATGTTTCAGAGTTCGAACCCTGGCAGAACCCATGGCTTTTTAATTGTTTATAGAATGAAAAATGTATTGTTAAGTGGTTTGACTCCTCGTCGGTGACCACCAAAGGACTACCAAAGGGTAGTCTTTCTTGTATTACTTTACTTTTAGTTCAATTGCTAAGTCATGAAACATTTTTGTGAGGTGACAAACAGGTGTGTGATTTAATGTGACAAACTTGCTATCATGATTGTCTTGGGACATGTTTTCCCAACGTGTTGATATCCGTCTACTATGAAAATGTCACATACATTGGACAATTTGTTTGCTAGCAAGCCAGTGAGCTGAGGCAATACCACTCTACCCATACTCAGAGATCACCTTATAAAGAGTTCAGATAGCCTGGTAGCTACTGAGATACCTTGTCTGTTTCGCAGGAACCAGCCACGATCAACAGGTGTCACATCGGGTCAAGCGTACGTCGCTGCAATAACGTTTTGGATAATTTAATGGAGCTCATTGATAGACCAACAAGAATAGACCAGGAAACTATTCGAATTTTTCTCAGTGAGAAAAAGCAATATTGTGCTCAAATACAGTGCCTTGAATACTTGGTATTGAAATTTTGATCAAGAAAAGCCAGTGCCTCCACTTCGGCAAATCTATTCTATCCAATAAATACAAAACATAGTTACAACTAAAATTAACTTTAAATATATGTATTTACTTTTGTACGAATCGTTGGTCAACATTAAACTGATCGATGAATGGATGAAACGCGAAAGCAAGAGGGTGTCGACAAAACGGAATCAAAACCGGACCAAAAACATTTTGAATATTTCCACTCTCGAAAATAAATCAAATTTCAATATGTTTACTTACGTTATTGAAGTCTGAGACATTTTTCGTGTAGTTTAAATGTAAACATTAAAAAAAAAACGTAAAAAACGCGGGAAATGTGATAATAACATAACCCTCTTAGGACAAACTCTGTTAGGTTGAAATAAAGTCGTTTCGAGACATATTGGGCAGAAATCGGATCTAAATATATATATTAAATAATAAAATAAAATAATAACTAAATAAAGTTTTTGTATGTTGACATTAATTGCGCATGTCTGTCTAGATTTAGATAGGGGATGCAACTTGCAACTAGCGCTGTTATAAAAAAAAGCATACTATAAAAGTAACCCGGCTTATTTTGTATTGCTTCACTATTGACCATGACAAACTGAAAAGTAAGGTTGTTATGTATTAAGTCCAACTTAGGTTGATTTAATCGTCTCAAGTTTTCAACGGTTTCTAATATAAACACAAGTTTAAGAAAGTACACATACACATAAAAACCATTATACACACGTGTTTTTATATTTATGTCTTGATAAATTAAAATCGATTTTGGACTAGTTGTTCTTTATATTTTGCTAAGGGGATAAAACCGGCAGGGTCATCTCCGCCCCTAACTTTTCCAAGGGATTCTCTTTACCAAACGATATTGATTTGTCCTTTTTCAAACTCCTTTTCTGTCTATCCTCACTCTCTATCTCTCTTTTTATCCCCATCACAGATGAATCTATCTCTTTACCTTTCCTTTACTCTCTTTCTCACTCACTCTCTCTTTCTCTCACTCTCACTCTCTCTTCTTTACATGCATTCGATAGCCATTTCTCTCTCTCTCTCTCTCTCTCTCTCTCTCCTCGTTTTTCTACTCTGCCTGTTTTTCAGCTTTTATCTCTTTACTAGTCTTTCCTCTTCCTATCTTTTCACTCCTAATTTCTCTTCTTTGCTTTTTGTTCTCAATCTCTTTTTTTCAGTATAAATTGTCATTGTCACAGGCACATTTTGATCTGTCTATCCTCGCTCTTTCATTCTCTCTCTTACTCTGTTTATCTGCCTCTGTCTCTATATTAGCCTTTCCTTTTTCTCTTTCTCTCGCAAACGCACATTAATTCATCTATTTTCTCTATTTACCTTTGCTACACTCCCTTTCACTCTTTCTCACTCTCTCTCTCTCTCACTCTCTCTCTCTCTCTCTCTCTCTCTCTCTCTCTCTCTCTCTCTCTCTCTCTCTCTCTCTCTCTCTCTCGCGTGATTAAATAAGATAAATCAATCAATTTCCTTTGAAAAAGCAGAAAAGCGAAAAAGTCTGTGTTTGTTAATTTGTGAGCATTCGGGTCGACCTTTAGTCCTTTGTTGTGTGTTTAGTTGTTCATTATGTGTTCAATGTTGATTTTGCTTGTTTTTGCGATTTCAAAAAAGGTCCTTGCGATATTGTATTTCTTCTAGTAAGAAGGGAAAATAGAATTATTGAGGTTTATTTATCTATGCTTGTTCTTATAGAAACGTCTGTGCAATATTAAACCAATAAATTTCGGGTTTTTATAATTTATATAAGTTTCAGGAGTATTTTGAAAGTGACATTGGATAATAATGTTTTGTCCAGGGGAATTTGTTTTGACGTAAGAAAAAGAATGGTGCTTGGAGTCATTTCTGGTCCGCCTGGTTTCGCATCGCAGTACGAGATGAAAAAAAAGTTGAATTTTCGAATAGGGAGGCTTTTTGGACGGAATGAGTCCTAGGTCTCGAGCCAATTTTGGCGGTTGGGATTAGTTATTTTATAAAAATGAGAAGTTTAGGAAAATTAAAAAAGCGAGATGGAATCGATTTTCTTCGTTCCGAGTGGGAAACTATTCCCTTAAAACATGTGTCGCCCACCGGCCGGCTAAATTATCAAATTGCGCAGACTTTGACGTAATTGTAATTTTTTTAATAGTTTCCTCGTAGAAAGTTTTAAAATTTTAAGTTTAGGCAGAAAAAGTGGTTTGGGCTCGTGGAACGGGTCCGTGTGAAAAATCGTCGAGGCCGTGGACCGACCCGAGTCGGCCTTCTTTTATGATTAGTCAGCCATTAAAGCCGTGCTATCCCTTGTCGGTCGTTGGACGTCGGTTTTTTCTGCCCTTTCGGAAATAGAAAGAATCGAATCGGGACACTAGAGTGATAGGTAGTGCGAATCTAAATCGGGGCTGATCACACGGCCTTTTTGTCCGATGTCTAGTGCTGAAGTGGCGACAAATTCCATTGATCCCCCAGCCAAGAAGCGGAAAATTGCTACAGGGGAGACATCAACTCCGGCGAACTCCGTTTCGAAGGCGAATCCGGTCATGGCGAATAACGGGTCGGCCACAAACCAAGACATCGACGAGGGACTTTACTCGAGGCAGTTGTACGTCCTCGGCCACGATGCGATGCGTCGAATGGCGTCTTCGGACGTGCTCATCTCCGGGCTGGGAGGGCTCGGTGTCGAAGTGGCCAAGAACGTGATCCTCGGCGGGGTCAAATCGGTCACTTTACACGACGACAAGAAGTGCACCCTCGCGGACCTCTCATCCCAGTTTTATTTGACGGAGGCGGACGTCGGGAAGAACAGGGCCGAGGCCTCGTGCCGCCAGTTGGCGGAGCTTAACAATTACGTCCCGACCCGGGCGTACACGGGCCCGTTGACCGAGGACTTCCTCCGGGGCTTCCGGGTCCTCGTCTTGGCCGACGTGGACAAGGACGTGAAGGAGAGGACGGCCGAGCTGGCCCGGACCTCCGGAGTGGCCCTCGTCGCCGCTACCAGTCGCGGGGTCTTCGCCCAGGTTTTCTGCGACTTCGGACCCGAGTTCACCGTCCTGGACACCAACGGCGAGAACCCGGTCTCCGCGATGATCGCCAACATCTCGAGGGACGCCGAGGGGGTGGTCGCCTGCTTGGACGATTCCAGACACGGGTTGGAAGACGGCGACTACGTCACTTTTCACGAGGTCCAGGGGATGAAGGAGCTCAACGAATGCGAGCCGATGAAGATCAAAGTTCTCGGTCCTTATACGTTCAGCATCGGTTGCACAACCGACTTTTCCGAATACCTCAGAGGAGGTATTGTGCAACAGGTCAAAATGCCCAAGAAGGTAGTCTTCAAGCCTATGAAGGAATCTGTCAAAAGTCCTGAATTCGTAATGACTGATTTCGGCAAGTTCGATCACCCGCAACAGCTCCACATCGCTTTCCACGCTTTGGAGATGTTCATAAAACGCAACGGCTTGCCGCCGAAGCCTTGGGATCAGAAGGACGCTTCGGCTTTCCTCGAATTGTGCAAGACACAGACTGACGTTCTTCCAGGCACTGAACTGAACGAAGACTTGATTCGTAAATTTGCCTACACCTGCTCCGGCAGTTTGAACCCGATGAACGCTTTTATTGGAGGTGTCGTCGCCCAAGAAGTCATGAAAGCGTGCAGTGGAAAATTCTCTCCGATATTCCAATGGCTGTATTTTGATGCGATAGAGTGCCTTCCAGAGAAGCTCGCTCCCGAAGACTGTGTACTGAAGGGAAACAGGTATGATGGTCAGGTCGCTGTATTTGGCAACAGTTTCCAAAAAGTGTTAGGTTCTTTGAAATACTTTGTTGTCGGTGCTGGTGCTATTGGGTGTGAACTGCTCAAGAATTTTGCGATGATGGGCGTAGGAGCTGATGGTGGGCAGATAACTGTCACCGACATGGATTTAATAGAAAAATCAAATTTGAACCGACAGTTTCTATTCCGCCCGCATGACGTTCAAAAACCCAAGTCAGGCACTGCGAGCAGAGCCATTAAGAAAATGAACCCTCATATGTGTGTTGTGCCACATGAGAATAGAGTCGGACCCGAAACGGAAAAAGTCTACGATGATGTTTTCTTTGAAAACCTAGACGGTGTTGCCAACGCTTTGGACAATGTGGACGCTAGGATTTATATGGATCGTAGATGTGTATATTACAGAAAGCCTCTTCTCGAATCTGGCACTCTAGGGACAAAAGGAAATACGCAGGTTGTCGTCCCTTTCTTGACAGAATCTTACAGCTCTTCCCAGGATCCGCCAGAGAAGAGTATCCCCATCTGCACTCTCAAAAACTTTCCCAATGCCATAGAACACACCCTCCAATGGGCGAGAGATTCCTTTGAAGGGCTTTTCAAACAATCGGCTGAGAATGCTGCTCTCTATCTTTCCGATCCTACATTTATAGAGAGGACTTTGCGTTTGCAGGGTGTGCAACCGGTCGAAGTGATGGAATCGCTCAAGCAGGCGCTCATCGACGAAAGGCCAGAGGATTTCCGAGACTGCGTCGTCTGGGCTAGAAACCATTGGCAAGAACAGTACTCCAACCAAATTAGACAGCTGCTCTTTAACTTCCCACCGGACCAAGTCACTTCCAGTGGTCAGCCTTTTTGGTCTGGACCGAAACGTTGTCCCAAGCCTCTTGTTTTTGATGTGAACGATCCTTTGCACCTGGACTATGTCTTCGCTGCTGCCAATCTCAAGGCTGAAGTTTACGGTTTGCGCCAAGTCAGAGACAGAGACGCTGTGGCCGAAATGGTTAAGGAAGTCGTCGTGCCTGAGTTCACACCAAAATCTGGTGTGAGGATTGCAATTAACGACGCCCAGCTCACAAATGGAGCGGGCGGTCCCATCGACCAGGACAAGATCGGCCAGCTTCAGGCCGAGTTACCTAGTAGGGAATCTTTCAACGGGATGCAAATCAGGCCTTTGGAATTTGAAAAAGACGACGATAACAACCTTCATATGGATTTTATTGTAGCCGCTTCTAACTTGCGTGCTGCCAATTACGGAATACCCCCTGCTGACCGACACAAGAGCAAGCTCATCGCCGGAAAGATCATACCCGCTATCGCCACTACGACTTCGGTTGTCGCCGGCCTGGTCTGTTTTGAACTGATCAAACTGGCCCAAGGAGAGAAGAAACTGGAAAAATTCAAAAACGGTTTTGTCAATCTCTCTCTTCCGTTCTTCGGCTTCTCTGAACCAATTGCCGCCCCCAAGCAAAAATACTATGATCACGAATGGACACTGTGGGACCGTTTCGAGGTACAAGGAGAGATGACACTCCAAGAGTTTATAGACTACTTCAAGAAAGAACACGGCCTCGAGATCACCATGCTATCACAAGGTGTCTGCATGCTCTACTCATTCTTCATGCCTTCGAGCAAGCTCCAGGACCGCCACAACCTCACCATGTCTGAAGTTGTGAGGAAAGTATCTAAGAGGAAGCTCGAACCCCACGTGAAAGCTCTCGTGTTCGAACTTTGTTGCAACGACAATGATGGAAACGACGTCGAGGTCCCTTACGTTCGGTATACTCTGCCTTAAATTCATCTTCATCAATAAAACTTATATTAATGAAAATTGTGAATAATTAAACAGAAAAGTCACAGGGTCATCCTCACAGTGACAACAGTTTTCCTATTAACTAAAGTTTGCCCTCTAAAATTAGAAAAATACAACAATAAAATTTACATATTTAAAAAAATAAAAAATAAAATTGCTGGTGTCTTAACATTAAAAAAAGTGCTGGTGAGTCTGGCACTTCTGTGATACTTACACCAGGGGACTTCTAAAGTGAATTTAAAAATGGAATTCTTAAGATTATAAGTAACTTGCATTTGTTTTTTGTTTTTGTAATTAGATGAGGCAGCGAGAGTTTTTATATAAATATAAAAAATAATTACATAAAAAATATATAAAAAACTGGGAGTAAAGTCTTTATCTTGTTTAATTTCCAAAGAGTGTATCAAATTTTGGCCTTAACAATTTTTAGTTACATTGTTCTTTATTTTGCATTTACTTTAAATTTTGTTTAGAGTGTGTTAACTAAGTTTTTGATTGTTACAAAAAGCACTTTTCATTGCAATATTTGGCTTTATGATAATTATATACTTAATAATGTATTGATTGATATAAAAAAATAAAAAAAAATAAATAAATAGTATTTTAGAAAAAGCAAAATGTGTTCCTTTTTACAAATATCTATGCCTTTTATGCGCAAATTCTCCAGCAGATAGAAACTTTCTTATTTGACGATTAAGCTGCAAAAGCTTAAAACTCCAACCAATTAACAAGAGTACAACCTGTGATTAAGTCTGTAATAATTATAATATTAAAGTTGAAAACAAATTGATATAATGATGTATTTTTGACTTGTATAGTGTAAATTATTTCCATGGCTAAGAATAGATGTGAAAATAAAAAATAAAATAATCAATAAATTTTATAGTCTACATATCAGTTTTAGAAAAACTATAACAATTAACAAAACATAATAGGTTTCTGTTTAAAGTGTCAGTTGTATCGGCCTCTTTTTTCTCACCAATGATCTAGATCTGGATGAAGAAACTAATTTAATTGTTACTAACGAGCCTTTCAACCTATTTTAGAGTCATCATCAGAGAAAAACAAAAATGCCTACACATTGATATAATTAAGCTTTAACAGATGGTTTCAAATTTCTTTGAAGACCAAGTCCAACATTGCCAAGGACTGTAACGCTTGAAGTATTCAGTGAATTCATAAAATTGTTTTGCCTTAATGATGACCTTAAAAAAAATCGAAAGCTTGGCAGCATTTAATTTGTGTCTTCATCCAGACCATACCAGATTATTGTGAAAATATAGTAGGTATGATGTACTAAAAACTTTTCGATTACCATTATTCCTAGTTTGGCATGAAAAAGTCACATATCTACAAATTATAAGAGAATCGTTCGAGGCTAGATGCAGATGTGGTATTTTGGGTATATAACATACTGCCCCACTTGCGAGCTGTAGTTTAGTTTTGTACACTGATAGGGCCTAGTTCATCATGAAATTTAATTAGGATGTCTGGTTTCAAGGTTGAATTTCTTCTTAAGTTGCACTTTACATCCCAGAGCACTTCTTCCTGGCAAGTCTCCATAGTTTGTTAGTAGATATGTTGGTGTCTTTTCTGCTTACTTGCAGAATCTGCACTGTGTTGGATTATACTAATCTTCTTCAAATCCCGATTCAGTCTGCAGTGTCCTGTTAATAGTAGTAGGATTTGAAGTTTCCTTCTTTCTTTGATGCATTTTGTTGCTTCTTTACTTCCAACATTTGCTAGAAGGCTCTTGAATCATTTATGTCCAATGAGTGAATTCCTCTTTCCTCATTTTCATTTTGTCTTTTTGTCAAAGGTACATGTTGATAAGTTGAATCCTTATGCCACAGAAGCACTCAGGCATTATAGCATCTTGCAAAGACGTCTGCTTTATCATTTCTCTCTACTCCAAGTCTTGGGACCCAGCAGAATTTTAAAATTCAGCACCATTACCTAACGGTGATGGGCTTAGTGCTCTGATGGCTGCCTGTCTATTTGACATGAAAGCTGTTCTTATTTCTGTACTTTTTGTTCAGGTTGAACTGAGTATATGTCTCAATTTGCATGGACTTCAGACTGGAAGATGGTGTACTTTCTCATGGGTTCTGAGATGTTCCAGATGGAACACTCCTGCATTATGTTCTAGAACAGTGTACCAGCAGATGGTGTACTCAATGGAGGAGCCCTTTTGCTTTTTTCCATTCTTTTTTGGAACATGTCTGTCTGAGGGTTGGATGTTCTTTCCACATCCATAACCCTTTCACCAAGAGTCAAATATAAAGAAAAAATATTCTTTTATTTTTTTAAGGTAGAATTTAAATGAAAAAATAAAATTTTCTTCACCGCTTTCACAACTTGTGCTGTATTCAACAAATTTACTTCTTAAAAAGTTTTAAACAAAAAATCTAGCTATTTTTTGGCAAATCATGTTTTCAACAAAATTAATTGTAATAAAACATAGATAAACAGACATAGATCCCTTGAAAATAGCACAAGTTGCTGAAACGTTGAAGAAAAATTAATTTTTACAATTATATTCTGCCTTCAAAAAAGCCTAAACAAACAAATTTTATTATTTAAAAAATAATAAATATATCACATAAGAAAGCAGAACTGTTCCAAAATTTGGAGCAGGTAAAGGTATAATTCAATGAACAAACATAAATTTTGGGGCATGTAGTAAAGAGAATATAGAAAATTAACCAATTTACTGCACAGGAAATATATAAGGAATAAATAATTTTTTTATTTTTAGTTGTTGACTAAAAAACAAAATATACACTAAAACATGCTTTGATTGCTGCATGCAGTCATTAAAATTTCTTCTGTTTTTAAAAATATTTTATTTGATACCAAGTATAGTAAATACACTCGAAGGCCCTTATTTAGTTGTTTATTTCAAACAAAATGTATTTTATTCTTTATATTAATTACAACATACTTATTTTAATGTAAGCCAAATTAAACTAGATCAGAAATTCATTAATTTTTGTCATCAACACTGAGGGTTGATATGACCTCTGCTGTTGTGAACCCTTGTAAAAAATTTTTTGCCGATGTTTGAATGCACAGCTGAATTTGAACCCAGGACCGTCAATACCTTAACCATTGGCGCCACTTCAATAAATCGTTTAATTTGCATTAAAAAATTCTGCAAATGTTAAACTACTCAAAAATATTCTTGAAGCATTCTTATCGATGTGATCTTGAACTATTCAAAATTACATAGTTTAAAGTTTTGCACTAATCAATTATTTAAATTAGAAATTATAATTTTCTAAAAGGACTTATATAAAAACACTGACAAAAAAATACAAAGTAATAAAAAAATGTTTATTCATTGCAGATGCAACTTATTCATTTTTGGGAAACATGACATAATTAGAAAATTAACAAAACAAGATTATTTAAAAACATTAAAACATTGTTGTATATTTAGATATATATATATTTTTTATTGCTTCTGTTAAGTATAGATACTTAACAGATGAAAAATATTATATATATGTTATACATTTTTCAAAGTAAAGTTTATTATGACCTTTCAAAATGCTTAACATACTTATAATTACAATAAAATAGTATTTATTATTTACAGGAATGATAATTTAAAGAAAATAAAAACGTGTTTTACATTAATATACATTTGAACTTAAAATGGACTTTCTATATACAAATCTGACCATCTTCTGTTCCTTAAGGAGAAGAATTCTGTAAAAAAATTAAATAAATAAAACCATATTTATGGATAATTACATCTTTTGAGTACCTCATCTTTTCGCCGGCGGGTCAAGAACTCTTTTATTTTTCTCGGAGTCGACTTCTTCACACTCCTGACCGGGGTTGACGCTGGGATTTCCCAAGCTGTTGGAGGTTTGTTCTGAGGTCTCAATGCCTTCCTATCGTCGACCTGGGAAAGAAAAAAAAAAGAATACTAATTTATTAAAAATCTCTCACACTTTCGAATTTCATGGCTCAAAGTGAGTAAAAATACTGACTTTCTGAGTCTGCGATTTGCAAGGAGTTGGCGGCCCATGGCTTTTATTCTACAAAAATGCAAAATACAATCACGCAAACGTTTAACGGTTAAAAATATTTTCTAAAAAGTGACAGTATAAATGGGGACAGAAAAGAATGACAATCAACAAAGCTATTGTATAAAACACACATACGAAGGTGAACACTGTGTGAAAACAACAACTTTATTCATATATCAAGTTACATTTAAAATAATAGATAGTTTTTATTAGTTTTAAATTTGTTTAAGTCCGGACACGCATTTCTTAAAAACTTTTTACAAAAAAAAAGCCTAATAAAAATATCTGTAATAAAAAAACCTTTTCAATGGAAGACACAACAATTTCTAGTCTTTTAAAATGGGATACATCTTTTTATTTATTTATTTTTAAATTAATAATTAATTTTTTTAGGTAAAAACGTGATTGTCGGCCTCTTCGATCGTGTGACTGGTGGAAATTTGGTGGCCTTTACAAATTTTGAACGACAAATTAAAGGTCCCATAGTTGAATTATGGATTTAAAAAAAATTAATATACATACATTGAGAATTATGAAAAATTTATAAAAAATATTTTAACAAACAAGTCCGTATGTTCTGGAATTCCAGATAATCGGGGTCCGGATAAACAGGTTTCCATTGTATGGTTTCATATCCATCCGTGTAATGTAAGCCCCATAATGGTATTTGCCGGCCATTAGAGTGCAGGAATCTAAGGTGTTTCTGAACATAATCCACACCGGTGTCATAAAAATTAGACAAGAAACCCTAAGCTGTACAAATCATACATACATCTGTTTGTTTGTTTGGCCTCTAAAGCGATACACCTAGAACTGGTGTCCAATTCATTTGACTCCTATGTTTCTGGCCATCTTCAAACATTTTCTCTCTAGGCGTCTATACTTTGTTGTCACCTCTTTTCAAATAGTGTACCAATTTTCTTAGTGCTCGACCAGAATTGGAGCGAATTTATCATTTTTTTTGTCAGACGACTTCAAATAAGTAAACCCATAACCTGGTGGATTTTCAAATTGATTGGAAGTTTTCGACCCTGGGGCCTCCACATTTCGGTGGGTTATGGGAATCGAACTTTAAATCGGTGACCTCCCCCCAAATCATCAGCCAGCAGGTATGAGGAGATGAATACGGTCTTGGTCCAAATAGAAATCTTCCTAAACTCATGTCTGCTTTGTCCCCTCAGTTCAGTCCCGTCCAATCCAGGCGCGCTGACCCCAGCCCACCACTTCCTTATATTCAAAGCCTTTAAAATACCTTCCAGCGGTGGAGGTGGTCCTTGTGGCATGGAATAGTTGATAAATTTCAATTGTTAGACCAAATCGTGCAGTACTTCTGGCCATGATGGAGGAGGGAATATTTAAATGAACTACAGAGACGTATCTAATTTGCCATAGTCACACTGGCCCTTGGAAATCATAGTTTTCCTTGAGAAGAGACGGTGGTCCAAGAGGAAGTGGTGACGGTTCTTACATCAACAGGGATTTATGTTTGACCCCACAGTAGTAATTCTCATTGTATTGTAGTGTCCTTTTTAGATGGCCCGACTGAATTTCTCTTTGAAAAAAACCAAAAAAAAACCAGGGTACTCAGGCCCAGTTCAATATCAAAATTCCAAATATGACCCTACAAATCTTGATACATAATTTTAAAAGATTTGAAAACAATGGTGCAATTGGATTTTAAATTGGGCAAAAAATGACAATCATGGCAAAAAATTTGAAAAAAAAAAGTGATTTGGTTGCTATTTCATGTACAAAACTGCCTGCCTTGCTTAAAGATGCAAAGATTTGCACTTTTTAACTACTCTGAGCACCAGTGTGGACATCGCCTGTGCTCAGAGCGATATTGTCAGGGGAATGAATTGACAAGCATTTTGCCAGCATCTTTTGCCACAGTTGCACCTGTTCTTTGTCCTTGCTGCAGAGGAACATAATCTAATAGTGTTGGTAAAACCTTGCTCAAAAAATTGGAATACTGAATGTAACGATTATGTACTACTGTAAACTATTTACTTCCAGGAATTCAGATTTGCTCCCATAATGTGAGTTTGACAAACAATGACAGAATGTAAACAATAAAGGCAATTAATGTTTACTTTAGTGAAGAAGCAAATTATTGGAATTAACAACGAAACAAACGAAATGCGTTTTTTTCAAACTTTTTGCCATAACTTTTGTGATTTTTGACTAATTTAAAATCTGATTGCACCATTGTTTTCAGCATAAAAAATCATTTAAAATGATGTCAGGATATATAGGGTTGTATTTGGAATTCTGAAGTGGGCTTGAGGTACCCTGTATAATTTTTCTCCAAAAAAGGTAAAAATTTGATACTAGACTAAAAAATATTAAAATGTATTTTTTCTTTTTTTCATAGCATTGTTGGTTCAAGAGATTTTCAGCTGGGCCATCTAAAAAGGACCCTGTATAGGCATTATATATAATAATGGTGGAGGGTTTTATAAGATAAATTCATTTCGGTATCGTTTTGGTTTTACTTTTCTTTGAAGTCTACCTTTCTGTTCTACAAGTGTTAGTTTAGTTCGTGTGCACTTTTCGGTTCATTCTACTGTCTTCAGGCTGCATCATTGCTGAATAATGGGGCTTCAGGGCAGGGGGGATGTTAACGCCATTTTGCGGAATTTGAACTTGTGGTCTGGCAAAATGCTTACGCCCAGTCCAGTCCTCTCCACTCAGTTTGTTGTGTCGTTCGAACAGTTCTCATCGGCCATTTCGCAAATTGTTGGCGACAAAAGTTTTATTTTTTTCTTTCTGCCTCTTTTTTATTTCTCGCAATCGTCATGGTTACATCACCTGTTGGCAACGGCTCTTTGAGAAAAAGAGGTAAAGAGTATCCTGATCCCATTTTTCCCCCTTCACCATCCTTGCCCTTGTCTTTTCATCCTTTGAATCATCGTGGAGCTTCAAGGCTGTAAGGTGTTTTCATTCTTTTATTTTATTTTTAATTGTTGAAATCTAGAGTACAGTCTGCTTGCTCGTTAACAATACATTAATCTACATTATACAGCTTACTCCCTAATCAAAAAGTCATGTTATCTTTTATTATTGCATTATCTTTTTGAAAATCAATCTATGGATACTACGAAGTTGGGTTTGCACTTTCCAGGCACTGCAGCCTTCTGGCTTATTGTACCTTAAAATCAAGTCTACACATGTGTTGTAAAAAAAGTTTAATTTATAAATATGAATGTTTATAAATTAAAGGCCAAATTTTAACTAGGATTATGGAATTTCCTCCCTATTATTTGAGAATTATTAAAAATAAAATAAATACCTTTTGCTGTTGAGCAGCTGTCTTAGTTGGCGTTGGTGGTCCTGGTTTTTTATAAGAAGTCTACAAAACAATGTACAACATCATCTACACTAAAAGTGCCACTACTTTCAAAACCAGTGAGGTATAAAAAAAAAAGAAACAAACCTGTTTTTGTTTTTGTTTTAAACAAACCGGCAAATCTGTGTTGCCATGCTAGAAACCAAGCTCAACAGTGAAAACGAGAAGGTTGAAATTGACAAAATCACCCTTACCTTGATGTCGCTTTCTTGGAATGCGTGGGGATTGAAGAACTGAGTTTCAACGGGGTACGACGATTTTAGATGTGGTAGGCACATCGAATTTCTCTGCTGTAGGATTGACAACCTGTCAGTGTCGCTGGGAAAGGAGCAAACTCCTGCCTTCAAATCTGAGAGGCACCTGTTGGAAAGTTAGATATTATCATAAGAAAAATGAGTCGAAAGCATGAGTATTTACCGATTATCAAAGACTTCCCCATCTTCTTCAGCCGCAGGGAAAACTTTACCTAAACATGCCATAAATCAAACCAGTTATTATTTTATATTAATAATTTCAATATGAAATTAATAAGGAAAATAATATGCAATATTGCATTTTTTTTAGCATTATTGTTTTATATTAATAATTTCAATAATTAATTATTAATAATTGCATTTCATTTTTGAATATTAGACAACACCTTCCAAGAACAAACATTAGAATGCGATGGAGTAATTAATTAGCATAATTTAACATTAGCACTTTAAAATATGTTTATAAAAAAATTGTTAGTAAACGAACCAGTTGACAGAAACATTTTACCAATTCCCCTTGGAAGACCTCTGATCGAGGATCTTCGGCTGCCGAGCGACTCGGTGAAGCTGATATCTTGTCCTAGGTTGTCAATACCTTTTCTCAAATCCCTGGAACATCCGTGATTATAATTAGCTTTACAACAGTTAACAATTATCTTGAACTAATTTTATTTTTATTAACAAAAATTTAATTACTTACGCTAAATTTCCCATGGAACTGGATTTGTAGACTGGAGAGTTGATTCCCTAAACAAAATAAATATACTTTGAATTTGGAATAAGATCAATACTAATACAAATTAATATAAGTAATTCTATTACTCTATGTATAAAATAATAATACTATTAAAAATGAACACTAACCATTTAAAAAATAAATAAACAAGAATACTTACCAGGCTGTACCTAGGAGGAGGCTGTGGTACGGCGAATACTCTTGATGCCAACATAGATCTATTCTCTTCCTGCTTGATCAACAGTTCATCGCTTAATTCACGGTTCTTTTGTTCCAACAGGACAATCCTATCCCTTAATTTTTTGACCTAAAGGAGAAAAAAAGGAAAAAAAGAAAGAAAGCAAATCAGCTATAAAAGACTGGAATTTGACAAGCCTGGCTAACACTTTGATTGAGTCTAAAATTTCTAACATTGTATAAATTCATTTTTTCACATCCTACATGTATGTGTATAATTTAAACAATGTTTATAAATCCCAGGCCCTGAAGATGATCTCAATAAAGATCGGAACAGCACGATAAAGAAATTGTTTTTCTAAAGCTACGTCACAACAGAACGCAAATCACAATCTCCAAATAATCGTAAAATCCAAGCTTCACATCCTTGGGTGTCGGAGATGAAGGTCAAAACAACAGTACAACACGGTTTTAAAATTTTTCTGAATTCAACCAACAACAAAATTCCGAGGATGCCAGACATCAAAACGAAGACCAATTCTTTCACTCATATGCAAAGTTTTGTATTAAAAAATAATAATATAATACCTCATTTTTAAAAACTTCAGATTCCAGCCTTGGGTTAATTGAATGGATTTCTTCTAATTTTGTGGTGTATAAAGCTTTCTGTAAATTGTAAGAACTTATTATACTAGTTAATAACACTTTGATTATTACTAGGCTTACCATTTTTTCTTTCAATTTAGCTAATTTTTCTTCATATTCCTTTCGAAGATTTTCATGTACACCTGTTATGTATGTTTCCAGCTTTTGCAGTTTGCCATTGAGAGAAGCGTTTTCACCCTGTAGGCTGTTTTGAGAGGTTAATAAGAAATAAAGTTAATATAATTAATAACACACCTTTGTAATTTAGAAGTCAACTGTCTTTCCTTTTCGTTTTTGGCCGTTAGCATTGACTCAACCTCTTTTTGTAGAGTTTGAGACATTTCATTTGCCTTTGTAGCAGCAGCTTTAAGCATTTCATTTTCTTTCTTGTATTTTTCAATATCATTCATCTTTGCCGAAATACTTTTGTCAAATTCAGCATTTCGCTCACTGAGAACATGCAGTTGGTATTTTAGATCTGCTATGCATTCATTTCTTGCTTCGATGTCCTTTAACTGCCTATCAATTCGTTCACTGTAACTATTCAGTTCTACACCTTGTTCCTCCAGTATTGTTTGCAGTTTTGCCTTGTCTTCAGTAAGATTTTCAATCTTACTCTTTGACTCGACACTCTGCTCCTTTAAGCTTCCCTCGAGTCTTGTCAATTCCAATTTCAATTCGGACAACTCTTCGGCACAAACTTTCAACTCATCTATCTGTTTATTTTTCTCCAAAATACAGTTCAAAAGTTTTGATGTCTCTTCAGTTTTGGACTTTTTTAAAGTGTTCAGCTCAGCGAGATAAGAAGCTTTTTCCTCGGCCAGACAATGATTAAGTGTTTTGTTGTCTAGTTTCACAATTCTCAATTCTTCGATAAGCGTGCTGTTTTCTACTTTTAACTCTGAAAGACTTTCCTCTTTCTTGGCCAGAAGTTCTTTGAGGTTGTTGATTTCCTTTTCTTGTAATATTAAATCACATTTTATTTGTTGGTAATCATTTGATTTTTTGTCTGAATCGAGCAATTCATTTTTCAAACATTTAATTTCATTAATGAGCGAACCGATTTCTTTTTTAAGGCAGGTCAAGTCTTCGGATTTCACGCTCAATTGAACCTTCAACATTTCCACTTCCATCTTCTTTGCTTCAACTTCGTTCTCAAGCTTGAAATTCTTCTGTTTTATCTCTTCGCTCAATTCACACATATTTATGTAAGTTTTCTTATCCAATTCAGAATCTTTTTTGAGAATGTGCATTTCACTCGTTAAATTAGTAATGTCCTCACACTTGACTTCTAGTTCGTTCTTAAGGGAAGAAATTTCTTTCTGTAAGTTTGATGATACACTTTGTAACTTATTGTGAAGATTAACAATTTCTTCTTTATATTCTGTCATCTTGGTTTCTTTCTCTTTTATTTCTTGTTTAAGGATTTCACTTTCATTAGTTAAGTGGATGAAACGATGTAGAATATCTTTTACATTTTTTTTAAGGGAAGAAACATTATCTGTTAACATACAGTTATCACTGTCTTTCACAGACATTTCTTCAAAAACTTGTTCTATCTGTTCACTTATTTTATTTTCTTCTTTGGTGTCAATCTTGATTATATTATTGATATGTTGATTCAACTCATCAATTAGAACAAAAATATTCTCTTCTAATTTTACATGATTATTTATCTTTTCAAATGTTGTTTCCATAAATTGATTATAGTCTTCCTCATTTTTAACTAACTGTGATTCCTTTTGTTTAAGGTTCTCTTTTAGAGAGATGATTTCTGTTTTTAGATTATCAAAATCATCACATTTCACCGTCAATTCCTTCTTAAGTGAAAACGTTTCTCCTTCCAAATGGGAAATGTCTGTTTCTCTTAATTCTATCCTTTCTTTAAGCAATTCGATTTCTTTATTCTTTTCCAACAAGCTCGTTTCAAATTCATCATTCTTGTTATTTAAGCAATGTGTTTTGTAACATAGTTCTTCAATTTCTTTTTGAAGTGACGATGATGATTTCTTTAAAGCTGAAATCTCAGTGTTTTTTAAACATAACAATTTATCAAGTTCGGAAACCTTTTTAATATTTGAATCTCTATCCTGTTTTGTTTTATCCAATTCTTTTTTAACAAGTTCGTCTTCACTTTTTAATAGCTCAACCTCCTGACATTTAGTCTCAAGTTTGTTTTTCAAAGAAGACACTTCTTCCTCTAAAGTGTGACACAATTTATTATTTTGAGAAATACAGTCGGCGATTTTCTTTTCTTTAATTTCTATGTTTTCATTAAGCATAATGATTTCACTGTTTAATTTTTCCACACACTTTGTTTTTTCTTCTAGCTTTTCTGAGAGTAAAGATACTAATTCTTTCAATTCAGAAGTATATCTGACCTTTTGTGAAAGTTGCTTCTGAAGACTACAAACTTCTTTGCCTTTTACTTGAATATCAACCTCTTTCTGTGATAGCTTATGGATCATTTCAGAACATTCCACTTTGCTTCTACCTAGCTCTGCTTCAAGGTTAGATATTTTTTCTTTTATACCAGAAATGCAAATATCTTTTTCTGATATTACATCCATGAGCCTGTTTTGTTCTGTTAACTTCGACTGAATGTCCTTTGTTAGGGTTTTAACTTTGTTGTTAAGTTTTACTCCTTTTTCTTCATGTTCCAAAAGTTTATTCTTGAGTGAAGCTACTTGTTCTTCAAAATTGTTTATTAAAACTTGTTTCTTTGATAATTCTTTTTGTAGGTTATCAGCTTGTTTGTTCTTAGCATCTAAATTTCCTTCTACTATAGTCATATTGGATTTAATAGATTTTATTTCTTTACTGAGGGAAGATATAATTTCACTATTTTTATCAAGTTTGTGAGTTAATGTAACAACTTTTTCTTTCTGAATTCTAATATCTTCATCTTTCTGAGATAACTGATTGGATAAATTGACACATTCCTCTATGCTCTCGTTCAGCTCTTTTTCGAGGTAAGTTATCCTTTCATTCAAACCAAATATAAAATTATCCTTTTCATTTATACAACCCTTGAGTTTACTAGTCTCTGTATCCTTCTCATTTTGTAATATATCCATTTCTTTTTTGAGTGAAGACAACTCGACGTTCAATTTGTGCAAATTATCATCGAGTTGTCCTCTTAACGAAGCGATTTCCAATTCCTTGCACTTTAGCTCCCCCTGATATTGATCCTTGAGCTCTTGCAATTGGATTTCTATCACCTGCCCCATATTATCCCCAGGGTAATCTTCTACACTGCAGTTGACAGTAATCTGGTTATTATCCTTGTCTTTCATTTCTAAAAGTAGTTCCTCCTGGTCCTAAAACAAAAAAAAGTTTGTGCTAAGGGGAGATTTGCATATCGTTGAAATTTTGAGGCATTTATTGAACAGACATTCACCGAAGAACTTTAAAACACTTATTATTTGTTGAACAGTCAAATCTCAGGGGGAAATAAATTTTTTTTTTTGAGTTAAAACTCAAACCTGGGGACCCTGGAAAACTCAAGTCCACACAAGGTGCCTTTTTGGAAGATACTTTTAACCTTTTTTTTGTGTGTGTCAAAGCCAGTAATTCCAAAATTATAATTTTTCATCAAAATTAAAAAAAATTGTTTTAGAAAATAAATACATTTTTTTCTCTTTACTCAAAGGGGTACATTTTTTATTTTTTAATTTCATTTCTAATTTTGTTATAACTTTTTATTTTATTATACATTCTCGTTTCTTTTAGTTTGATTTTGATTAACCATTATTTTAACAAGCCTACATAGTGGACAGTATTTCTCTATAAGTTTAAAAAGAAAAACCAAAACCTAGCTGAAACCGGCCCTCACATATTTCAGAGTTTGGTGTATTTCTCAGCATAATATTTTCTTCAGCGGGACCACATATTTGCGCCTGGGACAATGGACTGTATGACAATGAAATTAAATTTAAAAACATTAGTGAACAAAACTGGATAAAAATAAATAAAATGAATTTGAGCAGAAATAAAATAAAAAATAAGAAGGGATAAAAAAATTAATCACACTTGTCTTCCGTTGGGTCCTTTCTTCACTGATGAGGGTTCCAGGGGGATAGAGGATCGGAGTGAAAAGATGGTTTGGAAAAAAGGAATGGAAAACCCTTACCTCGTGGTGGAGATAACTATCACACCACAGGAACTGTTTGACTGAGAGGTGAGATGAGAGACCACGATTTCAAGAATTTGAATGCCAAGATATCCGGAGGCAAACAAAATTTTAATTATTTAACAAAATATTCGATTCGTTCACCAATGCGATTCGATAACAACTGAAATGGTCCGAATACGAGATATGGCTGGACTGAGAGACCGACAGTCTCTGTCTACTACATGGCGCAAACACCCTTACTTAATAACTTGCATTTCTCCTCCACTTTTAACATCTTACGAACTGTTGAGAGAGCAGGAAAGAGGAGAGCCCATCAGGTAAAGAAATGGCTCTAGTCACTTGGGCATACAAAGAAAATTCGTCTAATAGAGATTTTCATTTTGAAATGTTCGACTTAAAGAGGTAAAAATGGGGGTAAAGTTAACACTATAGGAAAACGAGGAGGATTTGAGAATATGAGCTATCAAGGATTTTAAGTTATTGAGGGTCAAATTTAAAAACTACAACTTTTCATGAGTAAATTTAAGTAACGATAGTGTCCCATCATCTGGTCTGCCTATGTAGGTTTTTTTTAAAAATCAGAAACAATCAACCAACAAGTTCGACACCTTGCATACAACACATATTTCACATATCTTCAGTGGGTTGATCATCCCCAATCATCTCGATCTGTCTGCTTTTGTCTGATCTTTTGTCAAAAATGATTTTTTCTTCAGAGAACATAAGGCTTAGGCAAAATCACAAGTAGAACCATATCAGTTACACCCAGACATGCAGAGTCGTTAAATCACACATTAAACACATTCATATGTACAATTTATGAGAATAAAAATATCTAAGTCACTTACATTGTACATCCGCAATAGATTTTTATTTTCAGTGGAAAGTTTCAAGACCTGCTCTTCAAATTCGTGCATTTGAGCTTTGGTTTGAAGACACTCGGCATAGGACGCTTGGATATTTTCTTTCGCCTCTGATAACTTTAAAACAAAATATCATTTAACACCTGATATCATCCAAGAATTATTATAAAGGAGCTCACTTTCTTCTGTAAAGATAATTTGTCCTGTTCCAACTGCAAAATCTCTTCTGAAAGCTCACGCTTTTCAACTTCAATGCGTTCTAACTTGGACTCCTTGAGGACACACTTGTGGCAATGAACAGGTTGTTTGGGGCTGGCAACTTTTATTGGGCTGATGTTCTTTTTTTGTTTTAACAGTTTGATCTCGTCGTCCTTCTTATGTAGAGATTTTTCTGAAATTTGTTCATTCAAAACATTACTTTACTTTACTATAAGCATAAACAAAAATAAATCTTTATTGTAAAAGCATATTATTATTATTAAATTGTTTCAACAAATTAAGCAATCTCAATATAACTCTTTGAAAATCACAACAATATATCAGGATGAATTATCAACTTCAACAAGTTACAGTAAAACTTGCCCGTTCCCATTCCGCTTTTCCCTCTGTCCCGGTCCCAAAAACGCAAGTAAGGGATCATGCTCACTCGTTTGTGGATAGGCCTACCCATGATACAAGGGCACCTGCTTTGGGGGCAAACCCTACAGAGATGCTCCACTTTTAGGAAAGTCAGTTCCCTCAAACTTAGAATTAACTAAATTAGAAACTTACAACAGAATATGTTTATTAGGTACGCCTGTCCCAATTTTTATGGGAAACAGGGGAGATTCCTCATCTTTAGTTTCTAAATTTAATGTAAATGTACATATTGTATGAATGTAGTTGTGTTTATGTGTATGGATAAGGTGATTCTACCACCGGCCCTCACAGTGTATTGTGGGCTGATTTGACTCCCCACTGATTGACTTTTGCCCGATTAATGCCTGAAAATTTGTCTTAGGTATCAACCTATTTAAATAACACGAGTATGGAGCCTAATATGATTAATGTGATCGAAAATGATCCAGCAATAAATTAAATTGTAAGATTCCTTTTTGAGGTCTGTGGGTGCGATGAGCCTATAGCATGGTTGTTTCTGATCATTTTGTCTTGCCTATCTTCAATGTTCTGATTCTGTTAAACACAATTAAGCTTTTTGGCGGTTGATTTACTGGACAACAGGATATTATAACTTTGAATACAACTGTGAACTCAAGCCAGTTATGCACTATACCCACACTGCTCGTAAACTTGCATTTCTTTATTTTACACAAAATATCATGGACAACAGCATATTTATAAATAAGAAAACAAATCGGACAAACTACCTAAACAGAAATGTTTGTGTGCCATTTTGACTGATTGACCAAAATTACACAAACCACCATTGAAAATGGTACAAAGCTAAACAGATAGAAATGATAAATGGTGGAGTGAGTGTGTTGTTCAATCTTTTTAAAAAGATAGTTCCTACTCACAGTAAGTACTCTTTATTGAAAAAGATTGAAGAACACATTCACTCCACCGTTTATCATTTCTATTAATTTCCTAGTCAAAGCAGTAATGGATTATAACGCAATTAATAATACTACCTCCACTTACTTAAAATCAGCCAGTAAACAAGAACTGTTAAGACTTTCATGTTAAAAAAAAAACAATAACTCAATTTGGTTAAATTCCCAATGTTTGAAATTAAACCTAACCCCAAAATTCATTCTTGTTAAATTAAATATTAAGAACTGTTCAACTCTCTTACAACATAAATACATATTAAATAATTACTTATATAAATTGTACAGTCAAAGAGTTACAAATTTTTTAATCATTATCTTGTTCACATTAGGCTTGCCTCATTATTTTCTCCCGCAGAATGGGATTAATTCAATTATGATACGCGATCACAAGTTAAATTTATCATTGATAAAAATCAAAGTATATAAGATTTAAAAAAAATTAAAACATGAAGTAATTAAGCAAAAGCTTACAATTTGTCCCAAAAACAGAATTAGGTACAAAAAACTACTATCCCTTGGTTCATCGGTAGATTGTTGTAACATAAATAATATAAATGTACTGAAGTTATTAAACAAATCATGGTAAATCTAAACGTAAAAAAATTAAATATCCCACATACAATTAGGCCTATTGATAAAAAGTTAAAAAGTAACAACTTATTTTAAAAGCTGATAAAGGAAATAGTACAGTTATCATTGAACATCAAAATTACATTTCTAAAGTTGAAGAATTTCTAAACAATAACGAGTATAAAGAAAAAAATCCCACCTTAAAATTAAAAACTAGAGTTCAAAGTCATAAAAATTAGTGACTTTTTATTCTCAAATGACCAATAATATACAGTTAAAAAACTAATACCAATGAACCCGAAAAACCCCCAATATTATATGGTACGGTCAAAATTCACAAGGAAAATAAACCTATAAGACCAGTAGTGTCCTTTTATAATTCCCCATGCCAAAAACTTGCAATTATAATTGATAAAATAATTAAAACTCACACCAATTTCAAACTTACAGTCGGTATTAACAATTCTTTAGAATTGATAAAAGAATTAAACAACAACAATATACCTAACAATCGTCACTGCAGTCTTTTATTGTCATTTGATGCTACTAATTTATTCACAAATATCCCTGTTCAATAATGTACGAAACTCAAAACAAATTACAGAGAATTCTATTAAAGAATTAGTAAAAAGATATAATAGACCTCTTAAATATATGCCTACTATCCAATTATTAATTAAATAAAAAATTAGAAAAAACTGTGTACTTAAACTTAATATTTTGGTAATACTGGCAGACCAAAATGATTAGAAACAATCAAGTTACAACAAATTAAGAGGACTCAAAAAAATTAGTTATGTAATAATACATTACCTGTTGTGCATATAAGGTAAAATATTACACAAGTTTAATTTATTTACTGTTTCTTTTCTGAATTAACAAGGTTTTAGTTTCAGAAAAAAATAGGAATCGACCAAAAAGGTCTTAGATTTATTTAAACTTGTTCACTTCAAAAATTCTTTCTGCATTTTAAAAAACAGTTTTACTCACTTAAATCAGAAATTATCTCTTTCGCAGATTCTAATTCATCCTGCAATTCTGACTGAACAGAAGTCAAAAATGTTACTTGCGCTCTCAACTTCTTTAATCTTGACGATTTTCTTGAAGAAGTTGACTCTGTCTTTTTAATATGAGAAACTGGTGTCGATGTAAGTGCATGATCATCATTCTGACCTGAAAACATCCAACAGTCTCTACATATGCTTGAGAAAAAAACAGGATAAAATTGTATGAAAACTACTTACTGAGGACAACCAACTGTGACATAACGTACTCCCTGCTCAGAGATTTGGCAGATACGTGTAGAAACTTTTCCAGTAGGCTTTTAATTAAACATTGTTCCTCCTCACTCAAAGAATACATATTCGGTTCAAGCCAATCCTGATGATTGTAGAGACAGCATTCGAGCATAAAGACAGTGGCGACGAACACAACATCCTCTTCTTCACTTAAAACTACTATATGATTGGCCAATGAGGGATAGCGACATTTTAGAAATAATACTGCATCATCGTTGTTTATCAGTTTTTTTGGATTTAGTACTTTAGAATCGTCACTGCAAAACATTTTTCATTAGAGAACTTATCATTCTGTTTTTAAAATTTAAAAGTTTTACTTCAGTTTAGCTGCTAATTTAACAAAGAAATTGAATTTTACAAGATCTGCAACTTGTGAAAGCTGATGGGCTGTTATATCTAATTTGTCTGCCTGAAACATAGTTTGTTTTAAACATTTTTTGAAAAATCTTGATGAACACATTAACAAACTAAACACCACACATTTTTTTTATAATGAGATTTCTCCGTGGACTGTGGGGGGTGTACTTATAATTTGGTTGTTATTGATAATTGGTCCACCTATCCTAGCTGGGTCAGTCTGTCAGACACGTCTCGCCACCTTCTAATAAAAATCAGTCAGAATCAACACTGAAGATGGCAAAATGTCAAAAGGCAAAAGGCGTCTGCCAGTAAACAGTGAAGATAGGCAGACCACAATGATCAGTAATGACAAAATTACAGATTATTTATGTGAAACGTCTTTAAAATCGCACTGGAACATATGATTATCAGAACAGAAAGTTGTAGTGCAATGAAATGCATATCATCTTGCCTTAATATTAATCTCAGGGATACACCGCTGGGAGGGGAAAAAAAGTACTGAGTAAAGAACAAACAAACAGAAAATTCAAAAACAAATAAAAAGTATAAAAAACTTTTTGCCCCTTTAATAGCAAGTATTTCCACCTTTGATGTGAATCACGTCTGTTAAAACGCCTTTGCATTCCTTGGAAAAGATTTCCGATAAAATCCTGAGGAATTCTTTCATCAAGTACAGCAGTTGTCAACTCTTCTAGGGTGTTAGGACCTGGGTGTCACAATCATACTTGTTACTTAAGTTGGTCCCAAATGTGTGTTCGATTGGGTTCAAATCTGGACTTCTGGATTAAGCACTCAGTTCCAATCTTATTCAGGTATTCCACAATAGCAAAAAACTCACTGATGTGGGGGCAAATGGCCACTACATGTTCTTTGATTATTTCTTCTATGTATCATCTTCTGTGAAGAATGCCACGTGAGAAACCATACAGCATGGGGTGTACCTTTCTCCTCAGGGTTTCCATATTAAATTATATCCAACTGAAGATTTGTGGCCAACTCGCACCTCATCTGTAAAAAGAACTCATCCCCAATCCTTCAGCGACCAATTCACATGTTCACTTACAAAATGAAGTCTGGCAATTTTCTGAGCTGTGGTAAGAAGAGTTCCATTTTCCACAAACTGGGTTTCAGGCCTTGAGGTTATTTTCATTGAGCCTTCTTGAATAGTCCTGGAGGAAATTGAAAAATTTCAGACGTGTCTTATCATATTTCTTATCTTTTTCCTGTAATGCTGTTGTTTCATAGAGCCTGATATGACAGATGAATCTATCATCTCTTTGGTCTGTAGTCTAGGCCGACCCAGGGTTTCTAGCGTGAAGCCCTGTTTCTCTGAAGCACTGAAGAACCCTTCCTATTGTACAGTGATTTACATTCAGTCTCCTGGAAACTTTGTGCTGGCTGCATCTTTCTCTAATAATGCTATGACCATGATACTGTCAAACTCATTCAAATGCCAGATTGGAGTCATCGAAAAAGTTTAAGAATAAGAATAATATCAAATAAAATCCTCTAAAGAAAAGATTAACTGAAAGCGAACTTTAGGTGTAGTATCACAGTATTGCATACAAGTGTAAACAAAGGAAGTAAACAAAGCCATATTTTTATTTACTGTTGATTTTACTAAGATAGCTCCTAATTACCTGTAAGTAATGTAGAAGGATAATGGATTTAATTTTGAGCTAAATAAACTGAGTAATGCGTTAAATTTGTCCATCAGTGAATAAGTGTGTCATTTTTTTAGTTTATATTATCAGATAACTTATGTAGTAATTATGGTAAGAAGGAGTGTCTACCTATCACTCCTTTCTCTGATACGGTTGAAGAATAGAGTATGAAGACAATGGCAAAGCCTCTGAACTCCAGACCTCAAGCGACAACTAAACTCCTTGCAACGTACATGGCCTAGAAAATCATCAAAGGAAAAATACCAGAAGTTTGTGTAGGACATACACCTTGTCGACAACACACTCTGGAAAACAACCAAACGCATGCTGAAAATGAGGACCATTCTCCCACCCAGCTCAGGCCATGGCAATACGGCTACCTCAGATCAAGGCAAATGAGAAATGTTCGGAACATTCCTGGAGCAAACATACTCCCAACCCAAAGTCATGGAAATACTCCAGTCACAACAGCAGAACCATTGCTCAAATTCATCACTCTCAGGGAATTGGACAAGGAAGTAGAAATTTGAAATCAAAAAAATCCCCAGGTTGTGATGAAAGCCCGGCTATTGCGATCAAACAACTGCCCAGAAAAGGAATCGTCTTACTCATAAACATCTTCAATAACTGCCTGTGTTTAGGTTACTTCCCTATGAGATGGAGGATGGCTGAAGTGCTCATGATTCACAAGGGAGAGAAGGACAAAAAATTGGTAGAAAGTTATAGACGAACTAGCCTCTTCTCTATCATGGGTAAACTGTGTGAGAAATTCTTAAAGAGTCACCTCCTTTCCTTCTCAGCAGATACCACCCCGTACATCAATTTGGTTTCTGCTCACATCATTCAATGTGCCATCAAATATGCAGAATTCATGAAAATGTGGTGCAAGGATTTGAGGGCAAATGCCATCCAGTTGCTGTTTTCTTGGACTTAAAACAGGCCTTCAGTAATGTCGTGAAATGGACAGGAGACTAAATTATAATGTACACATGGTAAACTAAAAGAAGGATATGCCTGCCTTAGTATGTTGTAACCATTAATGAATAGAAAATCTAGGCTTAAGCCTGAAATATCTCTCCTGATCTATAAATCCATCATAAGATATTTGGTCCTTTATGGGTGTGAAATCTGGGGGCTGCCTCACCTTCCAAAATCAAAAGAATCCAGGTACTACAGAATAAAATTCTGAGGATTGCAGTAGACGCAGTATAGCTTGTGCGTAACTCTCAGTTGCACCAGGAACTCAATATACCTTCCATCGGCGAAACAATCCAAGTTTCACTCTGGACTATCAGCAGTAAAAGGAGCCGAACACTTCCAACTGGGGAACAAGATCGCATTGAGGATAAAGTCGCGTACCCTTCAGGATGTACTGGACATTGTTTGAATATAGCCGATAGTGGGCATTATGCACGTAGTTGTTATACATATTTATATAATGTTATTTCTTATTACATATAAACTTAAACTATTTCCATCCTTGCTGAAAAAGGCCCGTGATAGATTTATTATAATCCGATGTCTGATGCGAAGCAATTAATGCAAGACAATCACTGGATATAACTTGTACTAACTTGGTATAGTGGAATAAACTAAATTTAAAAAATTAAAAAATCAACGTTCCTTCGGAAAAAAGCTATCATGTTTTATGTTGTATACCCTTAATACGTTACATTACAATCCAATATACATTTTATTTGTGATTAATGTTAAATAGATAAAAACGTAAATAACAGGCATTAAATCATCTTACCCATGAGATAATAAGACTTTTCCATTTGGCGAGTGTCATGTTCAAAAGGAAACGATTTAACAAATAAACGACGATCTCTGAAAAAGGGCTAATTTCACGTTAACTCCGGCATTTTATCGAAAATAATAGTTGTCAGGGAGAAAATTCCGGCATTCGACATACACAAGAAAATCAGTAACGGAATTCTGAACAAGAGAAACCAGTAGATGTTGGCGCCGGTCGGTTAGACGATCGCCAGGTTGACCAATGGTGAAACGATTGTAAACAAAAAAATAAATAATAAATACATTTTATAAGTCATTTCAATGTAATATTTTATTTTAAATAAACAAAATTAAATTTAAAATTGTTTGCACAAAAGCATTAAATGTTTCGATTTTAAAATTATCGTATTGGCATTTTTGTTTATTGTCTGGAGGGTCCGACGTGAAAGGATCACATCAAGTTTTTATTTATTCCTACCTGTCGTAAATATACCCAGTTACAAGTTCTATAAGATATTAAACTATACATAAGTAATAATGAATAATTGAAACATAAATAATAATGTACATATAACAATAATTAAAAATACGGACATATTCAATATAACAAATATGAATAAAATATTAAGATGATGGGTAGGAAATTAATTGTCTTTTCCACAATAGTCATTTATTTATTCAGGCGCGTTTCGGTCTAATATAGACCATCTTCAGTGAATTTTTTTATATAAAGAGGTTCATGTAATTATATAATACAATTATAAGAGTAGTTTGTAAAGAATTCTTCATTCCAAATAGTCCATTCTTGACAGACTACTCACCAAGGACATAGTCATCCAGAAATCCACTTCTGAACTTATAAGAATTAAAAAAAAGTCAAACCACTTTATATAAAAAAAAAGGTCACTGAAGATGGTCTATATTAGAATGAAACACCTCTGACTTAATAAAAGCCTATGATTATATAAAAAGATAATTTATTTCCTACCCCATCTTATTATGGAGTTTCATAAAATGAGGGTGGACGCCATCAAAAAATTGAATAAAATACTGTGAGTATTGTATCTTAATGTGTATAAAAATATAAAACAAGTGAGAAGGAATGAGAAAAATTTAATTAAACCACAAATATATAAACAAATATAAAAGAAATGAGAAAGGATAATAAGAATTTAATTTGGGACATCTATGTCAATTATGTTTTAATCCTACTGTATACAGTTATATTCTATGTTTTGTTTGCTTGTATTTATTACTGTGAATGGTGATGTGATGGTGAAATAGTGGTTCTGACCCCGTTGTCCAAAATACCCAACAAGTAGTTTAACTTTTAGCCCTCCTGTATGGTGGGAAATTACTTTACTTTTACTTAATCTAGCAAATTAAACAACAATTCTCTATTTTCATTACTTAATGTTTTAAATGTAAGGTTGTTTAAACACAAACAGAGGCAGTCTGATGTCGTAGATTTTTATTTATTGTTTAACAGAAAATCAAAGTAGCTCGATATTTACAATGATATTTTATTTACATAAATGCATGTGGTTCGACGGTTCAAGAGTCGTTACCAATCTTTAAAACTACCAAAGCTGTAACCTTGAACAGTTTTTTTCTTCTTAACTGGAACTTGTTTCTCCTCTTCATCATTGATAATCCTGGAAGAAAATGGAAATTATTACTCTAGTTGTTTTTGTTTTTTTTAAATTTAAATAATATGTTATGTGGATTACTTTGAACTAAGAATTTTTGGGTTGATGTATTTTCCAACTCCGTCTTTGAAAACCTGGTTGGTCAGAAAATTTGGCTTATGCTTCTCCTGAAGCTCGGCCAACTGTTTCTCCTTTTCCTCCTCCCTCTCAGCATTCAGCTAAACATAGTTGAATATAAATAAAGAATAAATTTGAAAAAAATATTAATGAAAACCTTTTCGTCAGCTTCCTGATAAGGATCGACGAAAACTTGGGCGGCTAGTATTCTAATCGGTTCGATAGGTTTGTCCTTATTATCAACCTCAATCTTTTCTATTTTTGAAAGCGTGTCCAGCCCTCCTACGATCTTTCCGAACACAGTATGCTTACCATCTAAATGCCTACACGATCTGTATGTGATGAAGCTAGAAAAGAAAGAATATTCAATGTTAATAGCAGCAAGAACAAAAATTGAGAACGAATCAGTATTGTCATTTCCCACATCCATCCCTCATAGAAACGATCCACTGAAGACGGTTAAATGTGCCTGACAAATAAAAAATGACCAGAGATGAACAAAAACCAAGAAATTTAAACTTACAATTGCGATTTATTGGTATTTGGACCAGAATTTGCCATGGAAAGAACACCTCTTCCGGTATGTGTTAAATGAGGTTTAATCTCATCTTCAAAAGGCTTACCCCAGTAGGACTCCCCTCCTGTGCCAGTACCAGTCGGATCTCCACCTTGGACCTAAAATTAATAGTACAATTAAATTCATATAAATTTTAAAGATTGAGGTAAATCCTACCATAAAGTGTCGTATCGATCTGTGAAATATAGTATTGTTGTAATAGCCGTTTTGCGAAAGCTTTATAAAGTTTTCACAAGTCTTTGGGACTACATCACAGTCGAGTTCTAAATTGAGGAACCCCATGTTTGTCACAAGCCTGACATAGCCTTTCTTCTTTACCCTCTCATACCTGACTAAATCCTCGGCGACGATTGCAGGCTCGTGTGTTGTCTCTGGGGCCATTGTTGTCGATGTGAATCCTGCAGCAACTTTACCGGTCGAATAATGGGCCTATTGTTATTTGACAAAAAATTGAAATATTAGTGTAGTTTACTTTGAAAAAAAAAAAAAAAAAAAAAAAAAAAGGAAAAAAAAGATATATACTGCATTGAATTTGTCTGCTTTTGGAGTTTCAGTTTGGGTTACGACAGGGACTTTGTACTCTTCGTCAAGTGCTTTCAGGATGTCTACTGTCACTTTATTGACGGTTTTCAAATTTCCAGTATCATTATCACTTTCTTCAGCTAGAAAATTAAAGTTTAAATTATAATATCTATTATAAATATTTAAAAAAATAAAAATCTTTTGCTTAAAAAAATTAACCTTCTTGCAGTTTCAAATTGTGCTTAACATGGTAGAACTTTTCAATGTTGAATTTTTGAAGATTGGCCGGGTCTTGGAGGGTAATTACATCACTTCTTTTGAAAGGCGCATCGGTGATTAAATCTTTCAACATCTTAGTCTTGAAATTCAACCTTTCCACTGCCTATAATTAAACAAAAATAATTTGAAAATTATGATGAATTTTAGTGTTACTGTGTTGTTTATTTTTTGTTGAGAAGTATGGAGGAATATACAGATTAAAAAGTAAAGTAATTCCTGCCATACAGGTGAGCTTAACATCCAACCTTGGGTGTTACAGAGAACCACTTTACTGTAAAATTTCCTCCTGTGGTCTGGGAGGTGATTAACATAGTCTGATAGGTATCGAACTTACACTTTCCAATAATTTTCATATTATGAAGAATTAAAAAGTCATGTTTTCCCGGGATTTGAACTCAGAACTGCTAGGCGTGACAAGCGCAAGTTTGACACCCTAACCACTCGACCACCACAGTCCCCACAGTAAAATTAGCATTTCATTGGGATTATCAAATTATAAAAAATGTAAGTGTAATTTTTTGTTCAACTTACATCATATGAAAAAACATTTCCTGTTGTTGCGATTGCAACGATGTGGCTGTGGGACGTGAGCTGCTTGAATGTCACTGGACACTCCACCTTGCCTTCTTGGTTCTTATAGAAATTCAATTTTATAAGAGATTTTGAATCCAAAGGCTAGAAAGAAAAAAAAATTATAAAATAAATTGATAAAAGTACCAAAATAAAATGAATTTATAAACTTATTATAAACAAACCTTTCCAGTGACCGGGTTGTTCTTGTATTTTTTTAAATAAGTGATTATAGATTCTAAGTCAAAAATATTGCCATCGAGGTCACAGTACGGATGTTCGTACGGGTTCAATGATACGCAACAGTGGTCGAATGGCAATCGGCGAAATTCCTGCTGGCCCGGTATGGTTGGTCTTTTTCCTCCATACAGAGTAGACCACTCTGTATAGGTCAAATACCTGAAAAGTGAACATTTTCTTATTTTTAAGCTTTTGAAATAAAACCGATTCCTACGTACATTTTGTCCTTCTGATGCTGCCTTTTACCCATTTTGTATGTTGGTTTTTTTCCTTAGGGTGCAATAAATTTGTTATTTTCTAACCATGTACACAAGCAAAAACTACTTTTAACTTGTTTATGAAAGTCTTGTTGACAGATCAATTGCGAGGTTACATTCCTCACGATGATTACTTTTAGCCTCTAGAAGTCAATTGTGATGATGTCACGACAGTCCCAAAGGTCAATTTTTTTAATGAAAACCAATGAATTTACCATAATCTTTCATAGATATTTTAACAAACAGAATAAATTAAAGAAGTACATATGAATTAAAATTTCTTAATAAAAACTTTTCTATTAGGTTTGATTAAATTGAAAAAATTCAAAGGACATAGATCTTGAACAATAAAAAAATCAGCATTTAATTCTTAAGCAACTTGTGTAACGACAAAATGATTGTCTAAAAATAAATCCAAAATATGGAAAAGGCAAATGACATTTATTATTTTGTACTGGTTGCCTTTAAACGTCTTTTTTCAATAAATAAGTGAATTTATAATGATTATAATTCAGTCTGGTGAGATGTAGATTTGAAAACATTTTCTTTGTTGTGCTAACGTTTCAATTTTTATTGAGATCATCTTCAGAGCCTGGGATTTATGAACATTGTTTAAATTATACAAATACATGTAAGATGTGAAAAAGATTTTATACAATGACGTACCCAATGATATTTTGGACATCATTAGGTGAGAGATGTTTTTTGTTTTTCTAAATCTACATCACAACAGACCACATCTTATAATTTCTAAATAATCATAATTACCATCACTAAATACTATGAATGTATGTTGTTTGGTTATGTCTTTATATTTATTAAATTGATCATCTTCAATTCCCGGTTTGCCTATTTTTTGCATTTTCAATCTAGCTTTTTTTACACACTTGTGTTTGTAATGTGCTTATTTTACCACTTCAAAAAAAGGAGATGATTGAACAAATAACACCTAGACCAACTGCTGAAAATTCTAAAACCTGACAATAGAGAATACACAGGCCAGCACAATTGGAGACGATTGAGCTGCAAGTTTATCAGGTCATTTTATGTTTAACAATCCTCTTTTCATAAGAGACCTCACCAGGCTTACCATTAAAAAAAATCAATATGCATAGAATAATAACATTCATCAACACACTTTTGAAATAGATATACATTCATAAACATAAAACAAATACTTATAGTTTTTAAAAATCCTGGTCCCCCCCCAACACTAGGTATAATAAATAAAACAGAATTGGTAACAGACAGCAGTATACTATTTATGAAGACAATTGGCTACATTGCAGAATGAGCTTAGAAACAGCAAAGTTCTAAAGGAAGAATTGGGCTGCAGTTGTTTTAAGAGAAATAAGATTTTATTTTTGTTTATAGAAAAACATTTTTGATTGATTGAGATTTAGAAAGTGGTGGTCTAATCCTTGGCAGCAGTTCATAAATTAATTATTCTATATCATAATGATTGCTTTAGATTTAACATGGTTAAAAAGAGACATATTGAATGAAATCTAGGTTTTCAGAGGACTTTTTAAATAAAAGTGATGAAGGCTGTGGCTGTAGAAAACAAATTAAATTTAAATATTTATATTTTATAACAATATTACTCACTATATAATATAAAAAGATGAACAAGGTTTACAATGTTTTATTTTATACATCATTGCTTTAGATCAAAGCTTCCAGAACAATAAGTTATAAAGAAATCACACCCATTAATATATTTTAAATAGCAAAACCTTTTCTGCTAATATATTTTTCTTTTCACATTTGCTAAACAGCAACATAAAATATGCTCCCCTGTGGAAATATCTAGATTACATTGAATAGTAAAGGCATATGCACGGAAGTAGTTATGTTCCTCGATTTTGCCCCCTCTCTTTTAATATATTAATATTTACACCCTATTGTTAAATATAAAAAATGAAAAAGAACTCATTTAACTCGTTTCTGTTGTCTTAATCGATAAATATCATTAATCGGCGGCGCCATATTGTCTTCATCATCACTGTCTTCACCAAGTTTGCGTCGCTTTGTTATTGTGCCGTCTTCATTTTCAACTACCCAGTGGACAGATTTAGCAAGTTCAAACAATCTAGTGTCACAGCCATTATCACCTTGAGGTGTAGGAGCTAAAAAAAAAAATATATATATATATATAACAGTACAAAAAATTGCGTTTGTTAAAAACAATTACTTACGAGTTTCAGGTAATTGAATTTTAGCGAATATGTCCATTAGTCGCTCTACTGCAACGAATGGGCCATGAAAGCACTGCGGAGGTGGCAGTAAAGAACATAAATGCCCGACTGCAGGTGGCATCGGGAATGCTCCGCCTTTATTTAAAAATAAATTTATTATATTTAAATGTTATATTTTCATTGTTGGACAATTTTTCAAATTACCAGGCACTGGATGCTCTCCAGGGTATGCACTCAATTTCGGCTTGTATGGGATCATCTGGGACACATCAGGCCTTGGTATTAGCCTTTGGGTGCCCTCGTCGTCGAGTCCATCGGCTAAAAATCCAGGGACAGTCGAATGTATCGAATTTTTCAAATTTGTTGTTCTAGTTGTCACTTCATTGTAGCCAATTGATCTTAAAATTAAAAAAAAAAAAAAATCAATAAACAAAATCTAAATTTGTATAATTATTTAACATTTCGACTTACTTTAATTCTGCTATTGTGCAAGGATACAAATCTAAAAATCTGTATCTGTCAACTAACTGTGCTGTCTCCTTACCCTCAAATTCAGCTATCTATAGTTTAAAAAAATTCATGTAAACATAAAAGAAATGGTCAACTTGGAAGCAGAGAAATATTAATTCATATGAGCTTAATTTTTAAATAATTTCAATTTAATGAATAAGATTTAGGAAAAAGTATTATAGGATGGTTAAGGAAAAAGTGCAGGGGAGAGGAAAGTGTGATCTTATGAAACGAGAGGCGTTTTAAATAAGCTGACTGCAGTATCACTATTGAATCTATGAGGAAAAGTATCACACAAGCAATAAATCTCACTTTTACTGTATTATACCCGTGATTTGCTACTTGTACAACAAATGTTTGTACATCTCAAATGGAGAAAGAAAAAAAAGACCAATTCTGATTCTCAACCCTTTTGGAGAAAACTAGAACTTTCTGAACTAGAAACTTCTGGGGATTTTTACCTTTTTATGCTTTTTTTATTAGGATAAGGTTGAACTTCTGTATTGTCAGTAAGGATGTAGTGATCGACCAACATTTGTTAATTGGAAAAGAAGTGGATCAAAAATAATACAAAGTGGATTTTGGATGGTTAGATTGTTACCATTCCTAACCACCCCAAAAGTGGATTAGGGATGTGGTCCAATGAATAAAACTTTTGTTAGTTTTAATTATAAGGGAGTAGGCTCGTACATTCTGTAACTTGCAACTGTTTTTGATTGATAAAGAGATGGTTAAAACCAAATTGTTATAATCCTAAAGGTTTTTTGTGTGTAACTAATTATTATATTACAGCTTCATAACTAAGGACCTTTAACAGTCTTCATTTTTTTCATAAAGTGCATATAAATTTTGTATTTTATTATGGAGTTTGTGCTAATCCTGTTAATAATAAGAAATGTTGTTTACCTAAACAAAAGGGCCCTGAAGAAGGCAAAATATATACACCAAAAACAAAAAGTTTTGTTTCATTGGACCACATCCCTAATCCACTTTTGGGGTGGTTAGGAATGGTAACAATCTAACCATCCAAAATCCACTTTGTATTTTTTTTGTCTTGTTTAGTGAAGATATTTTGTCCAACTTTCTTCTTTGGTTCTTCAATATGTTTTGTCTCTTTTTTATTGTGATTGTTTTTTAATGTGATTAATTTTTCTTACTTTTTGTACATTTTTATTAAGTTAAAGTTAAGAAATAGATTTTGCCCAGGACAAGAGTTGAATTATTAAATTTACACAAAGTATTACATACCCCAGTCCGACTTTTTCACACTATCACCACTTTTTTCCCATTTAGCATACAATTTCTGCATTTTAGTTAATGTAAATATGGTGTACTTATTAAACAAAAAAATTGTTTTGAATTTTGGCCATGAACTTTAGCAATGAGGTTGCAAATTTAGTTTTTTTATTAAACAAATTTTAAATTTAGCAGTTTATGAAAGATTTAATTTTTTTAAACCAAAGATTAAATTGAAAGTTCTAGAAGGCTGCCTTCTTAAAATAAATTTTATATTCATTTTAATTTTTTGTTTGTTGCATTTCCTCATAAATGAATAGTTCAAGAACTGTGAGCAGATTTATGATGAAAACTGTAGAAAGTGGAAAAAAAAATAACAGTTGGATATCCATTAAAGGGTTGAGAATTCATATGAACTTTTTTTTTGCATTGGAGGTGTAGAAGTACAAAGCAAAATTCGTTGTACGAGTAGCTAATCACCCTGAATATGTGATGTAACCGGTTTAATTATCCACTTTGTACTGTTCTGTGGTTTATTTATCACAAGTATGGTACTACACTTTTACACAGTTAAAGTTAATTGTAATATTTTAACATATGTTGTAAAATCTTATTTTTTGGCAAGGAGGAGAGGGTGGGATTAAGTGATGCAGTCAACATTTTAAGTAATCCATTATATTTAGTGGTCTATTGACCAAATTACTTCTTTAATTAATTAATCTTTTTATGTAAGGTTTTTGGTTGAAATGAAAAAGTTAGTGTCACGAGCGGGATTCGAACCCCCCCATTGAAAAAATGGCAAAAAGGAGTGACAATTCAAAAAGTAGTAGGTTGAGATGGGGAGTTGGTGTCCGAGTGGATCAAAGTCACGACAGCTCTAGTGGTTGGAGCAGCAGCGTATTAGCCGAAGGTTGTGGGTTTGAATCCCGCTTGTGGCACTAACTTTTTCATTTCAACCAAAAACCTTACTTAAAAAGATTAATTAATTTAAAAAAATAACCATTTCAATTGTGCTGGCAATTTTTAAATATTATGCGGCCGAGAACAGCCTGTATGCTAACTAAACTACAACATCATGGTAACCTGTTCGAGCAAATCATCATTCCCATTTTCTACCAATCTCGGTACAAGGAAGGAAGTCAAAGGACAGTTCAGGGAGTTGAGGGAAAGGTTATTGGAACATGAGTTTAAGGCGTCTTTTTTATGAGCGGCACGAGCTTGGCTTCTTATCTGGAAAGGCACATGTTTGAAAGGATGATGGAATTAAGGAGATGAGGGAAATGGTACGAGGGTCAAAAGAAGGATACTCACTTTTCCTAACACGGCACTCCTTCGTTTTTCAACCTTAACTATACTTGCTAAATCTCCTATATTACACTCAAACTCAAGGAACCTGTTCCAGATTTCTCTGAAAATTTTGTAATATTAATTAATAGAATTGACTTTTTTTTATAGTCCAATTATAGAAAACGTAAAAAAAAAATCATTACAACTTACACAGACTTTTCTGGTTCTAAACTCCCTGATGTTAAAACCCTCTCAAATAGAACTCTTGTGTTGTTGTCCTCTATAAATAAAAAATTAAATTAAAAAATAATTTTTTAATATTTATTTAGGATTTACCATTTAAGTGAGAAAGATAGTCAATGTAACACAAAACATACTGTGGGTTGCTAGCAAACTTTTTCAAACCTAATTCAAATATTCTAAATGCGATATTTTTGTCTTTACTGCAATAATACTCCATTAAAGCAGCAGCGACGAACGCCTGAAAGCAATATAAAATTAGACGACAAAAAATAATTTTAAACATCAAATTCGTACCTGGTATTTAGACCTGACATCTTCCCTGGCTTTTTTGAATACGTTCCTCGCCGACTTTATCCCCTCAGCTCTTCTCGCAAACTTCATGTATTGCACATAAGTCTGAAAAATCAACCGACATTAAATGTCAAATGGTCAATAAATAATGTAGCTCGACACTAACAAGTGTGGGGTCAATTTCAGGTATTTCAAGAAATCTTTGGTATATTTGATGAACTTTTTCATATTTCAATCTGCCTTCTTCAAAATCAGCATACGCAAAGTGAAGAAGCATGTTATTCCTTAAAACAGTGCTGGTAGCTCTTTCAAACATGTTCCCTGCTTCATCGTTAAAAAGTTTAGCAGATGTGACATCCTATTTTTCAAAAAGAATTTATTAAAAACCATTTTAATTATAAAATAAGAAAATATTTTATAAACTAACCCCCTTTTCTGTTAGGACTTTAGAGCTGTAATCTAAAAACTGAGCTGCTTCATACCAAATATCGGCATGATGACCAAGACAAAGTAGGCACTGCTCAAAAGCAAACATGACTCTTCTCGTCACAAGCGCTGTATCTTCACTTCTCAAAGGGTTGCTCTTTTCCCATGCAATGTACTTTTTCCAGAGTTCAACTTGCTTTATTTCTTCTAAACTCCCCGTAGGCGGTACTGATGGAATGCTTCTGCTAAGCCCCCTCGTGATCGCTTCAAATTCTTTAGCAACCCTCCGTGCATTCATGTAGTCTCTGCTTCTTTCCATCGCCATTTTTTCCGCGATGATCGGATTAATACCCTGTTCATAGGCCATGTAGTCCTTCCATAGGTTTTCTATTTTCAGCATTGGATTCACGACACCTCTCTGATATACCTAAAATTATGGGGAGCGATTCGTACAAGCCCTGCATTTTTGTTTAGTTTCTTTGCATTTTATACCTTTCTGACAGCAGTTATTTTTTGGTTTTCGGCATAGGAACCGACCGCTTCAACTCCTTTTAAAAATATAACATAATCATTCCAAATACTATAAGATTGGATATCCATTCCTATTTTCTCTAATGCAAAATCATAAGCCTGTGCCATCTTTTCCCTGGAGAATAGAAACGATCAGAAAGGATAAATACTACTAAATACTAATGTACCATTTTATGGTATAATGGATATAGGATTAACAGAATACAAGCAACAAATACTTACTAAAATCAATAAATACATGTGGAGTAAATAAAGTCTAACTTACATCGAGAGACAAATATAAATAAAAAATATTCTTTTATTTTTGAAGGTACAATTTAAATGAAAAAATAAAATTTTCTTCAACACTTTCACAACTTGTGCTGTATTCAAGAAATTTATTTCTTAAAAAGTTTTAAACAAAAAATTACTAGCTATTTTTTGGCAAATCATGTTTTCAACAAAGTTAACTTTAATAAAACAATTATGTTTCAAGACATAGATCTTTTGAAAATAGCACAAGTGGCTCAAACATTGAAGAAAAATTAATTTTTACAATTATATTCTACTCAACTATTTATCTCAACTAAAAACCTTAATTAATTGAATTATATTCTACCTTCAAAAAAGCCTAAACAAATTAAACAATTTTCATCTGTACAAAGAGAAAGGACAACAAAATGAAGAAAGAAGAATAAAAAAAATTGACAGAATTTTATTGCAATATTCTATGTGATAATAATCATTCCACAATCTCTCTCAAAAATAATAATATAACAGAAAAAATAAACAAATATTAGGTTTTAATCTGAACTAGTAGTTGATGAATTGATTTTTAAAATGAATTACTTTTTACATAACAATTATTAACACAGTGTTTTAGTAAGATTCATTTGGTTAAAAGCATGTGCCATGAAGCTTGAGGGTGTCTTAAAACTGGTTGATATAAATGAATTACTGAGATTATTTAAATAAATAATAAATATATCATATAAGAAAGCAGAACTGTTCCAATGTGTTTTGGAGCAGGTAAAGGTGTAATTCAATGAACAAACATAAATTTTGGGGCATATAGTAAAGAGAATATAGAAAATTAACCAATTTATTGCACAGAAGGTATATAAGTAATAAATAATAAAAAAATAACAATAAAGTTTTTTTCCAGTTGTTGATTAAAAAACAAAATATACACAAACTAAAACATGCTTTGATTGCTGCATGCAACCATTAAAATTTGTTCTATTTTTTAAAAATATTTTATTTGATCCCAAGTATAGTAAATACAATCAAAGGCAAAAATAACTGTATGCTCGTGTTTTGTTGTTCATTTCAAACAAAATGTATTTTATTCTTTATATTTATTACAACATACTTATTTTAATGCAAGCCAAATTAAACTAGATCAGAAATTCGTTAGTTTTAACAAAATTATTTAATTATGAAAGTTTGAAAGAAAATTAATCAAAACACTGGAAAATCATTTAGTGATCGATTAATTTGTTAGTTAAATATTAATCTATCACTAAATGATACTCTAGTGCTTTGGTGGATTTTCTTTCAAATCAACTTAACCAAATATTTTTAATTAAAACTCATAAATTTCAGATCTGATTTAATTTGGCTTTCATTAAAATATGTTGCAAATTACATAACAATAAAAATGTATGCATATAGTTTGAAATAAATGTCTGTTTATTTTTTGTTTGGGTATATTAAGAGAAATAAGTTGTAAACAGAAGGGTAAGTGCTTGTTAACTAATTGGAATAAAAATATTTATTTTGAATAATGAATTATTTGATGCTTTTACAGATGTAGCAAGATTAATTTATTTTGCATTACATTTCAATAATTGTCTAAGCAAACTAATTGTGAAATTATTGTGGTGAGGTCTGTCATAATCGTATACAATCGTCCTAGTCTGCTTATTCTTTTTGATTTTGTATGTCAGGCATTTTTTCGCCTGTTACTGTGTCTGTTGTGTCCTTTTCCTGGGTTTGTTCAAGCAAATAACACGCAGACCAACCATTTAATATGGCAAAATGAGCCTGACACCAATGAGAATACGCGAACAGGAATGATCGTAGGCGAACAAGCTTCCTGACGTAAAGTTTAAAATGTTTTCTTGACTTAGAACCGTCGAATCCATAAATTATGGTATATTAAATCAAAAGACAATTCTATCTTAATGAACTATACAATTTAAACATAACTCGATGGTAGATCTTGCGATCTTATGATTACCAAACATAATTTTAACTTACTTAAAAGTAGAAAGGGCAGCTTTTGTTTCCTTAACGTAAGCAAGGTAAAGTTTCCACAGTTTTATATTAAGCACTTTGATGAGACACCTTTGGAAAAGCTGAAATTAAAGGAAAATAAAATTTGTTACATTCACAAAAACAAGTTTATTTGAGCAATTTACACTCCTTAAAAAGTATATGATTTTATACATATAAATAAATAAACATTGCCTTTTTATTTTTTACAATAGTTTTCAAATGATAAAACAAAAATACATTTGTCTTATTGCAGGATGTTGAACTGTCGAATATTTAATTCCTTCACAAGACACAGCTTTAAAAAAAGATACTCCAAAGGTGAAGAATTCACAAGGCTTGATCTTGGTTTTAAGTATGTCGATTATGATCCAAAAGCATACTTATAAAGTGAAACAATTATTTTGCCAATGTTCAATTCCAAAACTGAGCCAAAAATAAAATAAAAGGTTTCTACAGTAAATAAATTGTTAACACTTGTTTAATATTAAAAATTTAATTTAACAATTGACTAGTTGATCATTTTAAAATTTGGTTAAAAAAAAGACAAAGAAGACACGAATGTTTAAAATATCTTTATTTAAAGCATTTAAGACAATTTGTATACCAATCTTTAAAATGTTATGCTAAAATTGGGTGAAATAAAACAAATTGAGACACGATTTTATTGCATTTTGTGGGTCAGTCTGTGAGAAAGTAAATAAATCATAAAACAACACACTCATAAATTGGTTTTTATTTATATTCATTACATGTTCCATTCAGATTTATTGATATATTCTTTTTGTTAAAGCAGTGTCGACAGTGTTCAACAATAGGCTAGCGCTTTTTTTTTTGTTTTTTTGTTTGCTGAATAATATCTCAAGTCCAGCAAGCACCTGAGTACACAAAATACATATTACACATACAGTCAATCAAAATGAGCATGTCAAGAACGGACTTGGAAAGTAAGTCTACACCGTTCGAATGAAGGCGTTTTGAAGCTGTTAAAACTCAGGGGAAAAATCATGTTCGTCATTGAACAAGGATTTACCAGTTCACACCACTGTCATGTTATCAATCATCCACAAACACAAATAACTGAAAATTTCTCTAAATATATTATTAAAACGAACTGTTTTTCAAGCATTCACCAAGAGAAATATCAAATTGTAACACAATATTGCAAACCTCAAATGCAAGATCGGCAAAAAAATTGTAATTTTCATTTGATGGATATTGATAAAACCCTTTAAAAAATGATTTTGGAGACATCCCATTTTAAAATTCTTGAGGACACATCTGCAGCATATAAATAGTTTGGTCAATAAGTGATAAACTCCCCCTCCTACCTCACAGTAAGAAATTATCTTAACAGGATTAACAGAATGATACGTTGTATCAATAATTACAATTATTGCATTTAATAATACACTTTCAAATATTTTAATTCAAAATTAATTCTGAACTGGACATTTAATAAGTGTTTAATGAAGAATGTATACAATTTTTGAGAAAAAATTTCATTGTGCGATGTCCTCTGAACAGAAAAAGACCTATAGTTTGGTTGTTTTCAATAATTTTGGTCTGCCTATTTTCCCTGTTTTGAAAATGAGTGTAGGCAGATGAAAACAATCAGAAATAACCAAACTATTAAGATGTAAACATTCTTCCCGATTAACTTCTTTTAATAAATATGTTAATTTGTGGGAGGAAATTAAAATAATTTGTATGAACAATTGAATGATTTATTAAAATGATTCTTTCGTTTTAAGCAATATCAAAAAATATGATTAAATAAGGAACAAACTAGAAAAATTTATGTTCAAATGACTGTTTCTATCAAAAATATATTTCATATAAAATAATCCTTTATAAAAATATTTGACAATTAAAATTTTGCTTCTTCTCTGCATACTCAACTCTTACCTGTTTTTCCACAGTGTAGAATGAAAGTCTTCTGACGTTTTAGTCAGGCTGACTTTTCATGTCAGTATCAGATTTTCGAAAAAACCAGGAAACAATTCAGCGCTGGGCCTTTGCTTGAATTTTCTTAAACTTTAGAATTTTTTTATACCAAAGCAATAAGTTGACTTTATAAGTGGTCTGTGATAGTAATGTTATTTTATATTGGGTGGTGGGGACGACAACAAAAAGTTTGTTTAGTTAAATAATGTACTGCCTTTATTTCTTCTGACTTCCTGAGAGAAGGATTTTATCCGTTCCTCAAGCCCAAATCCAAAGTTTCTAATTGTTAATAATTAAATTAAAATTAAATGATACAGCACAGTATATGGAAGTTTTCTAACCCCTGTTTTCTAAAGGTTTGAATATCTCTAGATTTCAAAGAGAAAATATGTTTGTTGATCGACCTGCAGATAATCTATGTAGAGTTTCTATCTTCGTAGAGGTCATTAGACAGGTGAAAAAAGAAGAAAACTAATTGTTGGGTTCACCAAGCTTTCGGCAACTTATAGTGCCATCATCAGGGCCTATTTATTAAAAATTAAAATAAATAATAAACAATTAACAGTTAACAAAATAAAATAATATACATACTTTCCCAAGTGTGCAGAAAACAATTAACATGGAAAACTATTGTAAAAGCATTTTGGGCTTAAAATGCTTAAAATTGTTGGACCTTTAGTCATATGGATTTTTTATTAGCGAGGTACTGTTAAACTTTATTATAAATTACAATTAATTAAGGTTTTTTAGTTGAGATAAAAAAGTCAATGGCACGAGCGGGATTCGAACCCACAATATTCGGCTAGATACGCCGCTGCTGTACTACTTGTAGCTGCTTGTACCACTTTATTATAAATTATTGGTTTTGTTAATTATAAATACTGTATATTAATAGTTACAATTTTATATAGATGTCTATTTTCACCATGTAAAATGTAGTATGCTGATCATGTGCTTCATAACCTTAAACCCAAAATGCTTTTACAATAGTTTTCCATGTTAATCGTTTTCTGCACTCTTGGGAAAATATGTATATTATTTTATTTCGTTAACTGTTAATTGTATATTATTTATTTTAATTTTTAATAAATAGGCCCTGATAATGGCACTATAAGTTGCCGAAAGCTTGGTGAACCCAACAATTAGTTTTCTTATTTCTTCACCTGTCTGATGACCTCTACGAAGATTGAAACTCTACAAAGTGAAAATGTTAAATGAATTTAATTATTCCATGTAAAAAATTACACTAAAAAAGTATTTTAGATATTAAAAATTAAACACGGAATTATTTTACTGATTGAACGGTATATCATTTAACGCATACTTGCCCATAGTGTCGTGTATTCGGGTGAAAGACCGATCGGCCTTTTACAAGCATAAACTTAATTCTAAACTTAAAACTATGAGTAGGAAGAAGCATCAATGGTTTTTGAACCCAGAAAGAGGCTTTACTGGACACTAACTCATAAATCTTAATTACCACCAAATCAAATTTATTTTAATGTAAATAAATAGTTTCATTTTTATTTTATTTTATTTTTACAGTGTGGCAACGTAACATCCGATAAAACTGCCTCCCGGGTTTCTGAACACGAATGAGAAAAAAAAATTCCCTGCTTCGGCGAGAAACCGTATATTATATTTTTTTAAAAAGTATAACCAACAAGTGAAAGGCACAACATGACATACCTTCTCTACACGCTCAAAATTTCTTCCTTTCATCTGGAACAGACAGACAAGCTCATTAGTTAACACGGTAAATCAGGTGAAATGCTGACAAACATAATAAAAATCAAGCTTTGTCTATAAGAAGAACGGATAAACATCCTTGAATCATAAATAAATGTTGATATCATGGAAAAAAAGTATATATAGAAGAGAATAATATAGAATCAACAGGCTTATTTAATGGATGCAAAAATTTAAATAAGAAACAATATTTTCAATTTACGTGAAGGGTAGCACATAGATCAGAAAACTTAGAAAACATAATAGTTTATTTTCATTTTTTCTTCTTCAGGAGTTAGGATTTCTAACAGCTCCAGTGTTGCTGGGTTAAACAGGTTTTGGCTCTTCCAACCTTCAAAATAGAGCTCTGGCGACAACTAGGTCATTTAGATTTAAGCTAAACATTTATTAATACTTATTCTTAAATAATTTCCTATAATGCTATAAACTAAAATAACTAACATAATAAAAATGACATTCAAACTGAAAAATATACACACAAGACTTTTACACGCAAAAAAAGACCCCTGGTTCTTCTAAAAATGAAAACAGCAGACCTAATAAAGTAAATGAGAATCTTAAAATTAGAAACTCTACTACGAACAAGAATAATTATATTTATTCTAAATTTCTACTCCTTTTCCTTTTTGGTTGTTTTTCTTAGATGATCGATTTGGATAAATAAATAGTGAATTTCTTCAACCAATTTTTTTGTAACACTAACCTATTTCTTCTAGCTCTCTTAATGTGTTTTTATCAAGCACAAGTTCTTTCTCTACATGCCCAACACATATGCCAACTTTGGTATAAAAATAAATATTTTTTAGTCATGTGAGATTGATCCCATTTTTAGTTCTTTGAGGGTTGTTTAAGTCCTTGATGCTTAAGAACTTTTATGTTGATCTATTGAGATTACGAAAATACCTTTATCACATTGGTAATTATTTTTTAAGTTTAAGTAGGAATGAATTACCAGAAAAAAAGATAATTCAATAGTAATTAAATTTCTATTTTTTATTCTACATATCTAAGCGTTTGTATATTTGGAAAGGAATTAGGTGGGTTTTAATGAAAACAACTCTTTTATAGCATCACATCTTTTCTGCCTTTGTTTTATACCAGGTTATGGTTCACTTTCTGACGGTCAAACATTTGAGACTAATAAAGTAAAACGGTTTGTAATTTTTTTTTTAATTCTAGAGGTGCCAGATATTAAATTGCTAGTAAAAAGATACCGGACAGCGAGAAATAACTTCAAATATTGTTATTTAAAGGGGGAAAGAAAGAAACATCTTGAATTGTTCATCCAATACACTCGAGAAAGTTAGCTAATTAAAAGACTAATTCAAAAAGTAAAACATCTAATGCCTATAATTAGCTTTTTGAGTCAATTACTTACAGCTTTCTAATCATTAAAAAGGCCAAAAGTTACTTTATTTTAAATATGCCGGTTTTGGTTTTGTCCTGTTTGTTAAAACAGTTCTTAGGATTGAAATGTATTTTCAATTTAGTTGAGATTGTTATAAAGAGTAGACGTTCATAATACAATAAGATTCGTTTTAGATAATACTCTTGCTTGAAACAGCCGAATCAGCAAGAAACTTTCTAAATCGAAACAACAATGATATTTTCTATTTGTACATTCAGAAAACACAAACCTGTTATTCAATAATTTATACTCTACTTCCTCCTTAACAAGTTTAAACTTTCAATATTATACCAAAACTTAAGTTTTATCATTAATTTTTATTGTAAATGATCAAAATTGACTCTCAGCTTTAGGACATAAAGATGAACGTAAAACAGCCGAAGGAATTTCAAACATAAATAAACGCTTCACAAGAAATTGAAATTTTTACAAAGATCTACCATGACTTGATAAAAATAGTAATTGTGAGAAAAACTTAACTTGATGTGTAAATTTTATTAATTTTGTAGTCCCGCTCCATTTCATAGTACCTTTTTTTTATTACCTTATGCTAGTAATTATAATAATTATAATTTTAATAGTTTTTTAGCTTCAAAACTATAGTAAAGAATTTATTAAATAAAAAGTAGATCATGGTAAATGTTAATTTTTGTCAGGCAATAAAATAGCTGTCAATAGGTTTTTATGACCTTAATGATATGGTATTAAGAATAGGCAAACAACTTACACCAGGATGCCTGAAATTTATTAAAAGGCAATACTGCTTACTGTATAAGCATAACAACTTGTAATTTCTTTATGTTTTTACTGTAAATTTACTTTACAAAAAAAATGTGAAAAAAGATATTTCAGCATTCTAATATTCTCCAAAGAGAAAAATAAATGTTAATAATTGTAATTGTAGAGTCAAGTTTAGAAAAGTAAAGATAAAGGAAAAATTATGATTCACAATTGATAAGATAAGAGGTGTAATGTTTTGTTCTTCTAATTTTCAATAAAGTAGTTAAAATATTAGAAACTACATAAATTGTAAGATTTCCTCCTATGGTCTGCAGTGTGATGAATATAATTTTATATTCACCTATCTTGGCCTGCCTATACTAACTGATTTTGTCTGTCAGATGCATTTCATGAAAATTATCAAGAGTAGGCAGTCCAAAATGACAGGAAACTATTAAATTATATTATTCAGTTATGATATTATGCACACACACAACCATTTGATATGAAACATACGAATGTTTTCTTATCTCTTAAGACATTTACAGTTTTAACAATAAAAGCAAAACAGTTAATAGTTCATTACATTATCATTTCATTTTTAAACTCAATGTTCAAACATTTATTTATGACGTTATGGATTTATATTTTAGCAATTATTTTAATGAAGGCTATTCATGAATCCCAGAGGACGGTAAGACGGGTATAAAACCAAACTTTGAAATACAAACTTAACTTATACACCATATGTGCTTATATTGCAAATATTGAAGAGAAGTCTTACTTCGACTTTCTCCCTCGACCAACCATTACATTTCAACACTGTGTACCTTCGAATTCGCAAACTTTAAAAAGTCAAATTAAAGTTTATGCTTTTGTTGCTTGTTAAAACAAAATGACAAAGGAGTTTAACGAGGGTGTATGAAACCTCAGGGTGCTGGTATTTTCAAAAGAAAAATACCCACATGTAAGTATGTCAGGTTCGGATTCAGGGCCTCTGGGTTCGAATCTGGGAACTTTAACTTTCTGTGAGGAGTGCCTAAACCTTAACCATCGCTGCCACTGACACCCCTTACTACAGCACCTTTAATTTTACATTTACAAAAGTGCATCATCAGTTCATCAGCTCTTCATGTGTTACAGTGAAAAGTATTGGGATTACTTATATTTTCTCGATTGAAAACATCAAAGGAAATTCGAAAGATGAAAATTAAGTTATAAATTCATAATTAATAACTTAATTTTATATTTATTTATTAACATAAATTTATAATATTATAAATTCAAGACTATTGATCCTGGCCAAGGCTTGATAATAATGTGGTTGTTTATTTATCTATTAAAAATCAGCTATATTTATGATATTAAACATAAAAAAGATTATTTTGAAAAAATGGAATGTAAGCAGTGAAATAAAGGAGTACACATTTTCTTGGAAACAGTTGTTCATTATTTTGGTTGTATTATCTACATAAGCTTACATACAAAACATCACTATGAATAAAATTTAGATTTATTTTTAAATTATATATAAAATTTAATAGTAGTTACTTCTGACACAGGTTTCAAATGCAAAAGAGAAATGTTTAAAATTAGATTTCTTCTGGTTGGCTCAGGATTGTCAATGACAAAAATTATTAAAAATTATTTTAAGTTAAAAAAGAACACAACAGATAAGGTGAAACTTTGTAAAACAAACATAAATAGTCTTATGTCTAAAAAAAATGTATTAACATCAAAGAAGTGAGAAATTGAGATGGTAGAAGTTCCACTTAAGACTGCGAACGGAATCTATATTAAATTATCTGCGGGTATTTCAATCAAGGGTCTGAGCCGTTTGCGCTACATTCTTGAACTATAACACATTCAAATTATAATAAAAAGTTCTACAAGTAGCCTAAGTACAAGGCAAAGAAATGATCGCAGAACTTCTGTGACAAATACAATAATCGGACTCTGTATAACCAATCTTTATTAGTTAGAAACTTTGAATTTAAATGAGCTTCAAGGTGCAAAGAAAACTAGGTGGAATTGTAAATAACACGTGACCGACTGATTCTTGACAAATGCTGCTAAGAAATCAGCATATAAGATGGATGGATAATTGCAGATAAACAAGCTAGCGTATATTAAGAAGTTCACATTTAAAAAAAACTAACATGTAAATAAGCTCAATGGTGGGCTAAAATAGCTCGATATAGAAACCTGGAGGAAATCGGAATTCAATTTGGCACAAATTTCACAAAAGACAGAGAAAGAAAGAGAGAGAGGGGTTTGAGAGAGGCATTTGTTCAGGGTTTTTTTTTCTTTTTTAAATATGGATTTTCCCATTAACCATTTGCCCAATAGCAACGGAATCCTGCTATGTTGGTCAAAGATCAGACCAGCTCTGGCATTCTGGACTGATGCAGAGGGAGAAGAGGTTTTTTTTTAACAGTTGAAACAAAACAAAATTAGAAATGATGAGCCTAACATGATTGAATAAGTAAAGAAATTAAATTTGAATTGAGCAGGATGGAAGATCATAATGTCAAGACGAAAATTGTAATAAAATAAACAAGGCCAGCCAAAAATTGTACTTTGGTACATCTGGCACAGGCAGCCTGCAGTACAATTCCAACTTGTGAGATTTCTTCTTGAGGCCTGCAGTTTGATAATCCCGTAACTTGGTTTATTCCAATTTTATTGGTCTCCCAGGTGTGCTTTGGATTTTATGCCAAAAAGCAAGGACATACAGACCAAATCGAACAGAAATGATCAAAGTACATCTGTTGGATCTAAGTCTACCAAGATTGTATCTTCTATGCGATCGACCAGCCTTTATTCAATAAATAGTCATGTGGACTAGGATTGGGGTCAGAAAAACAAATAGAGCTATTGTACCAATGCTGAGCTTCCTACGATATATTCTGCCTTCTTCAGGGTGTACAAAGAACAATTTTAATTAATTTTACATTCATGTAGACATATCACAGATTCTTGATAACTAGTTAAAACTTAACATGTGTAAATGTTGTTAAATTTTAACTACGCACTTGTAACTGACCACAACACTAATCTGACTTATATTCTACAAAGACTGTCAGATACAACTGGATGATTGGAAAAGTGTAAGGAAAAAGTATATGAAGTTGACCGCAATTCTAATTGTTGCATCCATAAATCAGACAGGTTGGCACACATAAAAAAAAAAAAAAAAAAAAAAAAAAAAGTTCAGACACTCCTTTTCATATTAGTTTTTAATCATTTTTGTCTAAATCTTTAGAATTTGTTAGTCATATTTCAGCTTACAGATTTATAGCAGTTGGACTGTCTGTTATTCCATCAATTGTGTCCCTTCATAAATGACCAACTTCTGAAAAATTAATTCAAACGCGGCGCTGAAGATGGCGAAAAGACCTCTGACAGACCAAAATGACTAGAAACGTAACAAACTAAATATAAAAATTACTCGACTAAATGTAAATCACACTAACTGACCACTTTCGAACATGAAATGTTAAATCGCGTCGTAGAGGCTAAAACTGTGAAGATAGGAAGACAAAAATAATTGAAAACGGCCAAACTAGATCACCTCCCACCTACGGGAATCTCAATATAAAAGTGACCCGATTAAAGATAAACCGTACAAACTAACCAAAATTAAAGGCGAAAGGTTGAAACATGCCTGACAAGCTAAGTTGAACAGAAATGCTAAGGATTTATTAGTAGGAAATATGTACCGTTCTGTCTAACAACTATTAATTTTTATAGTTCATAACAAAGGAGTTTTAACAGATTTTGGTTTAGACTAAGCGGATAGGAACTTCAATGACTTTTAACACTTTGAGTGTCAAGAACGTATGTCCTAACTTGTTGATTTTTTGTTGTTGTCAATATTGAAAAGGGCACATAATGCTATTCTCATTTAACTTTTTTGTTATGTCAATTTTTCTTTATTTCAACTCTCTAGACAGACCAGGATGTTTCAACAATAAATCAAAAAATAATTTAACCAAAAAATCCTAAATGACATGACAAATACACTAGAGTAAACTAAAAACTATATGAAAAATTGTAACCAAAACAAATATATAACAAAAAAATACAAAAAATCGCAGAGAGAAAACAAGTTCTAGTTGAAAATCAAAAGTTGTCTAATGAAAGAACAATCCAGTTAATAGCCAGAGTAGAAAGATTTATGTCCACTATGGCCAAGCAAGCGAAACTCCAGAAAAGAGGGGTACAAGTCTTAAATGTACACATACAGAAGTCCTAGGAGCTCAAAGCGTCAATGGGAATAAATTGGTTATGGCATGATTACATTGAGCGAGTTTACTAGCTACTAGCCGGCGACTACTTGCCACTCATTAGCATGTATGCTTATTATATAGTAAGCTAGCTATCATAGTCATCAGTGAACTAGTTCCAAGTATACTGGTGGTTTTAATAGTGTGTACGAAAGTCGACAAAATTGGCAGTAGTCATTATTTTAACTCATGAAAAGAAAAGCAGAAATTCAGGAATAGAAAAGTGTAGGTAAAACCGTGGGGAGATATGAATTTGTATTGAGCAGTTTACTGAAAGGGTTGTCATTCCACTTCATTTTTTAATCCTAGGATACCCAGAAAAGTTAAGCAAATGAAAGGAAGGGGAAAAAACCTATTCACAACACAAAGTTTAAAACTTGCTAGTCGGGGCATCGGTGGCCGCAACGGTTTAGGCATTCATCACTGTAAGGTAAAGGTCCTGGGTTCGAATCCAGCGGCCCTGCATTCGAAACCGACATATTAAAAAAAGGTTCATATAACCTCGTAGTTAAAAGAGCCTCATTAAAATAAATAAAGTAAAATAAACTTGCTGGCTAGTTGGCTACTGAGCTAGTGGAAAGTTTTGTGTTATCAATCACCATCTTCAATGTTAGAAGTATCGACTACTTTTTCACTCCCAGACACGCTGGATCAAGGTATGGTCTTGTAAAAAAAGCAAATTCAGTTATTCTGCCTAGCTTTCAACCTATTTTTAGGACATCATCAGGGCAAAACCATCTTAAATCTACAGATTGGCATATTTAAGTTTTTTTACAGGCGAACTTAGAAGGACTGATATTACCTGATCTAAAAATACATCGAGAGCTTGGCAATAACAACTGGAAAAAAAATTAAATTAAATTAAAAAAAAATACAGTCTTTGACAATATTAGGACTGAGTCGGACTTAAAGTAAATTTATGATCGCCTGTATAACATATAAATGTGTCAATCTGTAGACATATTTAAGATTGTTTTGCCGTGATGTTGACCTTAAAATAGGTTGAAAGCTTGGCAGTAACAACTGAATTTGACTTTATCTTCAAGACAATCCTTGATCCAGGATCATCACTATCGCACTGACTCACAGGCTAGAAGCTAGTAAGCTCGGTCATGTAATCGAGCCTTTAGAATATAGAATAACTTTTGTTTACTGATGTGATTGAACCTGTACAGTTTATCCTTGTATTTTCTGGTGAAAACGCATTGAGTGTTTAAATATATGGTACCTTCATACCTTGAGAGATTTCTTTGGAGTACAGGCAGACCAAAACGATCGGTAACGACTAAATCTGTCTGGTTTGACTTATTTTTTAAAAATAAATATGAATTGTTCCTTGTTTACCTCTTGTTCGATATATATCTTCCAATATCTTCCCGTCGTCGGGAAAGTGGTGACTAGCCTCTCGAAGAAGGGCCTGACATCGTTGATCCAACGGTTCTGCGCTTCCCTTATGAGGAGCCCCCAGGCCTCGATGTCCCATTTGTTTTCGTCAACCGTCTGCTGAGCCTTCTGCAGCTTTTCGCTGCCCCAGTCCTGAAACGTGCCGTAGCCCGTGTGAAATTCAACCTGACGGGTAATACGTCGAAAAATGCACTTACGATGGCAACGTTGTCAGTCGCCGCCTCCTCCGCTGCCATGTTTCCAACAGCCACTCGCCACCAGCAACCAACAGCCAACAGCCAACAACCAACAACCGCCGCGATTATCAATTACGATCCGAGGCGGTCGAATCTCTTAATAGTCTTCTGTTCGTTTCCCATATGGTCTAATAGTTGATTAAACTAGTGAACAATCCAACGACGTGAAAACAGTCGAAAACTCAATCGTGGTTCGTGGACAGCGGACGAGAGTCGAGCCTGCTACTAGCGCCCCGGCTTTTCCACCTATTCCACCCTTCCTCCAACGAAGGCGCACCGTACACACTCCACCCTACCAAGCGAATCCAACAACTAATTATCGAGGGGGAATTGGATTATTTCAATTGTTTTGATCCCATCGACTTATGTGGGCCTAAGAACTTTAATCCGTTTAACCTGGACCGCACAGCCTCGCTCTTTATTTATAACGGTTTTCAGCATTTCTCATCCGCTTAAAAAAACGGATTCATACACAAAAATTCAGATTTTAAATTTATCAATGCGCAGTTCTTTCATTGGCTTAAATGATTAAATAAATCTTTCTTAAATTGATTTATTTTTATTGAGAAGATTTGTGCACAATTTTGTTGTTTTGTCTCAGATTTGTCATGTACATTTTTTATATTTTAAAAAATATTTTTAAAAGTTAAAACATTTGGTTTTTGCTTGAATATAAAATTAACATTTGTGGGTTATTTTATAATAAAACATTTGAAAAAAAATAAGATTTTATAATTTATTTTCTGGTCTGTAGGAGGAGCTGGAAGCACATGAAACCTCGCTGTCAGTTTGAATGATTACTGAACGAAGATTTATAAACAAAAAATCATGCTTGAAGCGATTTTTAAAAATTAATGTAATAAAAATGACAGAGTGTGTGTTAAGAAGGATTTCGTTTTTGGTGAAGGACGTCTGTAAAGTTCGTTGTTATGCTTCTTTCATACCTTTGCCCGAACCGGTCTCGAGCAAGAAGAAGAAGTGCCGCATGTACTCCTTCGGACTGGCTGAACTGGGTGCTCTAGGAATTGAGAATTCGGACAACAAATTAATGAAAAAGTATGTCGCAAAACCGGTGAGAATCTCTTTTGCCGAGAAGAACGTGGTGACGAGGGTCGCCTGCGGGCACGGATTTACTGCTATCGGGGTAGATTCCGATGACAGGATTAAGCTTTACGGGACGGGATTAGCTACCGAAGGGCAGATAGGAGAAAGATCGGACAAAATTGTCGATCGCCCGGTCCCGATAGACCTGGGTCTCAGAGACGAGACGACCAGGATAATCTCATTGTCAGCAGGCAGGGCCCACGTGGCAGTAGTCACTGATAAAGAGGGTGTGTTCCTGTTGGGCAACAACTCGTACGGGCAATGCGGCCAAGAGCCTGAATTCGACAGTAATGGTGTCTGCGTCACCTTGAACCACATTAAAAATCTTGACGGGATGAACGTCGATGCTGTTTGCTGCGGGCAAGACCACACGATCTTTCTCGCCCAGGGCAATGTTTACGCCTGCGGGTGGGGCGCCGATGGTCAGATGGGTCAATGCAGTACGAAAAACCTATCCACTCCAAAGATCATATCTGGCGATCTCTGTTTTGAGAAGGTGTTGAAAGTCACAGGCTGCGCCGACACCGTGTTGGCTCTGACAGAGAAAGGCGAAATCTTTGGTTGGGGGAGCAGCGAATGTGCACAGCTTTCCAACGAACATGACATTCAGCAGATCAATTTGCCAAAAATGCTCGAGTGTGTTCAGTCCATGTGTGGTAAAATAATCGATGTCGCTGCTGGAGGCTCTTTTTGCATCGTACTCAATGAACATCATGAAGTTTTCGTCTGGGGTTATGGTATTCTAGGAGGTGGGCCCAAATTGGAGAAAACCTCGAAGCCTTTTAAAATCCCAGTTACTCTCTTTGGAAATAATGAGTTTGACCGTCTTGCCAAGCCGATGTCGGTTCATTGCGGTTTGAGCCATTTCGCAGTAATAAACAGTAACAGACATGTCTTTACTTGGGGCAAGAATAGACACGGGTGTCTTGGCATCGGTCAAACAAGAGATCAGTATTTCCCGTACAAAGTAGCCTTGAGTGGTCTAGCAAAACAAATTTCTTGCGGCTTCGATCATACAGTTATCCTTGCTGACCCCATCATATAACTTTTCTAGTGACACAATCTTAGTGTATGTTTTGTAAATAAAAACACTTGGAAACTTTTTATTTTTTATTTGTTTACTATTAATTTTTTTAAGTATAAAAAATTCCTCTCACAATATACTACCTATCCCCAAATCCGACTCTGTTCATTACCTTGGGTTCCATCTAGACTCATGCTTAACGTCGAATCAGCATTTACGACTGAAGCGACAAAACTAAACGGTACAGTCTACTTTTAGAAAGACAATCCAATCTATCGACGAAAAACAATTTACAAAACGCTATTACAACCGATTTGGACATACAGTACAGAACTAAGGGACTGCTAAGCCATACAATATCCAATGTTTCCAATCCTTCTGGTCTAAAGCCCTCAAATCAATTATAAATGCTTTGTATTAACTCTCCAATACTATCCTCCACAACAACCTTAATGTCTGATTTATCCAAAAATATCACATTCCACAATAATCTCTCCCATCATCCGAATAGTATCTCACCCAAGCCTTTTCCAACTGATCCCATCTCTACAATCCCATAAAGTGTCTCAAGAGAAAATCGCCCCACGACTTCCTTTCTGAGGTAGTAGGCAGTGATGTTTATTTAGTGAAGAAAAGCAGGAGAATAAAGCTGATTATTTACTCCCCTCAATGTAAAAATGTAAATATATCTATGTTCATTAAATTACATGTAACCAAAAATTGCAGATTGTAATAAAATAATTTTAAAACATAAAAGAGGTAAAATAATTTAAAACCAAATAAAGTTACTGATATGACTTTTATGCCACAGAACAATTTATTATAATCTGCATGTTTCTTTCGAATTTAAATCCTTTCTAAAATGGTCTTAGTATTTTAAGATTAATTTTTTTTATGAGGGTTCACTACAGCAGAGGTCATAACAACCCTTGGGGTGTCTGTGTTTTTGGAAAAAAACTCGTTCATACGTTGATTTTGAATGCAGGGACGCTGGATTTGAACCCGGGCCTTTTACCTTACAGCAATGAACACTGTATCAACACTTAAATCGATGTGGCCACCGACACCCCATATTTTAAGATGTTTTTACTGAGAATGGTTTATCAGCTTTGCTGAAGAATATATAAACTAATATATATATAAAGAATATATAGATCTCTTATATTTTCAATTTCTTTGGGCTTCAGTGATTAAATTTCTTACTGATGATGATCATAAGGTATACTAGGAAGTGGGGTTTTTGTTCCCCGAGCACTGCAGTTTTCTGATTTTACTTTCCTAGTTCCTTAGTTGAGAGCAGCAAACAACTCAACTCTTCATGAACTACTAGGTATTGCTACAATTTTTTCCCTGGGTTTTCTTTATATCCCAAGTTATGCCTCCATTTAGTAGTTGGTTCACATTCAAAGATGATATGTGTGGCTGTTTCTTCCTCATTGCATAAGTTACAAATGGTGCCATCATTGAAGAATATACCCATATGAAGATGTTTTCTCAGATGGCAGTGACTAAGTATAGCCATATCACTCTTCTAAGTTTAGCTGTCTAATTGAAGCAACAAGCTCGATAGTCTTGATTTTACAGGGATTCTGTATTTGTTAAACCATGAATAGGTTTAGGGCCGTATATGGACTCCGCAGATCCTCCTTGGGCCAGTGTGTTTGTCTTTTTTACCCAAAATCCTTACTACTGATTGTGAGATCTATTTTGGATTTGTCATTTTCAGCATTCATACTTTTAGGAATTTGTGTACTTTCTATTATTTCTTCAATAATAATTACTGCCTTTTCAAAATGATGCACTGCATTTGGACTAGAGTTTAATATTGGATGAGCTTTGATATCTTTTTCTCAAAAGGATCATTTTATATTTTCATTAAATCTTATTTATTAAACAGGTCTTACAAAACAAAAATAAGCCAAACTTTTAGCAATCCCACTTATTTTAATTGTGGTGTTCCACAGGGAAATGTTTTAGTGCCTGTACTATTTTTAATTTACATTAAAAACAACTAAAACTTTTTGGTAAATTATTGGGATTCGATGATGCTACTTTTATGAATTATTATGACATAATAAAAAAATAATAATGAAATAATAGTAATTAAAAAATAGTTAGATAATAATAGTAATTTCTTACTTTTAAATACACTTAACACTAAAATAATTAAATTTAGTACATTCACTAAGATTCATATATCAAAATAAAACTGATATAAATTCCTTTCCATCTTATGATAAATTTAATTTTTTTTAAACATATATAATTAAAGAAGAGAAATTTTTAAAAGTAATATACTAATAGTCAAATAAATTGAATTTATACTCCTACCACTAATTTGTATATATTTTTTTAATGTTTAAAACTATTTGTGAGCTCACAACTCCTGCTCTCAAGCACAAGTTAAATTTACTGAGAGCAGGATGTTCATTTTACATTATTTTTTTCTACATTATCATTTAATTTTTTCTCAGAATAATGTATTCAATTCATAAATAATTTTTATCTTGTCTTGTCTCAGCAGAGTTAGTACTTACCTCCCTCAGCTGTACCCATTAAACAATTTTGTTTTAGTTCTGACGCATTTTCTTCATTTTCTTTTTCTACATTGATTTGTTGTTTATTTGGTATCATCTGTAGTACGCTCAATTTTAAGGTTGTGAGTGCACTCATTCTGCATGCTCGGATAATCCATTCTTCCAATCTTTCAAGACATTCTAAATGCGTAAAATGATTTTAGACGACCGGTTAAATAATTTCAGTTCAACAAATTCAATCGCATGAACCTAAGCTTGGAAGATTGAAACGATTGTGAGATTCTCCATGTGGTCTGTGAAGTGATGAACCTGTAATTTGGCCATTACCGATCATTTTGGTCTGCCCAATCCCCAGAAGCCCAGACAGATAAACTAAAAATAACAAAAGTCCGAAACGCATCTGAAATACCAATCCAGCGAGGATAGACAGACCAAAATGATCAGTATTGACCAATTTACCGACTGAAGGTATGTTCTAGAAGACATATTAGGAAATAATCACTGCTTTTATTATCTGACAAGGTATTAAACATGATATGAACTTCAAATTTTAATATAAAAAATAAATAAAAATATAAAATAAACAACAATACAAATGAAATAAAACAAACATTTTTAATTTAAGAATTTTTTGTAAGTTTGCATTGGTAAAGGGCCAGTATTACTAAAAAACCAACAGATTTTGGTTTAAAAGCTCTTATAATTTACACTTTTATAGTTATTGGACAAACCATTTGTACACAATAATAAATAATACTCTTGAGATTTCAGCTTTGCCTTAACGGGGGTGTAAAGAGGGCTGTAGGCTAAGTGTAGAATTGCCCTGAGCCTGCTGAAGAATACAGCCGACCCTAGGTAAATTATAAACCCTTTCGGTGAGAAAGGTATACGATTCAAACTGAAAATTTTAAACAAAACACCATATGCCAATTCGAAAACGAATGCGAGCAAGAAAGACAGCAGAGAAGGAACAGACCAAGCTGACCTCTTGAAGACCGACTCTCCATCGGATTCAGTCAGTAGTTCGCAGAACCTGAACTGATCAGAAAGGCTTGTGTCGTCAGTTATAAAAACTGGCAGGCCGCCGACTGATTCTGCATCATCTTCGAGTGCAATTTTCGCTTTTATATGGGCCCAAGCGACATTCCCTAGAATATTGTTGATTTACTTTTTTTTCTTTATATGGCTGAGTGGAATTGAAATACCTGCGTATACAAACTGATGCCTTCCTCCAGCTCCACCGATCCTCCATAGAATGTTGTTACAATACTCGTTGCCGATTTGCATGATTTTTTTAAAAATACCATTATCCTCTTCTCCATACATGAAAGTAGGTCTTAATGCGGTTGTTCTCAGCCGGCTATCACCTAATAAACATTTTAAAAATAAATCTTGAAACATTATGATGAGATCCAGTTTTTTTATCTTCATTGATATTCTAATGTTATTTTTTCAGTTATGTCCTGTTTGTAAAATACGAAGAAAGGGGGCTACATTACATTTTAAAAATGGATGTAAAGGACACAATTGACTAAGAACACATGGACCAACCACTGAAGAGTGTGAAATGACATTAAATCAGCAAAACTAGGCAGGTCGGGGATGATAAGGCTACAGAATTATTTTAGATCATTAGAAAAGTCGAGTAAAAAGTAAAATTTTCATTTAATAAAAACACAATTGTATTGAAGACAAACAATTTGCATCCATACATTTTTTTTAAACAATCCATATTAATATTTTATGCTATGAAGCAATGCAAATTTGTAATTTATTATCGCATGCATTTTTTCATGACAGTTTAATCTAGTTTTGGAAAAGTGAAAATTGATTTAATAATTTCTCAAAGCATCTAGCTGAGCCAAATATGACAACTTTCTAACTTTTTGGAATTACCCCAAAACAGAATTATAAGAGATGTTCATGTTCTAAAAATAATATTTTTTTCGTTCATAAATTATAACAGGAAAAGTATCCAACCTGAAAAGTGTCTCATATTGTCAGCTGACAAAATCAATTCTTCCCCTTTGAGCTTGGAAGCCGCATAGCTGCCGAAGACGAGTTGGTCCTCTTCCATCGGCGGCAGTTCTTTTGACTCGGTTTGATTTATGATTATGGAAAAAAAACCATTGTTGAAGTACGGCTTCATGCACACTTCAGCCGAGCTGGTGTAGATGAGCGAGCTCACTTTATTTTCAAGGCAGGCTTCTATGACATTCCTTGTACCTGATGAATAATTTTTAAAATAATTAACCAGGAATTAAATTAGTTTAATGTTCAACCTTCAACATTGTTGTGATTTAATTTGGCTTTGTCTGGTGGAAAATCGTAAGATATGTATGCAGCACAATGAAATACAGTTCTGACATCTCTGAAAGCCTCTTTACACTTCTCATTCATTGAAGAGATATCACAAATATAACTTATCACAGGTATATTTTCTTTGTAATCTAAAAAAAAAAAATTCAATAAAAACAAACACAAAAATTTATTTTATAAGTTTCAGTAAAACAATTCAAGATAAATATATATTCAATTATATATACTAATTATTGTTTGTTAAAATACTAATAATACATTAGCCTTTATTGAAATAGTAATAAATAAAAATATTTTAACAAAATTACAGACAAACATCACCTTTCAGTACTCAACAGAGAAATGAGTATGTATATGTATACATAAGGTGTTCAGATGTGAGGGTAGTAGAGAATTTGATTAGAAAAAATAATGAATTTAATTTGTACAAGGAAACATTTAATTCGAAAAATTTACAGATGTAAATAGTTAATAATAATAACAATTGTTAATAATTAAATATACCAGTAGCACTGAATTTTTTTGCCAGTGGATATTTTACTATCATGCTACAAATTGCCTTTCACGTTGAAATTAATACATAAAAGAGTGAAATAAATTTGTAAAACAATAATGAATTTGATTTGCAAAAGGATGAATTTTATTTGCAAAAAGGTGAATTTAATTTGTAAAATGGTGAATTTGATTAGAAAAAGAGTGAATTTAATTTGAAAAACTTATGTATGTAAATAGTTAATATTAATAATAATACTTAAAATAATTAAATATGCAAGTGGTACTGTATTTACACTTTTTGTCAGTGGATATTTTATTGCCTACTATTTTAAAGATTGAATTTGATTAATAAAAGAGTTAATTTAATTACACAGGTAAATTTAATTTGTAAAAAAATTGATTTGCAAAAGGGTGAATTTGGTTGTTAAAAGAGTGAATTTGATTTGCAAATGATTCAGTTGGATTAATATAATAGTGAATTTTTTTGCAAAGGTGAATTTGATTAATGAAAGAATGAATTTAATTTGTACAAAAGCGAAATGGATTTGAAAAAGAGTGAATTTGATTTGAAAATGGTTGACTAGGATTTATAAAATAGCGACTTTTATTGTAAAGGTGAATTCGATTTAAAAAAAAGGAATTTAATTAGTAAAAAATTGAATTTGATTTGTAAAAGAAGAGTGAATTTGATTAATATGTAAAAAAGTGAATTTGATTTCCAATTTGGATTCCAATAAATTGGATTTATAAAATAGTGAATTTTATTGCAAAGGTGAATTTGATTTGTAAAAGAGGGTGAATTTGTTTAGCAAGAGAGTTAATTTACTTAGTAAAAGAGTGAATATGATTTGCAAAAGGTTGAATTTGATTTGTAAAAGAGTGAATTTGATTAGCAAAGATAATTATGTTACATATTGTCAATTATAAAATTATTATAAAGTGACTGAACAAGGGAGACCCCCAAATATGGGCAGTCTTGGTAAATCCAAAATCATAAAATAACAAGTATATAAAAAGCAACATATAATACTTACTGATTTTATTCTCATGTTTGATCAAATCTACAACCCTAATTTCTTTGATGTCATCTTGTCTTTCTTGAATTTCTCTTATTAGATGCTGGCCCAAAAATCCAGCTCCGCCTAAAAAATTGCAACATTTTTTTTTAAATTGTAAAGAGATTAACAGCTCGACAAAAATTCCAGAATTACCCGTAATAAGGACAATTTGCTTATCCATTGTTCTAACATGCTTCGCCAATGTCCAATCCGTAAATGTTCGTCTCAGATTTTCCGTTGATTTATTTTAGAAATGGAAAACGGAGGGGTTGAAACACGGCTCCCCACCAGTCAAAGGGAAAATCCGTCAATTCGTATTTCCGCCCACGCAAGGGGTTGGTCGGGGGTTGAAAGCACCCCCAATACGTCTCGGCGATGACGAAAATGGGCCCAACTGGACTTTTTACATTTAATCAATCGGATAAAAATAATTGTTTTATTATGTTTTCTTTGCAACATTTAAATATTGTTTTGTGTTAAAAAATATATATTTCTTTAAAAATAATTTTTAATTTTAAGTACTTTTTAAAAATTGATTATATGCATATTATATACTTGTATTTATTTATTTTTTTATTAAATATAGGTTTTTATATATTTTAAATGGAAGATTGTCAGCTGAGGGTAGTGTTTTTATGTTTGTGTTATGCTTATTGCTTGATATTCGGCAAGTATCCGTCGGTAGAGGGATGAGCGAAGGTTGATCCACGCCTCATCCCCGTCTCGCCCTAGACTCGCCATTTGTTTTCATTCAGTATCGTGTACGATTATTTATACTTGGGCTTTCAATTATTGGATTATTACTCGATTTTGCCTCACGCCCACGGCCAAAGCCCATCCCGATGGTGCATGCCCATTCGAAAGGCCCATATTGTCAAAACGTTCCCCCTTTATGAGAAATGTCGTTTAGTTAATTGTTTAACAAAAGGTACTTCTTTCTATCTTAAAAAAAGAGAAAAAAATGCGTCTTGTTTTTATTTATTTTATTTACTCTCTTTAAGCATGATCTCTTTGAGTGTCTTTAATAAGCTTTCAGTGTGCCTTCATTACTCGTTTAGAAGGATTTTTTAATAAAAATATTTGGCTTAGCGCTTCTTTCGCCTCTTGGCTTGATTTCTATTTAAATAAGTACGAATTAATTCATTAGTACAGTTTTTTATTTTATTTTATTTTTGGAAATGATTGTACTATTAATAATAAAAAGCATGGACAAAATGTGTTTTAACTTTTATTAATACATATTCATTATATTTTATTTTATTTTTTAATTTCATTCAAACCATCTTGACGTTCTTTTCATCTTATAATGTTTCTATTATAAAAATACCAGCTGATATTTTTATGATGTGGATACTACAGACTGGTTAAACCTCAGTCGCTCTGTTTTGTCCACGACTGCAGTGAAAAACATAGGTGATTTGCGACAAAACAGCCACGACGAAGGAAAAATAAAACGAACAAAAATACCCCATATTTTCATTTTTATCATTAGAATGTATCAGTCTATACCAAATACATATACCATCGGTTATGCTCCCTTCTTGGCGATTTGATTTGCGACAGTATTATTATTTTGAATTTGATAAGTAGTGTGATTTCCTCTTGAGATTTGTGATGAACTTTTATTATGGCTGTTTCATATCATGTTTGTTTACTTATCATCACTTTTTAGCATTTTGCCTTATTCATTCGTTTCATTACCTCACAAGCTTCAACATGATATGAAAAAAACAAAACAAAAGACAAACAAAACGCATTTGACATGAATAGTAAAAATCGCATTGTACATTCAGTGATCAGTGTTTAATTTTTTGTCTTCTTCAGTGTCTGATCAAACTTCTGTCAATAATCTCACAATTATCTGGATATTTTTGACAAAATTGTGCAATGCTTGATAAGTTAGATTTATTAATTTTGTTTTGGTGAATAGCATTTGTTGTTTGTCATAATGGATCCAATTTTCAATGTTTGTGGACAAAACATTATTCTTAGAAATGGTAAATGATGGAGTGAGTGTGGTGTTCAATCCTTTTTAAAAAGATAGTTCCTACTCACAGTAAGTAGTTTTGCAACGATCCGGATTTCGAGCCTTTTAGCTCATCATCAGATTGAAGGACTTCTGCAACCTGATGATGAGCTAAAAGGCTCGAAATCCCGGATCGTTGCAAAACAACTTACTGTGAGTAGGAACTATCTTTTTAAAAAGGATTAAACATTATTCTGTTTGTAGGTATGGGCACAATTGACCAGTTGTTTTGGTGAATAATGTGAGTTGTTTGTCAAGGGTACAATTTGTCCGAAGTTGTACAGTTCGCAGTTTGCCAAAATAGATACACATTATAATGTTTATGGACAAAACTAACATAGGTAATGTTTTCCAAACTGGTTCAATTTTCAAAGTATTTTGGACAAACTGCTATAGATTCAAGTAATTTTGGGAAAAAGGATGTGTTAATCTGTTTTGAAAGAAATTATGCAATGCCAGTTAATACATTTTATCTTTTTTTATGCTAGTTCAACCAAATGTATTTGGTTCCTTGAATATTTGTCAAGGAGGGTTCAGGGTTTGTGGACCGAATGATGTGATATTTGCCAAGATACATCCAATATTCATGTTGTTTTGGTGGATAGTGTTTGTTATTTGTTGAGGGTACAATTTGTCCAACGTTGTACACTTTGCTGTGTGTCACAATAGATTCAAATTTTAATATACAAGGTAATAACGCCAAACTGGTTCAATTTTCACAGTATTTTGGATAAACTTAGTTTTTTGGTCCGTAGAGATTCAAGTAATTTTGGAAAAAAACATTTTTTGTTGTAAGGATGAGTTAAACTTTCAAGCTGTTTTGAAAGGAATTATACAACGTCAGATAATACATTTTACCTTTTTTATGCTAGATTAACCAAATGTTTGCAAAAATGCATGTCAGCATATGTCAAGAAGAATTGGATGTTTGTGGACAAAATGAGATGTTTGCCAAGATAGATCCAATATTCATGTTGTTTTGGTGAATAATGTGTGTCGTTTGTCAAGAGTTCAATTTGTTGAAAGTTGTTTGTTGGGGACAAAACCATATTTTTATTTGTCGTGATAGACCATATATTTTTATAGTAGTTAAGACAAATGCGCATTAAATGTTAATGCCATTTAGATCAAATATTTGCAATGTTTGTCAAGACAGATTCAATTTTTTTTTTGTTCTAGATTTAGCTTGTTTGCCAAGATAGATCCAATTTGTAAGCCTTATTGGGCATGGATCTTGCATATAAACACATACGATTGAGACATATTGCACTTTTTTTGGGTGGGTAGGAGCATTCAAAAAATTCCAGGGGCAGTGGCAGGAATTGAACCTGCAACAGCAGGTTCTACGGTCCAAGTGCCACACTTATCTCTTGGCTATCGCAGTCATAGGTAAAATTTAGAATTTAGAAGTCCTTTTGGGCAAAGCCTGACCGTTAGTCAAGAATGGTTCAATGTTTGTAAACAAACCTACCCAAATGTTCAAGTTTTGGACAAATCTGTAATATTTGTTCATACATCAAAATTTCAAGACATTTTAAGCAAAACTGTGATGCTTGACAATACATATTCAATTTTCATGTTATTTTGTTCAAATGTATGTAATATTAGTCAAGGCAAGACAAATGTTGGTTTTTTTAAACGTTGTTGGTCTAATTTTAAAGTTGTATTAATCCAATATTTAAGTTATAGAGAAAAAAACTGTTGTCATATATGTATGTAAATGAATATATAATTAAACGAACATACATGTTCATCACCCTACATCCCTTAAGACAAGATATCTCACGAATAAATTATAAATTTTGGAACAAATTCTACCAGAATATCAGACTAAATACATACCAAAACATTGACGGTTTTCAACATGAGAATCATTTGAAAATGAAACAGCTTGATGGAAAAATAATGCCATAAAATATATTAATCTAATCCAAATACAGTTAGTCTACATGACAAGACTGAAGTCTAGATGAAGTGAGACGATGCTTACCAAATTTTAGTCTGTTTGTTATGGCATATGCTGCGATGTGTAAAGGTGTATGCAAATCAATTTTCATTTCTCTACATGCCAGTGGGAAGGAGATAATTAAATATTATATTATTATTATTTGAAAGGAATGGACATTCATGATCACAAGGAAATTTAGGCTTAATACATTGGAATCTAGTGAATCAATATGAAATAATTCAATTTGTAATGTTAATTTATTAATTATGAAGCAAAAAAGTGGTGTATTTATTTAATTGCCTTTAAACAAGAAATAAATGTTTTTAAACAAATTTCATTTTATTTTTCACAAGTCAGACTTTTTTACAATTGGATATTATTAATAATTATAAAAGAAAGGTTTCTGTTTTTAAAATGCTAATGTGATAATCTTAAAAATTAAAAATTGTAATAATCTTAAAAATGTTTCCAATTTGTTAAAATATTTAAAAATGAAAAAGGCTTAAAAGTGACATGACAATCATTATTATTATTAGTTTACCAAGAATCTCTGATTCATGCAAAATGAATTTTATTATTTATATATCACAATAATAAGAATAATAAGAGCCAAATGTGACCAGAAAGCAGTAGAGTTTACAAAAGCAATTACACAATAATTGTTATTGTCTCAACTTGGTCAATTGTTCTTTTTCCTGCATGAACATCCAGTCAATAATTTAAGCATTTTTTCTTTTTTATTAGTTGAAATACAGTATAAAACATGAATGTTTTTTATTTGTTCGACAAGTGTGTATTGAGATAGTACATAAAATCTGGTCATAAAAAGCAGACAAGTTGTAATAAAAATAATTGCTGGTGTATTTCTATTATCACTTGTCATAGGTCAATTTTACTTCTTCATACTTTTTCGCTGTATAATAATTTGTTCATTTATAAGACATTTGTATCAACAACAGTTCATTAATGCAAAATTCTAAGTAGAATGATATATACATATGTTGACACTATAGCATGACAGAAATTCTTTTTATTATTATTATTATTATTATTTTTATTGTTTTTGCCTGATATAAACAAATATTATTATACTTTTCTTTTGCTATTATTGATTAAAAGATAAAAGCTAATAAGACAAATTTCTTGTCAGAGCATTATAAATAATTTCATAATGTCAAAGACACTAAAACAGGATAGAAAGTAATTAGACGATACAATTATGAAAAACTGTTATCTTTGAGCAAATAATTTTATTATTGAGATATAATTTAAAAATATGCAAGGAAGTGATTAGGCAACAAATGTTCATTAAAATTTAATAGTTGACAATGAGGTCATTCTAATCAAATTAGCTTTTTAGTACAACATTGGGTTTTAATTTTAAATTTATATTTCATATGAAAAAATGTCGTTTTATGAACATTGAAGAATATTTTAGTATTAAATAGTGGAAAAATCAAAGAAATGATTTAACACAGACCAGTGAATTTCCTCCTTGCAAAAAATTTCTTTAAAAAACTTAAATGGCCTTAACTATAATAATTTATAGACTATTATAAATATAAATTGTACCCACGGTAAATGAATATTAAAAGTACTGTTAAAAGTAAGTTATTTGGCAGTTGATTTTATAATGCAAGATGACAGATTTTGCCTGGAATTCTTGTTTATAACATTAAGAAAAAAAATCAGTTCAAATCAAATTTTTAGCTATTTTCTAAATTGCCCCCATTTTTTTATTAATCTTTGTCCAACAGTTTTAGACCAGGAAACCTTGTAGCGATGGGCATGCCAAGAATTGTAGCCAGGGTAAGAAATGGCTTCGTTTGGAAATGAAAATGAAGTCAAAACGATTGTCGCCTCAATCTTGAGTCGAACAATCCTCGCTGTCTTCAATCGTGTACTCGATCTTTTTCAAACCTTCATCTTCACCGAACGATTTGGTCAGTTTCTAAAAACAGAAAAACATAGATTAGGATATTTTGAGACAGGTGATACAATCCGATGACTTGCTACCTCTTGAATTTCCATCATTTCGTCAAAGCTGCTACCTATTTCGGACATTTTCTCCTCAATTTCATGTCTGAATTTGGCATTATGGGTTTTCCTCGCCTCTTCATGATTACGAATATTCCTCAGTTTCTGTAAAAAATATCCTATTTTTGAAAGTGCAACTTTTTAAGGGTTGATTTTCATTTTTGGAGACTAAGACATTCTAATAGCTATATTTAAGAATGTGGTATAATAATGGTTTTATTTTCAATTTTAACTTTTAAAATGTCACATTGTTTATAGTCTGAATAGAAAAATGACAGATTAACAAATTTTAACTGGTTTATTATTTTATGTACAGATATTTATCTTTTATCCAATCACCTTACCGCTAGCTGTATGTCTATTTCATCTATCCTCGATATTATACTTGGGTCGATGTGCAAGTTTGTGTTCTTCATTATCCCGCTGGACGTTTCGCCCATGAGCTCATCGATTTTCTTTCTATCCGTGTCGGAGATGCCATCCGATGGGAATGTCGGAACTTGAGATTCCTTGAGACTATCGAAATAGTCCAAATCCATTTTAGAGCTGGTAAAGTAAATGTGGGGACTGATTAAAAATATATTTGACTGAACATGTGAAACAATAGAATATTTTTATTTTTTTTCGCTAAAATTTGAATGGAAACAAATAGAAATTTTGTTCTTTTCTTTTTATGAAATAAAAATTATACCTGTTGGAAGGATTCCTCATTGAGAAGTTTGTTCGTAACCAAGGACCTGATCAATAAACAGTGGAGCAAGATGAATTTGTCTTGTCTAACGTTTCATGTTCTAATCGATTGTCCTACTTTTAAAAAATTAATTATTTAAATTTTGTACACACATTTAAAATATTGATTTGAGGAAATTCCCAATGGAAATCAGATAAAATAAAGTACCCAAAGCGGAAGTGGGTTTTGGGCTAGAAATCATCATCTATAATTGCACAAGGGTGAAAGCAATCGGGGTCAAGATAATCTGAAAAATGCTTACAGGCCAATTGTCGTAATGTGTTTATAAAAGGTGTGAATAACACTTAAATTTTGACTCATAGAAATTAAAATTAAACATATTCAAGTCATCAAAGTAGGATATCTCAATTCAAAAGAAGGGAATCATTACAAAGAGAGTAGGAAAATTTAACTATAAAAAGTAAAAAAAAAAAAATTGGAAGAGACCGTGTTCTTGCAAAACCAAATGGTTAAATATTCCCCTTCAAATGAATTTCTTATAAATAGAACTTCCTCTCATCCTTTGAAAAACAATTTTTAGCCATTGTGGAATCGGAATACAAGATATTAAACCAAGTTTAACCGTTCTAAAACAGTCATTATCACAGATTCTAGCAAAATATTAAATGTTCTCATTATATAGGCAACTTTCTTAGGTATAAACTGGACTCTTATCCATTGAAATTATTTTTATCCATTAAATTGATTTAGGAAAATTAGTCCTGCACTTTGGTTATTACTGATCATGCCTGTCTTCGCTGGGTTGGTCTGTTAGATGCTTTTTACATTTTGCCCTCTTCAGTGCATCTTATAAGAAGAATCTTGTTGTGAATAGTTTAGTAGGTAATTATGTAGATCAGAAAGATTAAGAAGAGTATTTCCTTATTGTTTTTTAATATTTTTTATGGCCTTATGAACTAGCCAGAGTATGAAGTTGTGTAGTTGATTGTTTCAATGTAGTTAGGAGGAAGGGTATTGTAAAAAAGGGTCAGGGGCTACGGTGGGAATTGAACTCGGCTATTGCGGTACCCCATTACATATTTAAGTTCTTTCCAATGAAGGACTGGAAGATGGCAAAGTGTGCCCAACGGACTAACCCAGCAATGATAGCCAGTTTAAAAATGATAATGTAATGCGTACGACAAATCTCAAAAAATTTGTTCTTCTAAAATAAAACGACACTACAATGGAATATTCTCTCAAATTCGAATTAAAGAGAAATGTTTTGTCTGAATTTAAATTAATTTTGTGTTTAGACCTTTCATCCATTAAACTATCATTATTTATCTATTTTAAGATTGGTTGACCGATAAGACAAATTTCTTGTTACTAAAACCATACAAAATTTGGGATTGACCAACTTTTCACAAATTCCCACAAATGGTTGTTCATTCAGTAGTTATTTGTTTTATCCAAAAAACCATAATTTTTATCCATTGTAAGATTGTCTATAAAACCAAATTTAACACAAGTCATGCTAGATTGTACATAAATAGAAAAAAATGATATGTTTTGATTTTAATTTTTTCTTTTATGCTGAGCCTAAATGAATGAATAATGTGCAAATGTTCAAGGGTAGTATCAGAATAGCACAATAACATCCACATAAATTCAGAAATTTTCTGTAAACCATGGTGAAATAAATGTTTTGAAATTATTAAATGGAAAATCCCTTTCTAAATCTTGAAGGATAAGTCAGGTAAATCTTAATCTCAAGTTTCTTAAGATAGGTTTGTTTAGGCTTGATTGATTTCAGTGTTAAACCTTAAGCTACATAAATTTTTTTGTGCCAATTTGATTTTATTACTTAATGTAATCATTCATTTATCTATTCTTCAGAAAATGGTTGATGTTTTTACTTGTTTTTTAATTTTGTATTACTGCATATTGCAGATGGTTGTGCATAGAATACCTCAATCAAATAATATTGTGATAAGAAGTAATGAAGTATCTCTTGATATTAAAAAAATGGAAGCTACAGTTCTCAACGATAAACCGGCTGATGTTCCTTTGGTCCCATGGGTAAGGGATTTCCTGAAAATGTAATCTTTTGAACCAGCTAATTCTGACATTGTAGAAAAATACATTCAACATGAGGCCTCTGACGCTGGCAGCATTGTCAAACGGTAAATCGGCGTCCAAATCGCTGCAGAGCCCGTTAAGCAGGATGAAATGCAGGACCATCACCAATGCGGCCAAATCGTTGGATATACTCAGGCAGAACTTGCAGGCAGCCATTAACAAGGAGATCGATCTCGTCGTTAGAAAATATTTAGAAGTAGGAGCAAAATAAAATAAAATTCATATTTATAAATATTTTTAATAATTGATTTTTTACAGAAATTTTTTCAACCTGCTGTTAGAAATATTAAAGACAATCTTGGCCCTGGAAGCGTAAGTGAAGAATTGATCAAAGAAGTCTGCAAAGCTATGTTGGAAGAAGCGAAACAGATGTACTGTGCAGGCATCTCTGCAGCTCTCACCAAAACACCCCCATCATCTACATTGTTACCGAATGCCACAGAGCAGGTATAAAAATTGTTGACTTTATCAAAGTCTGCCTGCATAACATATTTTATCACTTTGTACTCAGGTGAACCCAACTCGGAAACGTAAGGTTTCAGAGACAGCCGATGAAACATCGCAGAGAAAGAGGGACTACCCTCCACTTGTCAAGTGGGACCCGTCCAGAGTCAACAAAGACACCCAGTTCATACTTTCAACATGTGCCAATAGAGTAAGTAAATAATTGATCAATGTAATGATTCAAATATTAACAAGGATTTTCGTGTAGGCTGTCGGACTTGGTGCGATTAGAGGAAAGCTGAGCACGAAACATCCTGAACTAGTGAAATACATGGTCGATCAGGATGACAGGGAGTGGCTCAGCACTGCTCGTGCACCTGGTCTCATTCCTGGAACTCCAAATATCTCCTTAATGTTTCTTGAGGACATTGTCCAGCTCGTCCATTCTGATGAATACAAGTATGTTCTTCCAGAAATAGTACATTTTATTTACAATAAAACAGTTGTATTTCTTGGATGATCAAAAGATATTCATATTAAAATCTGTTGCATACAGAACCATCATCGCAACATTAATTATCAGATAAAGCATAAAAGTTTGAAACAAATTAAAAAAAAAAAAAAAAAAAAAAAAAAACTGCAAATCTTTGGAAGAGATAACTTATTTTTATAGAAAGTAAATATTTCGTTAATTGATAATGTCAATTGTATTTGCATACATTACATATATTTTTTTTGGGGGGGGGGTAAAATAGTGATGTAAAAATAGATATGTAATAAAAAGAGATGTGTTTCGGTGTTAGAAGATCAATTATTGACTTGGACAATTATTGTTATGCGGTCATTTTGGTATTTAGCAATTAAGTGAAGATCTATGTGAAAAGAATTTATGTTATAGCTGCAATATTTATCCTCTCTTTCATTTATTATTTTTTCTTTTATCTTTAGGATTAGTTTCTATGCGATGATGAATTATGGACAGTGCCTATTTTGTTGAAATTGAGGTTCCATTTGGGGGATATTTAGTACTTTTGTTTAGAAGCCACATTTCTTTTTTTGGTTAAATCAGCTTTCAGTGGAACACGAATTTTTGACTTTGAAAGTTTGAACCATTCAGTGGAGAATCTCCTTGAATGTATTTATTTCATTCTGGAGCCATTTATTATTTCTGTTTAATAATCACGTTTGTTTTATTGGCTGAATCAGTATTCGTGGTAGATGACCAATTATTGACTTCTTAGTTTGAATAATTCAGTAGGAACTCCCTTTGAAATGTATTTATTTCATTCTGGAGCCATTGATTATTTATGTTTAGTAACACTTTTTTATCGGTTGAATCAGTTTTCAGTGGTAAATGATCAATTATTGACTTTAAAAGTTTGAACCTTTCAGTGGAGAATCTATTTGAAATGCATTCAATTCATTCTGGAGCCATTGATTATTTCTGTTTAATAATCACGTTTCTTGAATCAGCATTCTTGGTAGATGTACAATTATTGACTTCGTTAGTTTGAAAAAATTCAACAGGAAATCTCTTTGAATTGTATTAACTCCAATCTGAAGCCATTGATTATTTCCGTTTAGTAACAATTTGTATTAGTTGAATTTCAGTGTTTAGAAGATCAATTGTTGACTGAAAGTTTGAACCATTCAGTGGAGAATCTCTTTGAAATGTATTTATTCCATTTTGGAACCATTTGTCAATTTCATTTAGTAATACTTTTTTATTCATTGAATCAGTTTTTAGTGGTAGTTTATTTAAATAAAAACCACTCCAGAACTAAGTAATGTTCAATTCTTGCATTTTGTGTGTGTTGAATTCAGATATGTTAATAATTTCTTTCAATTATTATTCTTTTTATGTAAGGTATTGGTTCAAATGAAAAAGTTAGTTTCACGAATTTCATTTCAACCGATACCTTACATAAAAAGATTAATTAATTGAAAGAAGTTGTTTGGTCCAACAGACCACGAAATATAATGGTTTTAATATGTTAATAATAATAACGGGTATGAAAAAAAATTGCCATTTAATAATTGAACTTTTTTTTCTATTAAGAAACAACCCTAATGTGTGCTTGAGCGAATTGAAAGGGTTTGAGGTGCCAGACTTCATCCAGAGAAAAGTTCGAGCCTACATGACGCTCATGAGGACAAAGTATCTTCCACCAGTGCCGACACCCGACTTTGTTGTATGTTAAAACAAATGATTTATTGTTTATTTTTAAAAAATTAATATTCAATTTTAACATTTAACATTAATTTTTGGTATTACAGAAGCCAAAGAGTTGTGGCAAGTCTACACAAAATTTCGAAGAGGTATGTTGAATCAGTTTAATGTTACTTTCTTTTATTTTTTATATTTCTTCTTTACTTCTTTGTGTCTAATGAATGAATTCAACTGTATCCTCATTTTCAATTTGTCTTCTTCTGACTCATTGATGGTGTCGACAGCGGGTTTTTTTTTATAATCAGTTTTCCCCCGCTAAATGCAGAAACAGGCTACATAATACAAAATGATTACAATATTAAGGTTGTAGAAGGTTATAAAGCCCAGTGTCTTTCGCACTTCTAACGCAAATGTAAAAAGAGTCAGGTTGCAATCTGCACATATGTAAATATTTGGTCAAATAAACTAGTTTTTCTTCTTCTTCATTGATGGTGTGAATCCCTATGCCACAGAAGGGCTCAGGCTTACCAGTCCCATTCTTTCCAATGGTGTCTACTCTCTCATTTACTCCTTCATGTTACTTTACTCTTGTACATTTACTTTACTCCTTCATGTCCTGGGTCCCAGCAGAGATTTGCATTTCTAATTTATTTAATTGAGTTTTACAATTCAGCACCATCTTGGCTGCCTGGCTATCTAACATGCAATGTTCTTAAGATATGATGTTTGTTGATCGACCTGCAGATAATCTATGTAGAGTTTCAATCTTCATGGAGGTCAGTAGATAGTCTCTATAAATAGCTATAATTCTAGTCAAAATACTCTGTGATCATAAATGTAACCTATAAGAAATTGCGAGTCAGAACAAAATTGTTGAAACCACAATCATATGAATTTTATTAGCGAGGTCCTGTTAAATTTTATTATAAATTATTGTTTTTGTTAATTTAAATAGTGTATATTGATAATTATTTATAATTTTATATAGATGACTGTTTTCACCATGTTTAATGTAAATTGCACCATGTGCTTCATAACCTTAAACCCAAGACGTTTTTACAATAGTTTTACCATGCTAATCGTTTTCTGCACTCTTGGGAAAGTATGTACATTATTTTATTTTGTTAATTGTTAATTTTATATTATTTATTTTTATATATTTTTATATTTTTTAATTTTTAATAAATAGTACCTGATGATGGTACTATAAGTTGGCGAAAGCTTGGTGAACCCAACAATTAGTCTTTTCCTTTCTTCACCTATCTACTGACCTCCAGATTGAAACTCCACATATGCTATGTTCTTGTTTATGTACCTATGTTTAGGTTGAATTATGTGAGCCTGGAAGATACTCTCCTACAGGTTCTTAGTATTTGGTTCTATTACAGAACCGAACACTCCTGCCTTGCACCTTTTCTTCTTAAGATTGTTTCTCTAGATTAGATTTTTGCTTAATAGTTTTGTTTTCATTTTTTTTTTTTTTTGGTAGATACAGATGAGTGTTGGAGTCGGAGTGGAATGTGTGTCTTCTTCAATGATGCCTACTCTATTTGACACAGGTGCGTTTAGAATTAGTGTTTTTTTTTTTTTTTTTTTTGAGGGTGATAAATAAAGGATATAGTTATTTATTCCAATTAATTAATATTTTAATAAGAGATTAATTAATGTTTAATTTTAAGACAACCTTCCGCTGGTGGGTTCGAATTCCGCTCGTGACACTAACTTTTTCATTTCAACCTTACATTAAAAGATTAATTAATTGAAAGAAGTTATTTTGTCAATTGGACCACAAAATATAACGGATGATTATTTATTTTAAACTTCATTTTTTATTTTGCAGGATTGATAGAACTCGATTCTCAGTTCTTCAGCCTGGCTGGTCTCGAGGACGAGGGTGATTAGCACTTACTTTCGCAATACCCGAACACTTCTTGGGTATTTGCGTCAGAACTCAAATAAAATAGCGCAACACCTGACATGAAAATTGTCACGTCTAATAATTAGACATTACCTATCCGCCCTTACATATATCATCTGGCCGGTGCCTTCATGATTCCTGTAAACTTAATTTTCTTCATGTTGTGAAAATAAAATTTAAAATACTAAAAAAAAGAAAAAAAAGAGAAAACTATAAATATAATAAATTTGACTATTGATAAGGAAACTATGACAATGAATATGGCAATGAATTCTGAATGTTTAGCTCATCTTGTTAGGGTTTTTATTGTATGTTAAGCATATCTTTTATGCGCTAAAAAAAGGGAAAAATGAAAAAAAAAAATCGCTCAGGATTTAATGTGATCCGGCAATAAACGATGTGCATTTTCTATTAAGCAATTTCTTAAAATAAAATGTTAGGGTAGTTTGTGTACTTATAATCATTGTTTTGTGAAAACATCTTCAAGACTATATTTAAAAGAAAAATTACAAAAAAAATTGAAGATTTAGAAAACAAATTGTAGGTAATCTCGTAAAGTGCTTATAATTTAGTCTAATGCAAGTTTATTAGATGATGAACCTCTTTTTATAGATGTGTATTTTATTCTTGTAAAACTTGCGTTTAATTGTACCGCTTCTGTGTTTTTGTAAAACCTACCTAATGCTACTAGTTAGCATTATAGAAAGTCTTTCATATGCATTTAATCATAAAGAACCCCAGTTTTCTTCACCCGGTATGTTAAAACCATCTAAATTACAATCCGAAAAAAGCCAAAAATTTCTAGTCTAAATAGAGAAGTTCAACTAGTTTTAAGATGTTTATTCAAAACATTTGATTAAGACTTCTATTCTATCTTTAGTGTCCAATCGAAATACGTACCTAAAAATAAAGTATTTAACAAAAAACAAAGTGTATTATATAAAAATAAATTACTAGATTAATTTCATTGCTCATGTTTTAAAACAAAAAAGAAGTCAATTTTAATATATAATATGTTACAATTATTTGGTGTTCTGAGTTAGAATTTTATGATGATTAAATTAACTGATTAATAAGGGTAATATTAGTTATTTAACTTGTTATTTATTATAAGCCAATTGATACCGCTATACTATTATATCAACCCATTTTATTCGTCCTGATCTGGTTTTTCCAGAATTTTTTCGTTACCTTTTGTTTTCGTTACAAAGTTTTAATCTAATCATTGTTGTCAATTGTGATTCTATCTCATTAAACTAGGTAGACGGTACTAAATGTTGTAAATAGTTTAGATTATGATTAAACATTAATAGATAAAACAAGAAAAAAAAGAAGAAAACAAACAGTTTAAAAGATTTGTCTATCATTGTTTTATAAATATAATAATAGATCTGTCTGTGATGGCATGAAATGTCCTATTGTTACAGCTTATGTATTTATTTGAGAAAAATACATAATTACATTATGGAATCATGCGTTTATTAATTTTATTTATTATGTGCAAGAAACTCCTCATACTCTATCTTACTTTCTGATTACTGTATGTGTATAAATGCCCATATATGTTGTACATACTGCCAATAGCTGGTCATTTTAGCCCCCAACATAATTTTTACATGTAAACCCAATCACAATCTCACTCTTAAATATATTCTTTTCTATTTACATACCATTTACTTGATTAAACGATGGAATAATAATTTTTTTTTTTTTAATAATTCCACCATTAGCCTTCTCACAAGCCACAGTACACATTCACACTAATAAATACATTCATTCTCAATTCACATAAGGTGATACAAAACGAGATATCTATTAGTACTAAATACAGTGAAGGGGACCGCGGTGACCAAGTGGTTAAGGCGTCCAACTCTTATTGTACTTGCTAGACATCCTGGGTTTGAATTCCAGCATAGCACATGATTTTTTAAATTTTCAATAATATGGAGATGTAGTTAAGTTGTTTGACTCCTCGTCCATGACACCCCATGGGTAGTTGGATGTTAAGCCCTCCTGTATGATAGGAATGACATTATTATATACAATAAAACAACCCTGTTTCTTTCGAAAATAAAAACAGCGAAACCAAATACTTGGTGCTGAGGTCATACAGAATTCTTATATTGGGTGGCATTCCTACCCGCTTTTTAGGGACCCAAGAAATAACACCCTTCAAGTAAACACCACCTTTTTCAACATGCCAGAAACATATGAGGGCTTTGGCCTCAAAGAAAGTCGAGTGCCCCTTGAACATCGTGAGAGTTCATAACGACTTCATTTTTAAGTTTAAGTTGGTGCTCAATGTATTCTTTAACTTCCTTGAGGGCATCAAAAGTACCAATCTGCAGAGGGAAATTATACTGTTGTTGAGAATGATATCCATTTTTGTGAAGGTTGTAATAATACAATTTATTATTAATTTATCCAGTAGCTTACCCATAGATAGGAATAAGCTGATCAGTCTGTATTTCTTTATGTCCTCTCTTCCAGGTTTTGTCAACAACACTGTTTGGCCTTTTTCCAGACCTCAAGGAATGTTCCTCGTCCCAAACATTAATTAAATAAGGTGCATATGCTTTATGGGATAATATTAAATATTATTTTTATAATTTCCTCATTAAAACCATCCATCCCCGATGCTTTGCTTTCCATGAAGTCCATGGTTGCATTTTGTATTTTGTTTCTTGTGAATTCAATATCATCCTCTATATACATCTTAAGATACTCTTTCCCTTATGTTGATATGCTTTTGTCATCTAGTGTGTTATCGGCAGGTTCGCAATGATCCAGTTTGGTAAAAATTGTATCTCACAATGTTTTTGTATAAGTTCCATCCTGTTTTTTAAGTGAGGAAAAAATTATAATTAGCTTTCCTTCTGCTGCCTTATATGTCACATTCCATAGGGAAGTCCCATTTGTGGCATTGCAGTATGCTTGCCAGGACTCCAATATAACTGACTTTTTTTTTTTTGTAAAGGTACATATTTTTATGAAGTCTTCATAATAAATGACTTCTTCTATGAGCGTGAAATCATGTTTGGTTTGCTGGTATCTTTTCTTGGGTTTCTTACTTTTTCCTTTATCCTGTTAAATCTTGTCCAAGGGAACACTTCTTTTACTTTGCTATACTTACTTTTTACAAGGTATACTCTTATCACAAGCATTTTTGACAGCACTATTTATTTGTTGTACCATGTCCACCAAATCAGAACAATTCTTAATTTTTAAAATTTTTTGAGAGAGCAGTTTGTTTCAGTTTGACAATTTAGCTTCTTTTATTTTATATATATGTCCAATTTTGATCCTATTACTTCCAATGCCATTTTTGGAATGCTAGCATGCAATGATCGGATCCACATTCTTCATCATTATTATTACAACAATTAATGAATGGTGACATATTGGTAGTGCAAAGCATCAAATCAATTTTACTTTCTCCTCGTGAACTCTGAAAGGTTGGTGGTTTCCCATCATTTCTACATTCATGAACATTAATGAATTTACTGCTAGGGAATTTTTTATTATTTTTCCTCGACCATTTGTAAAGATGTCATTCCATGCTTTTATCCAAGAGTTGCTGTCAGAACCTATCAGTATTGCATTTTTATTTGGCAAGTTTTGTAGAGCATTTTTTAATTTTTTTAAATTCTCCTCTAGGTAATTTTTGTCACTTATCACAGAAAACTAGAAAAATTTTATGGGATAACATCAATGCTCATGGAATAGCATCAAGTTGTGAGTTGGCCATAATAATTGCGGCTCTCATACGCCCTTTTCCCGTTTGATACCCTCGTCAATTTTTATTTATCCCAGAGATATTATCGTTTGTGCAGTAGGGCTCTTGAAGTATGAAGTATCTATTTTACGTCTTGATATAATTTCAGTCCAACTGAAGACATCTCACCTCACCATTTGCTTCGTTTTGACGTCACAAGCCATAGTCAATCGTTTCTCGTAGAAGACCAACATTGTAAAGATAACAAGGGCAAGCAACATAGTGTAAGCTTTTGGCGCGTTCTTTGAAGTTCTTATAATAAAGCATTTACATTTATTCGTTTTATTACAATCTTTATTATCGTGGTTGAATGAACGTTTAGCACAAGTAGTTTCGCTTTTTCAATCGTGTGCACTTCGGTCAAAGGTACAATAGCATCTTTCATGTTTTCGCGTAAATCAGCCCTAAGTTTTCCACTTGTTTTAATTACATTTATTTAAATCCTTAGGACACTTTGAAAACGTTCATCTTCATTTAGCGCCATCTTGAAAAAGACTGAATGTTGATGAAACGATTGCTGGGTAGGAAAGGATCGAATAACAATTTTTTTCAACCGAAAGTGAAGAAACTGTGAATTTAAATTTTTTATTTTTTAAATTTATCGAAGACTGGCACAAAAAGTGGAGGACAAGACTGAAGGAAGAAAAATGTACTCAATGTACGTTCGCATTGAGTAAACATTCTTGCCCTCCATTGTACATCAACAACAAAGAGATACCGACTCCCATTCAAGTCAAATACTTAGTACATGCAATCCCCATACAAGCCTAAAGACAAAAACTCAATCGAAGACTTCTAGGACAAAAAATCCGCCTTGACCGTCAAAACTAAATTAACATTATACAACACTTTACTGCACTTTGGACATACGGAGTAGAACTGTGGGGTTCTGCCAAGACATCCAACATCCAGCGCGTCCTTCCAATCAAAAGCCCTAAGGCAAACTGTCAAAGCTCTTTATTACGTCACTACCCTCACTAACCACACCGAGGTTAACATTTCTTTTGTCAACCAATTGATCCGTTCCCGATTCGAAAAGTTTCACACCAACCTCTCGATCCATCCTAAACCTACTGCTCAAGCTCTCTCTACAGATTCCCATCCTGAGAACCCGCCACGTCGCTTTAATCGACGATGGCCTCGAGACCTCTTTGCCCTTGATCCCTCACACTGAGTGTCAGCATCGGCTGGTTTCTCATGGCATGTGTCCTCCGGATGCAGTGCTAGAATTAGTGTCAGTATTGTGACCGTGTAAAAAAAATTGTAATCACATTTGTAATATGTATGAAATATATAGGGTACAAATAAAATAATAATAAAAAAAAACTACCTTGAACCTGTGTTTTATCGTAGTTGGGCCACGTTTCTTACAAGAGGGAACCTTTTTTTCTTCTGTTCGTATTAACGTTGAACGTCCAACCCAATATCGACTCACTCCGAGGACAGCGCACATCCCTTTTGATCCGGTACATCTCGGCTCTATTACTTCTTTGAGCGTGAATACTTCATCTTATCGCCTCATCGCCGTCATCGCTTTTCTTATAAAAATCATTCCGGGCTCATTAAATTGTTTCTTTCATTTCTATGAATAGATGATATTCAATTGATATTTAATTGAAATTAAATATTTTCTCATACCGCCTTACTTCTAGCATCGGTTTCTTCATACCCCACACCATTTCATTATACTCTGAATATCTATTTTCATGCAAAATCGATCTTTACATATTCCTATTTACATGAAAGACCAACTATTTACTGTATTAATATCCTATTTTCATCTATCTAAAGAACTTTCTTCGTATCTATCTGTCTATACATGCATTCATACATTTCTTGTCTTTGTAAAAAATTTGTTCGTTTACTTGTTTATTTGTGAAACTTTTTATTGCCCCTACTACTTACTAATATAAAATAATAATTTAAGTTTAAATGCGTTTGTTTTAAAACTATTTAACAATTTTTTTCTCACTTCAAAATGTTTCGTTCCCATTACATTTGTCTAAGTTAATTTTTGTTTATGGTAGAGAGAGAGAAAGTGAGAGAGAGGGGGTGAGAGTGAGGGAGAGAGAGAGAGAGGGGGAGAGAGTGGGGGAGAGAGAGTGAGAGTGAGAGTGAGAGAGAGGGAGAGAGAGCGAGAGAGAGGGAGGGAGAGATAGTGAGAGAGAGAAGGAGAGAGAGGGGGGAAGAAAGAGTGGGAGAGAGTGAGAAAGAGAGAGAGAGAGGGAGAGAGAGAGAGAAGGAGAGAGAGAGAGGGGAGAGAGAGAGCGAGGGAGTGAGAGGGGGTATTACTTTATATATTTTTTTTATATATATTAAAAAAAATATATATACATAAATATATTTTATGTATTTTTTGCTTTTACCATTAAGAGTGATGGCGCTACCCCAGAATGTACATATGGATACATGTAAAGACAGTCACTGATAAATAGATATACATACATATACAGTTAGAGGTAGATAGATAGGTATATATATACATATAAAGGAAGCCACTGATATATAGATATAAATACATATCCAGACAGTGTTAGACAGATATACACACATATAAAGACACTCACTGAAAGATATAGATACATACAAAGACAATGTATGAGATATACATACATATAAAGAAAGTGGTGGATAGATACATGATAGGTATAGATACATGTACATTGATAGTCAGATGTAGATACATATACAATGAT